TCAGCCGGAAAGAAGACACGACCAGTTAAGAAGAAATTCGACTTTATATCAATGGCGATAGCGCTTCTTTCATTCATGAGCATTATGTCTACGTCTAGATCGGAGTATAATATTACTGAGATGAGCGCCAGCCAATCGTTGTATTTCGACCCCATAACAAAGATGCAACTTATCAGAGACAAATGGACCTTAGTTGTGTACCACGATATGGCCCCGTACTGGCAAGGTGAACTAGCATACAAAAAATTATCAAATCACTTAGACAAACTATGTACTAAAATCGAGAATAATCAACAATGCCATATGATTTTACTACAAATGAATCACGACTACTCAGAATTACAATACAACAATCAACTTTTACTGACACAGCATTTTACCGAGCACTCCAGACAGCGTCGCGGTCTTATCAACGGCGTAGGCTACCTAGCGAACACATTGTTTGGTGTGCTAGATCAGCATTTTGCAGATAAATACTCTGAGGACATTGAACTGATTAGAAATAATCAACAACACTTGATAAATCTATGGCGTAACCAAACTTCTATAGTAGAGTCTGAATTTAACTTGTTAAAAAGAACAGAAGCATCGATGGAAAGGCAGTATAACATTATAAGTAGTCGGTTAAACTCTCTCGATAAGGCAACAAACGATTTAAATAAGCAAATACAGAGCATGTCAGTAGTCGAGGATTTTATTATGTCAGCAATGTCGGCTATGAACTTACTTCAGAATCTAAAAAGTATTCAAAATACCCTCTTGGACACCATCACTGACGTTTATCAAGGCCAACTGAACGCCCACCTGCTGACTCCCAAGCAACTACAGAGTGAACTGAATGTGATATCAGGACAGTTATCAAAGGATTTGAGCTTACCGATCGACAACATACAAATAGACTTATACAAAATATACAAGCTTTTAAAAATAAAAACGAGAATCACTACACAATACCTTATCTTTGAAATACAATTTCCTCTAGTAAGCAGGGAGATATACCAGATGTATCAGATAATACCCATCCCACATCAATTTGGCAAATTAATGACTGAAATAGTCGCCTTATCACAATACGTATCATTAAATCTAAACAAGGACGCCTACATCATATTATCAATCGACGACTTACAAGGATGCATATTACACGAGGGACATTACTTGTGTGAATTAAAGAGCCCAATTTATCATCTAAGCACTGACGAGAAGTTTTGTGTATTAAATCACATCAATGACAGTTGCAAAGTAGCTATAGGTCTACCAGAATCTGATTGCAAAAAAAAAGTTTAAAAATTAGCGATTTTCATATGGCAATAAAAGAAAAATTTCATCTGTCAACTGAAATTTTGAGGAATTGTTTTTGGTTTGGCTTCAAATTTCCTTTAAAAAGTGATGAAAATGTCGAAGAAACCTCTTCAATCGCAAGCAAGACAAATTGTTTTCAATGTTTATCAAAGAATACTTGGTCAACAAGATGCAGAACATACACAATCATCGATATTGAGCCATGTGCAAGCGTTGACTGATTAGTAGGAGTGACACGTCTTGATACTTTGGTTTATGGGATTTTTCGTGTGTATTATATTATGTACTTATACTAAACTTTGGTTTATTTCAGGGGTTTCTTATACTACAAATAAACTTGGATAGTTTTGATTTAGAATTGATCAGAAACAAGATAAATGAGTTTTACACTGTTTCTTTCTCTCAAATAGGGATCGATGAATGGCTAAAATCTTGTGAACAAGATCGGTTAATTGAGATGCAGGAGGAAAGGTTTATCATAAATACTGCGTTGAAGACGTTTTTATGGATGTGCAGTATTTGGAACCATTTTCAAGTTCTTAATTAATTAATAAACTCATGAACAGAGTAATTTGAGTTTTCATCTAAATTTCAAACCCCACATTCGCCACATTTTCAAAAATTATCCTTGTTCATTGGAGAAATTTTTATATTTACATGTATCACACACAGAATCAGCCGCTATAAGGAAAAAAAATTATCAAAACGTTTTACTCCAATTTCCCCAGTATTGCTAGCGTAAATTTCTTTTTTCCCTTTTTGCCATCAGATCCTGGTAGACCTATACCACAACCTGCCGCAACCAGTGGATAAAACTAAACAATCCTCTGCAGTATCTGTACTTCTGTTGCGATACATACAATTTGCGGATCATATGTGACAATACAGTTCACAGTCGCGATATAAAGAAATCCGGAATAATAACTCTGCAAGATAAGTGCCAAATTAAAGGCAAGGATTTCACATTAATGGCAAGTGGGCAACAATTCAATACTTTACAAACGGCACCGAACATCCTTACACCAGATGTTCCAGACATCAACCACGTTATCAATATAACAATGCCTTACTTCAAAGAAGACGATACAGATATCGATAAACTGAACAGCTCTATAGATGGCTTGGAATCCCAAATAAAGAGCAACATGGATGAAATGCCTGAGCTGTCGAGCCACGACATACATCAATACTCCATCAGCTACAGCCTGGTCGCCGCGTGCGCGTGCGCGGCGCTCGTCGTCGCCTGGAGAAGGTGTCGGCGTCGGCGGCGTCTGGTGCTCTCACCGGGCGCGCAACGCAGTGACAATAGTGAAATAAAATCAGTGGTTCACAATGAAAGTGAAAGTGTTAGTGCGCGAAAGGCATTCTCGATAATCGAAGATAGTGTCATGTAGCATATAATCACTCATTTTTTTATTTTATTTTTTATCAGTAAATTTTTTTTCTCTCATTATTATGTATAATTTTAAGCATTTTGTTCATGTTCGGAAAGTAACCGAACACCTTGTAAAATAGCATAAGTAGTAAGTACGTATAGTTAGATCGCCGCCTGCGCGCGACGCTTTTCTATATAGGTACATCAGTGTGTCATCAACCATCTCCGCGATCACTCATTAAATTAGTTTTTAAGAGCAAAGCAATCTTTTATTTAAATATCATTAAAGTGTTTTGGCAGCAGCCCGAACATTTTTGGTCCTTCGAGCCTACGTACAGGCGGGACCTGGAACGCGAGTTTTCGTGAAAGTTTCGTGTGTACGAAGTGCTAGCACCATTGCATTAAATCATCAAGTGCGGTGAGCTGCACCAGCTCCCACACAGCATACATCACAGCATACATCAGTTCTGGTTCGGCAAGCCAGCAGGCTTGCTACCAGGGTTAGCAGCATCAGCATTCGTGAGGTGGCCAGGCAGGCTAACCACACAACAGCATCACTTCCTGTGGGCGAGCCAGGCAGGCTTGCTACGCAGCAGCATACAGCATCGACAGCACCGCGCGGGTTCGAGCAACAGCTCAACAGTAGCAGCATATCAAGTGAGATCTTTCCATATTACTGCTTAATCCAGTATGGATCTCGATAATCTTATTGAAAATCAAAAAACAACCTTTGAGGCTCTCGAGTCGTTACAAAGAAATATCAAAAAAGACCCCGCGGAAAGAAAGTCGCTACCGGACTATGCTAGGCGTAAGTTAGCTAATCTGGAAGACCTGTGGTCTGACTTTCAACAAAATCACATACAGTTGTGTGCCTACGAAGAAATCAAACAGCATCCGTACATTATCAATTCAGAATATCAATTGGCAACAACTTTGTATGAATCTACAAAGGCATTAATCAAGCAGATACAAGCAAGAGGTTCTGTCCATCATCCTATATTAGAAAAGGCATCTATTTCTGGTGTAAGGGATCGGGCAGCCTCTCCACTGTCAGCTATTAAGCCAGCGGAAACCATCGTGACTTCAGACGCAGCAGCACAGCATAATGAAGGTAATCAGCCTAGTCAACAGCAATCATCGTCTAATGTCACATATGAATCAGTACAGCAAGCAGAACCCCCGAAATCCAACGGGAAACTTCGGGAGCTCCTTAGAAAGCAGATATCAAACTTCAAAGCATTCGAGAGAACAGTCAGCAACATAGATTTAAGTAGCATGTCCGAAAAATGGGAGTTTGAATACACCCTAAAATCAATACAGCAGCGCTGGTCAACTATAGACTCTCTTCACTGGGAGGTCGACATGTACCAAGAAGGTGAGGATGAGGTATATCAAAGCATATTTTCTAAGCATTTTGTTTTTTTTTCTCCCGCCCGGGAGCATGTTCGGAAAGTAACCGAACACCTTGTAAAATAGCATAAGTAGTAAGTACGTATAGTTAGATCGCCGCCTGCGCGCGACGCTTTTCTATATAGGTACATCAGTGTGTCCTCAACCATCTCCGCGATCACTCATTAAATTAGTTTTTAAGAGCAAAGCAATCTTTTATTTAAATATCATTAAAGTGTTTTGGCAGCAGCCCGAACAGCACCACTGGTTTTTTTGTATGCATTATTTGTATAAAATTGTTTTTACAATTTGATATTTAATTTTTGTCGATAAAAACTGTTAACAAAGGACGATACTAGCCCATTGGAAAAATATTGCCAACCTTTGTAAATTAAACACTACAAATTTTGTTTTATCTCTTACTTAGGATGTAATGTGATTAGTGATGTTAGCCTTTCAAAATACTGGATTAAAATTTAATCCAGTAGTTTGAATAATTAATATACATTCGGGTGCTATTCTAAGATAATTCTTCTGAATTCTGATAAATTTCATTTCAAAACCCATAATCTGTGATTATTTACATTAGCTCTATGAGACTGCAGTCATGACTGTAAAAACGCGACTGTCTGTCAAGTTTAGTCTGTTTATTGCAATAATGTCAATTGTCATCTATTATATTATAAAGTTACGAAATTGTCAAAAAAAAATATTATATTTTTTGGTATCGACCTGTCCTATACAGGTTTTCACCATCTAATTTCCAGGATCCCAACACAATTTACAACAGCATATAAACAATAAATAGTAATTAACTTTTTAAAGCTTTGACAATAACTAGGACTTTATGTTTATATTGTTGAAGAGTCAAAACTTTAATAAAGATTATATATCGTGTTTTTATTAGGCTTGTGGTGTGGTTCAACATATAAGGATGAAGTTGGAGGAATGTGCCACTGTGGTGTGTAATACGGTGGTAACTGGCAGTGGTGGGCGCGCTCAGAGACTAGCGGTGGAGAGCAGCGGCACACTGGCGCTGTACGAGGGTTCTGTTCGGTTGCGGTCTTGGCCACTACATATTGCGAGACTCCGCTCAGATCTACCAGTATGTTGTTTGCTGACTTCTAAGGGTTTACTTCTTGAGACATAAGTGGGCAAACTGAACTATTTATTACTCTTTTTGGGATATGGTGTATAAAGAGGCGCATTTCACTAACATTACAATATTCCTATAAAGTTAGGTTTCAGGTTTAATCCTTATACATCTCCAATAAGCATTTCTTTTACCTTTGAGACTTTGGACTTTGTTGATGAGGAATTTTGAGTCTAAATTGTATTTGTATGTAAACCACCATCTTTTGAATTCTCTTTAAGGGATAATAATCAGCTATTGTTTGTTCTTAGTTAGTTCTGTAGTATCCTGTCCATAGAACATCTTATTTATTTGAAAATACCTGACCCAAGTCATTCCTCTGTAGATTCAGGTCTGGTCTTTATCTAAAATGAAAATTGTATCATTTCTGAAGTAAGGTTGGGTGGTACTTCTGCTTCATTGGCGGCAGTAAATAAACCAAACAGGTATACTAGGAAGAGGCGAAGTAAAATGAGGATGAATTAGAAAACACTACAATACTGAAATCGCCAAAAACCAATCGGCCTGGCCAGATCATAAATGTGATGAATAAAGCTGAGATTTAAACCAATGCGCCAACCAATAATCTACAAGAACTGACATCTACTATGCACAAAATGTATACCACCATCTTTTGAATTCTCTTTAAGGGATAATAATCATGTCATAAAAAAAATTAAATGATATGGAGACGAATGTCCGACCCCAATAGTGAGACAAGGCGACTTGTTGTCTCCAAAACTCTTTTCTGAAGTATTTAAGAGTGTTATTATTAATAAGTTGGTAAACACACTACCAACTTAATCATTTCGTTGATTAAGTTGGTAGTTGACCTCTCTGCGGATTATGAAAAATTATCCAGTCTGTTTTTTAAAGAATTCAAAGAGGTTGCACTAATTACACTTTCCGAACCGAACGAATATTGAGTGATTTTTAGAGCTTTAGAGAACTTCCTTTACTTAGAGGTTCTCGTTACCCACTCGGCGCGGAAACATCGATTACGCAAGCTCCGTAAACAGAAATTCGAAAAAGCGGTGAAAAGTGTTTTAATGTAGCAAAATTATATATCAAACGACGCGGGAAAATACAGTGAATACAGTGGTGTTAAAAGACTTACAATTCGATAAACCATTTGGAATATAAATTAACAACAAACGCCTGAAATCCTCACCTACTGCTAGTGATTGCACCGTGGTGGGCCAAAACGAGCCGTAAAATATTATTATTTTATAGTTAAGTGTCTTAAACGTAAGTGACACTCACAGTGAATAATGGAAAGTAAGACTGTGACTTAAAATAAATGACGCGCCTTCACCCTTGAGCTTCTGTTGGTGTCATCACGCTGCGTATATCTACCCTCAAGTGGAAGAAAATAATAAAAATAAAAGTAACTTAAAAATAGTGAGAAACAGAAAACTAGGCAACGGAAAAAGTGTAAATACGTATAATAATAATTTGAGCATAACACTTATTCAATAAACATTTTAAAATTGTTTTTGCAACATGAGTACTACCGGAATGTCAGAAGATATGGTGAGGCTATTCCAAATGATGAAATCTGAACTCGACCAACAAACCGCAACTATTACAAAGAACGAAACCGAAAATATTATGCGCTCCATAGATGAAAAATTGCAACCAATTTTGGAAGAAAATAAATGCCTAAAAACTGAGATACAAAAATTTAACGAAAAGGTGAGACATTTAGAAGATAAAAATAAGAAAAATAATTTGATCCTACACGTTATTAAAGAAACAGAACAAAAATCACCAAGAATTACCTAACACAATAAAAGAAACCTTGAATAATCTAGATGTTAACATCGATAACTACAAAATAAATAACTACTATATACTGGGAAGGAAACAAGATGAGGGAAAAGTAAGACCGATACTTATAACTTTTACGTCATGCTCAGCTTTAACTGAAAAATCATCTCAGAAATATAAATTATAGGAATTAGCAGACACCGGTAACGAGATTAAGATTAAGATAAATAATTCAAGATAAACTTTAAAGAAACATCTTTCAAGACGGCTGGTCACCGCGAAAGATTATGAACAAAACCCTCCAAGGACATCATCATAATACCACACAAAACAAGCAAAGAAAAAGATAACGAAGGAAAATCACCATCTTTATATACCTGATAACTTACAACGCTGGAACGCTGGAACGCTTTCATCATACGAAAATATATTAGAAATAGAGAAAGCGCTAGAAGGTATAAAATACGATATAATTGGTATTTCGGAAGTCTGACGCCTCGGAAATATAATAGATGAATACATTAAAAAAATCGCGGGTCCTCACTGGGTTCAAATAGCTCGGGATAGAGAAAGATGGCAAGCCTTGAAGGAGGCCTTTACCGGAGAGGGTTCCTGATACTTACTAACTGTAAAAGATATTCACTAACACATGAGATAATTAGATATTTTTATGTTACAGAAGGCAAACGGGCAGGAGACCCACCTGATGTTAAGTGATACCGCCGCCCATGGTCATTCGCACGCTCTTTTCTTGAAGGACCCTAAGTCGAATTGGTTCAGAGATACTTCAGTGGGCAGCTGGTTCCACATAGTGGTGGTGCGCGGCAGAAATTGCCTTAATAAACGCTCAGTTGTGGGACGTCATGGTGATACGGATGGTATTTTGTATTCTGTCTTGACCGATGATGAAACTAAACATCAGGTATTAGTCCGAACAACTCCTCTGAACATGGTAAATGCGGTAGAAAATGCAGAGATCCCATGATTGTATCAAGCCGCTCGGAAAGTGACTGGTCGTTGACGATTCGAATCCCTCTTCGTTGAATACGGTCAAGCGGAAGGAGCTGGTACTGGAGAGCTCCCGCCCAGAGGTGAGAACAGTACTACATGTGGGGCCGAATTCGCGCTTTATAGAGTTGCAAGCGGTGGCCCGGGGTGAACCAAGCTTCTTTGAGGTGGCTAACTTAGCCTTTCATTCCAAATGATCGCGAACTTGAACGTCATTCGATATGTCAACGCCCAGTATCCCGATGCTAGCTGAGGCTTTGAGGAGAATGTCTCGAAGAGAGGAGTAGCGACAAAGGGTTTATTTTTAGCGGAATACGCGCAAACTTGTGTCTTCTTGTGGTTAAATTGGACTAGATTTAGTCTTCCCCTGTCCAAACTCTGCTACGTGGAGTTTCGGACTGGGGTTTCAGACACTGGTTGAGACAAGAGTTAATTGCTACGTAACGAATGAATGCGATGTGCAGAGGGCTCTTAAAAGTAACGTCCACGTATTACACTTTACTCACATTTGCAGGCTTTGTTAAAATCTTACTTTAGCTTTAAATTTATGTTCTACAGAATTGTGAAATAAGTATTGAAATGGGCGGAGAGACTGTTAAATGGGCGTGTCCCGATGAAACATCACGCGCTCACCTAAACCGCGCAGCGGTCGCCGCCACTTCGTCTACTTCCAACAATTCTCTTTCGGAAACTGAGCTAGCTTCTTTGCTAGAAGATGCCGAAATCGAAGAAGGCGACGCCGAAAGACGTGTCAAGAGGTTGGCCGAGAAATTAGCTCGACTGGATGCTCTGAACGTCGGAGGCATGTTGGCTGCTGCCACGGAAGGAGGCGGTGCTAGACTTGCCGCCAGGCTTGAGGGTATGTGGCTTCCGCTTTTTAACAATAAGGTCGATGTGCACGTTCCGTAGTTTTGACAGTAGTCCGTAAACTATTTTAGGTCACTAAAAAGTATTCAATGACAATATTTCTCATTTCTAGAGACCCTAACGAGTGATTTTATATATTTGTAATTTTAATATTTAGTAATAAAGTATATTCAACGCGAAGCAGACGTTTCATTGCACTAAAATAGTTATACCAGTCAAAAAAGCAACCTTATCGCCCCAACATATGGTCGAAATATTATTAGGCTATTTCTTGGATGACGCTGACAAAATTCAATAAGTATTAGTATAAGATCCCGATATACAACGACCTTCACCGAGATGCTTATTTAATGAAACGTATTTTATATTTAATTTAATATGTCAATAAATATAATCCATATGGGTTGCCTAGCAAATTTAAGTCCAGAGTATGTTTAATTAATATTTAAAAAATAAACATTTAGGGGAAGGTGGGGACCCTTCGTACGGTTTTCACATTTTATTTTTTAATTTTTTTATTTTTCCATGAATCAATCACCTGATAGCTTAAATTTATAGTCTAACTATCTGAGATTCAAATAAAAAAATGACAAATGATTTCATCCGATGTTTCAACCATAATTATGATTTAAACTAAATCTGGAAAACGTACGAATCTGCCCCATCAACGGGGCACCTTCGTACAGTGTTTGGGGTACCTTCTTACGCTGTGGGGTAGTTCAAAATTCATTTATTAGCAATGAAATTAAACACAAAAATAAAGATTTAATTTCTATTAAACAAAAATAAAATACTTTTCTTATGTAAAACAAAATTTAATTAGTTAGGTATCTTAAATTTAGAATTACATTTTTTACTCTTTGGTGTGGATTACAACTTCTTATTTTCGGGTGTGGCAGTATAAATTCGTGGTTTTCCTGGCCGTCATCGTCATTTTGCTTGTTTTATTACTTCTTACAGAATGCGAATAGGGTCGAAATGCCTCTGGTGTCAAAACTGACTTCGAAGGAACTACTATTTGATGGATTGGTAAATTATTCACAGCATCTGGTTCACAAGCATCAAAATCAACCTTAGTCAAGATGCCTTAACAGTAGTGTAATATGTAGAAAGTCGAAAACTTAATTTGTATGAAAAAGACAGTTCGCGTCGACAAATTATTATACAAATTTAGTTGTACAATTCGTACAAATGTGCCCCATCTAGTGCTGTCCGAATGTACCCCACTAACTGAATAACAACAAAATATAACTTATTTTAATATTAATAGGAAAACGTCATAAATTAAGTATTGGAGACGTATCTTAAGTATATTTTGCTAGTTACTGATAGAATACTCTACACGAAAACTTATTTTATCTACGGTAACAAGAGATAAAAACATAGATCAAAAAATTACTTACCGAGCGCGAAAACACGTCTATGCCTGTAACTTCACTCTCATCGGTGCGAATTTCACGAAACTTCGTTGATGTATAGTTGGTACCTCGACTCATGCACACATACAAAAGCAAGACTGTACTTTATTTCGTTCAAGTTTTATTTTGACTGTATGAATGTGCCCCGCGTACGAAGGGTAACGATCTTCCCCTACTTATAATTTGCATGTAGTAATTTTTTTTATTTTTTTTCTATCAATATTTTTAATCAGGGTAGTATTAGATATGTATCACTATAACTTTCTTTTTTACTAAAGATGTATATATACTTTAGTGTCACATAAATAATTAATTGATTAAAAACAACCTAACGTTTGCATATTCTATGGGCTTCATACTATCGATTGGTATAGAATTTATCTAATAATCATACCGGTGAAATGTTTAAAAAAATATTTTTTTTTTTAATATTAATTAAAATACTCTGGACTGAAATTTGCTAGGCAACCCATATGGATTATATTTATTGACATATTAAATTTAATATAAAATAAGTTTCATTAAATAAGCATCTCGGTGAAGGTCGTTGTATATCGGGATCTTAGACCATATGTAAGGAAATTAGTAGTATAATCGTCAGACGTAGACAACCTTAGATAAGTTATTATAATATTTCACACTACTGCCTATTATAGACGAGGCTCCGACTCTGTGTTGTTTTAAAAAGTAGTAATTTATAAAACGTCACGACTCGCAGAGGGCAGCGCGCTGGGAGCATCGCTTTCGGCGCGAGCGGGCAGGCTGGAGGCGCTGGCGCGGGCCGGCGGAGGAGCGCTGCCTGCGCGATGGGCGGGCGGCAGAGCCGACGACGGCGCCCGGGCCCTCCGCGCCGAGCTCGCCCACGTCGCGGCCTGGCTGGACGCGCCCGCCCTCGCCGACCTCGACCGGCTTCCCGAGGTGAGCGCCGGCGCTCTCACCCGAGTCGCCGTCGGGCCGGAATCTAACGGCGGCGCTCACGTAAATAAGTCTGCGAGCAGATACCGCTGGCGACCGCGGAGGGAAGGGCGCGGGCGTCGGCGGCGGCGGATGCGCTGATCGACGCGCTCGAGGCCGAGCGGACCGCGCCAGCCGCCCGCCTCCGGCTGGCCGCCGTGAGGGAACGTCTGCGCCGACTGCGTCGCGCGCGCGAGCAGCTGGCCGCCGCCGTGGCCCGCCACCTCAACAACGCGCTCATCCACCTCGCCAACGAGGCGCAGACGGCGTCGGGAGGTCCCCCGCGCCGCCACCACGCCGAGCTGGCGCCGTACGCTCCGCTCGCGCGCCGCCTGCGCGAGATGGACGAACGCGCGCACGAGGCGCTGCTGCGCGTCTACGTGTCGACCTGGAGCAAGCTGTACGAGCGCGAGACGGCGGCCGCCTGCGCCGTCGCCCGCGAGCGCCTCGACCGGCCCGACCGCGTCGACGCGCCGCTCGCCGACGTGCTCACCGCGGTGGAGACGTTGTGCGACGCCGAACAGGATTTCTGCACGCGCTTCTTCGCTCTCGACGTCGATCGGAAGGTGAGACTGCGGTCGATCGGCACGAGACGCGTCTACGATGACGTTTCGGCCGTTCACTCGTTGTTTAATGGGGCTTCTAAACCATGCCAAGCCATGTTTTGCTGCAATTGATGTCTGCACTGTTGGCAACTAATAGCCCGGCCATTACAAAAATATTTTAATGCAGCTGATGGCCGAGCAATCTATGGCTGGGCAATGTGTTGCAATATGTCTGCAATAGTATGGCCCATGATGCAGACTCCTAAACGGGCTACACAAACCGGCAACAATGGCTGACGAAATCACACTTGTCGCAGCAGCTTATATTGTTTAAAAAAGAAACAGAAAAAGAAGAGATTGTGGATTCGACCTTACTTAAATAGGCGTGGAACTGTAGACAATTTGAGTCTAGAAATAAGCCTTGATAATAAATTATTCAAGAACTTTACTAGAATGTCAAAAGGCGACTTCGACTTTCTTTTAAACAAAATTGGACCAAAAATAAAAATAAGATTTTTGTAAGCCTCGTTGCTTGTTATGCCAAACTTTTCAGCGATTTCATTCCATGCATTTTTTTTAGCATTCCTATCTTTGTATAAGCCGGTTTTTATATCCCACAACTCAGTGTGTAAATGTACTTCATTAATGAAATTAGTAATTGTCTCGTTAGACGACGTAATAGTCATTACTACGTAGTAGCCTAACCTCAAAAATCAAAATGCAGTTGATCGCATAACACAGAATAGAAAAGGATACACTGTGCCATAACAAAGAGAGTGACTGAAACAACAATAGAACTGGCTGCGAAAAAAGTAAAAAGTAGTAAAGTAAAAAGAAAAGTTGGAACAACTCACTTTGATACTTTGACATTAATTTTTATACTAGTGGATGCTTGCAATTTTGTCCGCGTTATGAGGAGATTAAGGCTAAGTTCAGATGACCGCGCGTCGCCACGCGGTTGGAGCATTCACATGACGGTATATGTGCGCGCGCCAGTGTGGCTTCAACATTGATTGACAATGGACGTGGAGGAGGCAATTCGATTTTATATAGAAGACTGAGACGTCGCAGAAGAAGACAAAGACGATACTGGGTGCATCCAATTTTAAGTGACAGACTTTCTTCCAGCCTGTTTGACACTTTGTATCCCGACTTGAGGTTACACGAAGATAATTTTTTTAACTATTTACGGATGTCAGTTGCATCCTTTGATTTTTTATACGATTCTATTGACAATGATTTAAAATCTAGTGAAGATGCTATAAGATATTGCATATCACCGAAAGAAAAACTCATTGTAACATTAACAAATCGATAGGCACAATTTCATCTTCGGTACTCATTGCATCGATCTATGTGTCTTTCCGTCTCAAGCCGCGCGGATCATCTGAACTGGTCGATACAGGTTTGCAAAACTTGTGCCGCGCGCGGTTCAAGATCTTGCGCGCGGGTCGGAGCGCGCCGCGCGTTGGCGTGCGGTACCGCGCGGTACAAGATCAATATAAACGGTAATTATCGTCTACATTAGGGTAGGGTGCCCTCACTACCAACAGTGCCCTCATCTTAAAATACACTTTTAGCCATTTTTATTGATAAAAACTTTTAAGTTTGATAGTTCTTAATTTAGGTTGTTTTAACAATTAAGTTATTTTAACAAATAAAACACTATTTATCTTTAAAACATTTTTATTTCATTATACTATTTATTTTTAAGTGACTCTAATGTCTTCATCAGAATTTCGGTTTGTAATTTTAAATTAATCATTACTTGGTTGTGCATTTCTGCCATATTCTTAACTCTATGTTTGTGTTCTATTTGAAGCCGCTCATTTTCCAGAGCCTGAAAGCTATGCATATATTGATACGAGGCTTCTCCAATACTAAAACTACTACTTGCTTTCTGCAACAAAAGATAATATTAATATAAGCTCTGTCCATGCAAAACTTAAAAAAAATATATTTCATATTATACAAATCCTTCCTGGAAGAACTAAGTCTATATATTAGTCAGATCAAAATCCATTGTGTAGTTTAGAAAAACTAATTGCACATGCTACAGACTGAATAGACTGAATAGCAACTTTCTTTTATTCTATTTAGAGATAGAGATAATTTAAATATAATACCGGTGTCTTCCTTGTAGGTTTCTTTGGAGTTGTTTGGGGATTCTTGTTGTTCAGTTCGACATGATTTTCTTTAACCTTTGGATTATAATCCTACAAAATAATGAAATTGTTAAGTTATGTTGTCACTGTTGTGCACACCTTTGTCTGGCTTTTCTAGTATTCAAGTTATGTCAAAACTGATATATTACCTTGTCATTGTTGGCTTTATTTTCTTTTGGGATATCAATTGTTTCCAAAATGATTTTATTTGTAATATCCTGAAATATATAAATAACATCTATTAATTTATGTATCATGATGAATTGAGTGGTTCGCACTCAGGTGTTAAGGTGTATTATACCCACTGTCCATTATAAGTGGGAATGAGCTCACTTCTGGCTGGACAGAGTTTCGGTACTACAAGTGCAACATGGATGTTTTGAGGTATTAGAATATCTCTGACTACCCTGTAGGGGAATAAAGTACTGTTGTGAGCATATGCCTATGCTTGAAAGGTTGAACCTTGAACATCACCATACATCATATTTATAATTAACATTCCTACCTCGACACCATCACAATCAAATTCATTGAAATCTACTTCAAACTGTTGCGGTATCATCTCTGCCACGTCCATTGTGTCTGGAGAAGGTGATGGTGGCTTTGTTCCACCTCCAGTTTTTGATGTTTCACGGCGATAAGATGACAACTTATTCTATTTAGTGCACTTCCACTGATTCATCAATTGTTTTTTGTCTCTTGTCCTTATATTTGCTAGATTAAATCTGAAAAATTACATGTTTTGATTAAACAATGTGGCCTTTTTTTGAGATGCAGGTACTTATTATTCAGTTTTACTCAACAATAATACTCGATAATAATATTACATACGGATAGTTAACCTCAATTGTATTGAAGCACTTAGGAAGGTTGATGAACACAGTCTTTTCACAAATATTTTCTAATATTAATTAGTATTGATTTAAATATTCAATTTTAATCACTTCTTCAAATAATTTTTTTGGGTTAAAAGTGTAGTTTCAAACACTCGTAAACACGCACAGGACGGCGGCGAGTGCGAAAAGAGCGAGGCCGCGGTGAGGCGCACCATGTGCGAGCTGTTCCCGGCGCTCGAGCAGCAGCTGCTGGGGCTGCTGGCGCACGTGGAGCGGGACCCGTTCGGGGCCATGCGAGCGCTGGCGTGGCTGGGCCGGCGCGTGCTCGGCGACGGCGGAGAGGCGGCCGACGGGCGCTGGTCGCGGCAGGTGCTGGCGGCGGTAGCCGTGGCCGCCAAGCGCGCCGCCGACCGCGCCCTCGCCGAGCGCCTGGCCGCGATGCCCGACGCCGTCAAACAGGTCGGACGCGTCCGCCGACGACCGGCACTTCTCTTCGTCCGCTCCGTGAACCCTTCCCATTTGCACGTTTGTCGTTCGTCAGGCGGCCAAGAAGCCCAAGTGCGGCATCTTCGGCTTCATCTCGGAGCTGGAGGAGGTGAGCGGCGAGTGCGAGCGGATCTTCGCGGGCGGCAGACGCGCTGAGCTGGACCGCTGGTACTGCGCGCTCGTAAGCGGCGCGATGGCCGCCGTGGAGGCCGCCGAGCATCCGCGCACGCCGCGCGACGTCGTGCAGCTCGAGAACTTTCATAGGTTACACGCGGCCCTGAGCGCACTGCGCGTGCCCGCGCTCGAGCCGCTCCGGCGCGAGGCCAAGCGGCGCTACGCCGACGCGCTGCGCCGCTACGTGACGCTGTCGTTCGGGCGGCCGCTCGACAAGGTCGCCGCCTTCTTCGAGGGCGTCGCCGAGGCGGTCGCGGCGGGCGCCCGCGAGGACGAGGTCTGCTTCCGCGCCGCCTTCGGCAAGCACGAGCTGCGGCGTCTGCTGGCGCTGTACCCGCCGCACGAGGTGCGTCGTTCGCTGCACCGCCTGTATCGCAGCGTGGAGAAGCACCTGAGCGAGGAGGCGGGGCTGCTGCAGGTGGTGTGGCGCGCCATGCAGGAGGAGTTCCTGGCGCAGCACGTGGCGCTGCAGACGCGCATCGCGGCTTGCTACCCCGGCGCCGGCTTGGCGCTGCCCCTCGACACGGCCGACATCCTGAGCGCCTTCTCGGATATCGCGCGCGACCACTGACTCCGGTCGAGTCGCACACTATCAATATACATACACACACAGAAAATATTGAATTAAAAAACACAACATGCACGTACATCAAGAATAAGTATGTACGATATACACAGAGACAAAATCACAATTAATATAAAACTTATTTATGAGGTGTAACACGACACGGAGATTGTCGCAAAATGGATCAGCCTGGCAAGTCACCATTCATGTCTACGAGGTTATTCAAAACTTTCAAAACTAACAAATTTCATTATTTAACCGGCATACATGTCTAGGGGAATGGCGGTTATCCGAACCGAATATTGAGAATTTAATCATATAGTTTTCAACTTCCCTCCCTTATCTCGTCAACCTGGAGTATTGGTTCTCCATTTTGATGTAGAATTTAAAACCATCTTATTTCGATGTTGTGGGCACACCATCTCGGTATGCCCACAACTTCGCTTTGTCACAATTCCCCATCTCGCGTCGCGCTAATACTAGATTTAACAAACGAACCTATATCATTTATAAACAGCGTAAAAAGATCAGGGCCAAGATGGGGTCACCCGTTAGGAAAGTGTCGTATTAGAAGTAACCCAATATATGTGTGGAGAGTGAGGTATTTTTTTAGACTCAAATGTTATCTGAAATCTTAAAAAATTCGTCGTTGAGTCTTATAATCGCCGCAGATTATCACTTGACCCGTTGGTTTAACAACGTTGACAGTGGATGTCGGCCTTTCTACTGGTCTAATGTTTGTATCTCTTAAAATACTTTCTGTAAGTACAGGTTTAGTTCCGGGTTTAAGTATATTTCGACCTTATAATCTATACCTTAGCTAATTTGTCGTGAAAAGGCGAAAATTATTTTTTAATGAAGTTGCTTTAGTTAGTTAGGTTAGGTAGTCTAGGAAATACTATACCACAAAGTAATTTCCGAGTTGACGATGGTTTACTGTTTTTGTTCTGTGATTGACACTTCTTAATCTTATTAATAATTGATGTTGAAGTTATTGTGGCGTGTTCCGCAAGTTACGCAATTTCAAAATCGACATGATAGAGACCGGTAGCAAGTTTGTCATCAAAGCCGCAGTCGTCTATTAGCTTATGTTTCATGGTCTCATTTTCCTTATTGCAATTCCAAAAATCTATTAATACAGGATGTTATAACAATTAAAAATGTTACTCTCGCTATTATTTAATTTATTATTTAAATTTTTAAGTAGAGTAGATTTAGAATCATACATGAAAATAAGACTTGAAAAAGTAATCTAAGGTTATCCAAAAAATAGGCTGACTATGAAAAAATAATGTGAAAAGAGTGTATATTTAATATTGTGTTTATAAAGGTTATAGGATAGAATGGTAATTATATGTATTTTTGTTAATAAAATGATATATCAATTAAATACTATTGTTTAATTTCTAAGAATACATGTTTTCATCAATGCAGTGCTTAGTCAAGTGACTTTGGTGGAGCATAGTTGAAGTACAACAACCCTGAGCCCTTTGCCTGAAACAAACGAGATTTCTAGTTCATTTTTGTACATAAATATGACTTCATTTGATTCAATTGTTATGTAGTTAGTTACTTCATACTTACAAGAGCAAATGAAAAGACTGAAAAAGCAATTCCAAAGGCAAGGATAGAATTGTAGCGGCGCTGGTCAGCATCATACTTGGCTTGCCAAGATCCACGTGGCACTGGCAGCTCATCCATAGAGGGTGGTTTGAACTGAGACCCACCATGGTAACGGCGCACTGCAGCACACAATTTATATATTCGGGGTCTTCACAACTATTATATATAAGAGAATCATGAATTTGCTACACATATTTTTTTAAGATGTACAACACACATTTACAATTGTTAACCAAGTCTTGATTATGAACAAAAACTGCTTACACTTTATATTATATCTAGCTATAAAGAATAATTAAGGTAAGTAACTAACAAATCAAAGTCAATATGACCTAAAAAGATCTTTACAAAATGTATAAGTAATCTTCAATCCATTTTTTAAATGCTGCGTTTATGGTTTTGTACTGTAGGCATCTTATAGCATCATGTTAAAACAAATACTAGAGGCAGATATGAGTCGGACCGTACCCTATATTTAATATCTGCATACAAGCATTTAAAGGTTAGTTATGTAATAATTTTTTAATTAAATAAAACGCATATTATTATGAAACCATCATATAAGAAATGTGTTCAAGTTCCAAATGTAGAACACGGGATATGTTTTTAGAGAAGAAAACTTAAAAAATAAATGAATAAAAATGTAAGGCCTTAATTATTTACCTGTCGTTTGCATTAGACGAGACGCTACAACTCTAGGCAAAGCCATGGTTATAACTTGTTACGAAATTTCAAGGATGAAAAATAAATTCTTAATGATTATTAATTTTATATAAAAAAACCTAATGCGGATTATACTTCGGCAGATGCACGTCGTTAGTCGTACCCGTAACACAGGTCATAGACTAAAACACACTATACCTCACAGTGCACAGGGAAATAGTAACAAAGAGTAATATAAGCAGTGTTGCCAACTTAATTTTAACGAACCCACCAATTTTGCCGTCGCAACCCACCAGAAAACCACTAAAATCCACACTAACTAATAAAATAAATGTAAGTGTGTTTGTTTATTTATCCTTTTTTCACGCCAATTACATACGGTACCCTAAAGAACTTTGCTGACATCGCGGCACGTGTATGGTCAACGTGCCGGCTTCAAGGAATTACTCTGCTGACACAGTGTTTACCGCGATTTAACATTTTAATTAAATAAAATATGTTTGCCACTCCGTATATATCTAGCATCGATAACGGATGTAATTTTGTAATTTAATTATAAGTTTAAATATAATAAATACCTAGCTAACTATTGGTTTTTTTTGGGAGTCCGGGCTGACGAAATCGTAATTGGCGCAGTCGGTAGGATACTTTCGGGGCTACTACGATCGATATAAAGAAGATTTCCGGGGTCTAGATTCGACACCGCGCGCGGTCGTTCTAGCTGTCGCTTTTAAGCGTTCACCGAAATATCAAAGAACATTTCGAAGCAGCCGGGGCGTACTCAAACTTCAGTGCAACTCAAAGAAAACCAGGGAAGTCGACGAGTTATGTGAGTACATTGAATTATTTTTCCATCAGTGTTGCTTTCTCCTCGTCACAATTTTCCGTCCTACGAAAAATAGTCCTGTGTCCTCCAGGCATAAAATTCGTAGGGATAGCTTAGTAGACTTGAATCGTCAATTAGGTGTAGACTCGAATCGTCAGTTAAGTGAAGGCTCGAATTGCCCTCCAGTAGATTTAAATAATTTTCCTGAGAGCTCGAATTGCCCTCAAAGTTTAGACAGTAGGTTGAATTTAAGTTTTAGTAATTTAAAATATAAAATGGATCCTGATACAGTATATAAGGCTCTCCGCCCAGTTCCTGAATTTGACGGTAACCCACATATTCTCCCTAGATTTATTAGAATATGTGATCAGATCGTAATTCAATGCGTGAAGGACGAGTTAGGATATGAATTATCGAATTTATGTGTTATAAATGGCATTTTAAATAAAATTACTGGTTCCGCAGCTCGTACAATTAATTCAAATGGTATTCCTGAAAATTGGATAGGAATTAGAAATACTTTAATTAATAATTTTTCTGACCAAAGGGACGAGACCGCCCTTTACAATGACTTAGCATTAGCGACACAGTGTAATGAGACTCCACAAGAATTCTATGACAAATGCCAAAACCTTTTTAGCACTATAATGTCTTATGTATCGTTGCACGAGACATTAGAGACAACTATAGAAGCTAAGAGAATTTTATATCGGAAATTAACTTTACAAGCGTTTGTAAGAGGTTTAAAAGATCCTCTCGGGTCCCGAATAAGGTGTATGAGACCTGAAACTATTGAGAAGGCTTTGGAATTTGTCCAGGATGAACTTAATGTTATGTACTTGCAGCAGCGAAATAATTTAGCAACAGATCTGAAGAAACCATTATTACCATTAACACCACACAACTCACACCAACAATTTACACAGCCTAAATTTCCTCCTATGAATAATAACTTTTATTCTCCTAAATTTTTATCCGGACCTAGTTGGCATAAACCTAATTTTAATCCCCAATTTAATAGTCATCAGCGCATGCCTATGCAACCAACGCGTACTCAGCAAATGTTCCGAGCACCATTGCCTAATAATAACAGTGGTTTTAGAATACCTAACAGGAACCCTCCACAGAATAATTCTGGCCCTAAGCCTATGAGTGGAGTGAGTCATTTTGTGACAAAACCTTTACCACCTAGAATTCCCGGTCATGATTGGCAAAAATTCGGCAATCCTCCTCCATCTAATTACTTTAAGTTTAGAGAAGTTAATTTTAATGAATTTAATGATTATAATGATTATGAATACGACACTGATTATGTTGACTATAATTATTGTAATATTGACTATGACTATAATGACTATTATGGACAATACTCTTATTGTGACTCAGATAATAATCAGTACTATGAACAGCAAGATTTACCACCAATAGAGGATACTCGCTATAATAATAACATGCCTAGTACTAGTAAAGACATTGAACCGAGACATTCCAAAGGTAGAAAACGTCAGGATTTTCAACAGAGCCATCGAAAATCCCCACCAGAATAGAATTAAATATACAATCAAAAAAGAATTACCTTATATCAAAATTAACAATCCACCTTTAAAACTTCTTATTGATACAGGAGCAAACCAATCATTCATAAGCCCTGAAGCAGTAGATAAATATTTCAGTAATATTCCGAAAATGTACGATCCTTTTGAAGTTACTAATTCTAGATTAACAAGCGTTCATGAACACTCAATATCAATTCCTAGTTTTCCTGAATTTAATGATACTAAAAATATAAAATTATTTATCTATAAATTTCATAATTATTTTGATGGTTTGATAGGATTAGATTTATTAGAAAACTGTAGAATCGATTTTAAAGACGATATACTAATCACTGACAATGCAAAAATCCCTCTATTGCGTTATAAATGTAAAAAATACACAGAACAAATAATACCAGCGAAATCATCTCGTTTAGTTGGTATACCGATACATCATGACGATGGTGACGTGTTTATACCAGAACAGCTAATAAGTAATTGCATTATTCACGAATGCATTACTAATGTGACTGATTGGACTGGTATAGTAGAAGTTGAGAATATGACAGACGAAGACATTGTATTTCCAATAGACAGACCTTTACAACTTAACTTATTTAACTTTGAAAGTTCTTATACTGAACTGGACTCAGACAGGGTAAACCAAGTTTTAGACAGACTTAGAACTGATCATTTAAATAGCGAAGAACGAGTAAATTTAGAAACACTTTGTAAGCGTTACGCTGACATATTTTACATTGAAGGTGAACCATTAACCTTCACTAATAAAATCAAACATAATATTAGAACTCATGATGAAAACCCAGTCTTTTCCAAAAGTTACAGATATCCTTTTGTACATCGTCAGGAAGTTAGGGAACAGATAAGTAAAATGCTCGAACAAGGTATAATACGACCTTCTGACTCTGCTTGGAGCTCACCCATTTGGGTAGTCCCAAAGAAAGCTGATGCATCTGGTAGACAAAAATGGCGACTTGTAGTGGACTTTAGGAAGTTAAACGACAAGACTATTGACGATAAATACCCTATTCCAAACATCACCGACGTTTTAGACAAATTAGGTAGATGTCAGTATTTTACGACTCTTGACCTTGCATCTGGCTTTTACCAAGTCGAGATGAATCCTGAAGACATACCGAAGACAGCATTTAACGTAGAACACGGTCATTTTGAATTTCTACGCATGCCAATGGGACTCAAAAATTCACCTTCGACATTTCAGCGTGTAATGGATAACATCCTTAAGGGTTTACAAAATGAGATATGTTTAGTGTACCTTGATGACATCATAGTTTTTAGTACATCTTTGCAGGAGCATATAATTAATTTAGAAAAAGTATTTAACAGATTGAGAGAGTCCAATTTCAAGATCCAGATGGACAAATCTGAATTTTTGAAACTTGAAACCGCTTACCTTGGTCATATAATTAGTAATGAAGGTATTAAACCGAACCCCGATAAAATTAGAGCCATAGAAAATTATCCTTTACCTAAAACAACAAAGGAAATTAAACAATTTTTAGGACTATTAGGTTATTATAGGAAGTTCATACCTGACTTTGCAAGACTAACGAAACCGATGACTAAATGTCTTAAAAAGACTAACAAAATAACTTTAGACTCTGACTATATCAAATGTTTTGAGAAATGCAAAACCTTACTAACTAACGATCCTATTTTACAATATCCCGACTTTAACAAAGAGTTCATTCTGACAACAGACGCCTCCAACGTAGCTTTAGGGGCAGTACTTTCACAAGGCACAGTAGGCTCTGACAAACCGATCTGCTATGCTTCTAGAACATTGAGTGACAGTGAATTGAATTACAGTACTATCGAAAAAGAACTTTTGGCAATAGTTTGGGCAACTAAGTATTTTAGACCCTATTTGTTTGGTAGGAAATTCAAAATTATTACAGACCATAAACCACTCCAGTGGATTATGAATTTGAAGGAACCGAACTCGAGACTGACGCGATGGCGACTTAAATTGAGTGAGTTTGACTATACAGTGATTTACAAAAAAGGAAAATATAATACCAACGCTGACGCTTTATCCCGTGTACAAATTAATAACGAGGAAATAGAGTCACTTCTTAAAGAATGTGGTATAGATGTGTCAGTAAGACCTGAACCACCAGGATCTACTACTGTAACAGCACACACATCCGCTGAAAATCCTATCCTTGAAATACCTATCACAGATGAACCACTTAACAAATTCCATAGACAGGTTTGTTTGACTATAGTAGGTGACATTAAAAGAAGACCGAATGTTACTAAACCTTTTGATACCCATACGCGTACGCATATACAAGTCTCAGAGTCTTCATTAGAACAAGACGTCACAAATGCAATAAAAGAATTTGTCAATCCTAAAATAAAGACTGCTATTAAAATAACTCCACCATTAGGTATGTATTCGATAATCCCAATCTTACAAAATAACTTTAAATGTAACTCTATGCATCTGGTTTTAGTAAAAACCGAGTTAGAAGATGTTAAGGAGTATTTACGGCAGCAAGAAATAATTAAACACTATCATGAAGGTAAAACTAACCATAGAGGTATCAATGAATGTTATTTAGCCTTATCACGTCGTTATTACTGGCCTAAAATGAGGGAAGAAATTACTAAATATATAAATGAATGTACAATTTGTGGACAAACTAAATATGATAGAAATCCAATTAGACCACAGTTTAACATAGTACCACCTGCAACAAAGCCTTTTGAGATAGTTCATATGGACCTATTCACAGCGCAAGCTGAAAAATATCTTACCTTTGTAGATTCTTTTTCAAAATACGGCCAAGCATATCACTTACGAGATGGTACAGCTATAAGTATCATTCAAGGTCTATTACATTTCAGTACTCATCATGGACTACCTTTGACTATTGTGACAGATAACGGGACTGAGTTCACTAATCAACTTTTCGCAGAATTTGTTAGACTTCATAAGATTAATCATCATAGAACACTAGCTCATTCGCCTAATGACAACGGAATTATTGAAAGATTCCATTCTTCCTTACTAGAACACCTTCGTATCCTTTGCCTGAAAAATAAAGATGAACCCACGATAAATCAAATACCTTATGCAATCCTAGCTTATAACAGTTCAGTACATAGTTTCACCAAATGTAGACCACACGATATCATTAGAGGTCATTTTGATCCTAGAGACCCTTTAGATCTTAATTTAGCTGAACACCTTATGCAACAATATATTATAACTCATAGAGACCAAATGAAGACAGTATATGAAATGATTAGCGAAGCTACAACTATTGACCGTACGAATTTAATGACTAATAGAAATAAAAATCGTGAGCCAGAAACTGAATATGTACCCGATCAGCAGGTTTTTATTAAGAACCCCTTAGCTAGTAGACAGAAGTTAGCACCACGATACACTCACGACACAGTTCTTGCAGATCTTCCCATACACATTTACACTTCAAAGAAAAAGGGACCTGTTGCTAAATCTCGCTTGAAACGTGTACCAAAGACATCAAAATTGTTACAGGTACCGACTAATACTGAAATTGACAATGACGAAGGCAGCAGAAATAAAACTTTACTTAATTTTTAGCTATTATTACTGAAAATACAGATGATTTATATTTAGAGTTGATCAGAATAGAGAATATGTTAGGATTTATACGTGCAGCGAGCACGCATCATAGTATGATAAGCATAGATAACTTAGAATACATGATAGGTAGATTAAGAGAAATATATAGTAATAATGAAATCTTAGATATTGATTTGAGAGAATATTATAATCTTATAAAACCAGGTAGTTATTTCATAGGTAAGAGAATTGTTATAATTTTTAAAATTCCTGTAATATCTAAAGATAGTTACGACTTATTTAGGCTTGCCATTGTTCCTAATAAATTCCAACAGACCTTTATACCTATACATCCTTTCATAGCAACCAATGGGAAATATTTCATGTATTTGCAAACCGAATGCCCGAAAGTCGGCGAATACCTTCTCTGTGAGAAAAGCACAAATTATTACCAGCCTCAAGAACACGCAGATTGTATCCAGAGTATTATCATTCATCAATCTTTAGATAAATCATGTATCCCCACTGAAGTCTCCATCACAAGACAAGCTATGGAACAACTGGATGATAGACACTATACTATTGTCTTCCCAAAGACTACGAATGTCGAACTTCAATGTGAACGGCAGGAATATGTATCCTTATCTGGCAGCTACTTAGCAACAATTCCCCATGAATGTTCACTACGAACAGATACCTTTAAGATAACCAATAGTGAAGATGAAGTCAAGGGACAGCCGCTGAAGATCACCGAAATACGAAGTAATTTCACTGAAGTTCAAGATAACGAGATTCCACATATAACTCTAAATTCTTTGAATCTCGATAACTTACATCATCTGGAAAACAGAATTATGCTACAGAATCCCATACGTGTTGCCCACTTTGATTCTTCACTGTACCATACAACGTTGCCCCTCTATGCACTTGTATCTGGTATAGTTATAATTTTCCTTGCCTATATTCTTCGACGATACCTGCGAAAGAACCCTACTACACCAGAAGATTAACCAAGAAGCAACCCTATATATGCTGTTCCTGATTCTGAAGATCCTGGAGTACCAGCAACATTTTCCCTCAAGGTGCTCAAATAGTTGCTGTTCTGAGGGTGGAGGAATTACATACGGTACCCTAAAGAACTTTGCTGACATCGCGGCACGTGTATGGTCAACGTGCCGGCTTCAAGGAATTACTCTGCTGACACAGTGTTTACCGCGATTTAACATTTTAATTAAATAAAATATGTTTGCCACTCCGTATATATCTAGCATCGATAACGGATGTAATTTTGTAATTTAATTATAAGTTTAAATATAATAAATACCTAGCTAACTATTGGTTTTTTTGGGAGTCCGGGCTGACGAAATCGTAATTCGCCGAAAGGAAATATAGGATCGATGTGATTTTTATGTCCGCAGATAGGAGGGGGTTAGGCAAGCAGCCGGCGAGCACTATTTTTTTGTTTTTACCGCGGGAAACACATGTTTTACTGAAGTAAACAGTAGTCTATGGACTATGTCACTCTTTACTTTAGATGGATAGCATACAGCTAGGATATATTTTTGACAATAAATGAACAATATTGTAAATTGAATTATAAAATTCGTTTATTTTCATTACAAAAAAACTTATAGAAGACATACAAAATCGTTAAAAATCATCTTCAGCAGAGTCGGATTCCTCTGCACCTTATGATTTTAAGTACATTTCTTTCGTTCCTATTTTCTGGACTACATAATTTGGCAAGATGTAATTATTGCAACACTTTCCTTCGCGTTTTAAACCTGCGCGGATTGTCATAATAGATGACAGTAGATCTAGCTTCATTCGGTTTCTGTGTTTTGTCTTCACGATATTCATAATGCTGAATAATCGCTCTACGCATTAGAGTGCGGTAAAACTAATAAAGATATAGCAAACGTGGCTAAATCTTCAAATCGGTTTTCTCCTGCAATGTCTTCGAAATCCAGCACCTCGTACCAAAATTCCACCAGCTGTACTTTCCACCACTTCCAGCCAGTCCTTTAATTGGGAGTCCCGTAACCAACAATCCCGGAACTTTTGCGTATATTGCGGTTTTGGCATTTTGTTTTAAAAATAAACTAAACATTTGCAAACAAACAAGGTCGCTCCGATGCATAGCATAACCAAAACTACTAAGTATCTGTGTTGTGTATTTCTATTTTTGTGCATGCATACGAAACGAACACATACAAATCTCATTAATTCAAATCAAATTTGACCCATTAGTCATACGAATAAAGCCCATAATCAAAATAATTTAAGAAATTGATAAACTTGTTTCGGAAAATTCCCGAAAATAACGAACGTAATTTTACAGAGTTGCCTACATAATGACAAAATATTCCTTGATAAGGTAAACGTTTTCGTCTTTTCCTGTAAAGATATCACTCGTGCTAGTGGTTAAATGTCGTAGCATACCACTGAATGAAACAAACTAAACCACTAGAAAAATCCACTAGCCACTAAAACCAAAATTCGCCCGCTAAAACGTATATCTAAACCACCAGATCTAGTGGAATATCCACTAAGTTGGCAACACTGAATATAAGTATAGGGGAAAAGAGCACCCACTCGCGGCAATTCTTTTTTTTTTTATGGCCCGCACGGTTTGTGCATTGTGGCCCAGGGTCAAAAACAGGGAAACGGTAACGGTAAAAACATAAAATTATCAGCTGGAAAGGAATTTAGGAATATAAAATAATTAAACTATAAAATAAAAGATCAATTCTTATAAATCTACATACAAAAGGAGTGTAAGAAAACATATTTACATATATTTACGTTCATATTGTCTAAATTTTTATATTATTACTTAAGATAAAAGCAGCTTAAAGTTTATAATATACATGTGGGTTGTAAAGTTGAAAGTAAACTTGATATGGATGAAGGGAAATGAGACCTTCGAGAAGAGCCGACCCGTCGCGCCGAGGACAAACAAACATTATGTGATTTAAATCACCTACATCATATCCGCATTAAATTTTGACGCAAAAATATTTACTATTATTATATTTATTTAGGACGAGAAAAATAAAGACACTATACAAATTTTATTTACAATAGCAGCAATGACTGATAAGTCATCTCCAAATGAGGGTAGTGGAAATAAGGAATAGGGGAGATTATTTTTAATGACTATGCAACACCGCCATAGCCGTCAACTAGTAAACTTAAAAAAAAGGGAAAAGCATTATGGTCGTCGCTGTATACAATATGACAGGTTCCAATTACCACAGACATTAATGATCTAAAATCTAAATACGTCTCACTTTTTCTAGAATTTTATTTATTAGATTAATTTTGTTGTACCAAATATAAATACGTCTCACTTTTTAGTTTTTACCACAAATTATATCTTAGACTAGTGCTTTCTTTTTCTATGCTAATACTTGACTTGGAAAATCTTCCTTTGTAAGGCAGGATTAGAATTCAGATGCCTTTATTTAATTGACGTGATGGCTTAAGAATAAATCTATTTTCGACAGGCGTGATCCACTACTGCCAAACGAATTCCGAAATCCGAATTCGTATAAAAATATTCACGTGACAAAGCGTGAGCATTCCACGAAGTGACTTTGTCTCAAACCCTTGCCATTTTAATTAGTAATTGGGATTGTTTTTAATAATAAAAAATACTTGTAAAGGTAAACATGGAGAATGACACCACTGCAGGTTTAACTACAAATGTAAGTTTTGAGTGAGTGTTTGAGAGTAATAACAATAAAAAAAATTTTGGTAACAATAAACTTCATACCATACTCATTGCAATTTGTAGATTGGTGTTGAATTTTTATTTGTTTTAGGAACAATCGGAAATGGAAAGACTTTCAGTATTAGAAGATAGGGTAAAGCACAAATTTAAACAGTAACGTTATTCATAATCGTAAGATAAAACTATTAGTTATTTATTTCTGTTTTAGGTCTGTCCTTTATGTTCATCTAAAATTAATTTCTTTTTTATCAATTACTTTGAAAAATTTTTGATGTGTGAGAACACCGAGTGCGAGTTTCCATTTGGTTATGAAGACTTACAGTTTGCCAAAGTGGATAATCCTGACAATGAAACTGGGTCTATAAGAACTAAACAAAGTTATTCATCACCTTCATCTATTTCTGGCATCACAGTATCTGACGTAGACCAGCTGTACCAAGCATGTGAGTCTGAGAATAATATGCCTGATCAAGTACCTGTATCTTTAAATCGGCCAACTAGACCCCGTCAAAGCAATATACTTAAAAATGTTGCCCCCCTCAATAGCCTTCACTCAGAAATTATGAAAATGAATAGTCAGATGAAGATAAGCGATCTCACAGATAAGAAACTGATTAAAAATCTTTACAAGCTACAGAATTGTACTGGAACACAGTTATTGAAACCGCAAGAGTTGACTACCTTAAAACGGGGTGAATGCCAAAAGCAAGCAGAAGTTAAAATAGATATAAATCGGATGGAAAATGACATCTCTGTTATAAAAATTGAGTTGTTGAGTTCAGAGGTTAGTGAAGATTAGTATTGTATGTAGATGGTGCACTGGGAATGTACGACATGTCAATGAATTCACAATATCCTACTTTATTTCTTTTAAGTACTGTTACATTTTTCCCAGCATAAATTATTAATAATTTGCTATCTTAGAAAAGTAATTTTTTTAAAATGTAAAATGGAATAAATGATATTAAAGTTGTCCAATTGTATGAAAAAATTTGATTCATCAATCATCTGTCAGTTCTTAATAAGCAACAGTACAATACGCACGTCGCTTTTGAAGTGAAACTTCTATAGGCGCATGAGGGTAAAATTTTTACGGATGAAACGCAATAATAATAATATTAACGTCACGAAAATGTGCAGCGTTTTTGTCGAAGAAAAGGGAGAGAGTGAGAAAGGGCGAACGTAGCATGAAGCAAATAGCTATGGGCGAGATTAGGGAGCAAGCAACTGAGAAAGATCGAAAGAGAGTGAGATAGAGCGAACGTTGCACCACGCAGTGCCATGGAGCGCGAGGTGGGAGAGAGCTATAGTGAGAGAGAGAGGGAGATCGAGAAAAATACACGCTACTGGTTTAGTACATATTCGTTTAGTAGTTACATATAAGAACTTTAGATGGCAATTCTGTCGCACACTGCACAAGACGTGCAGTAAACGCAGATTTTTTATTTATTTATTCATTCATTAGCACGTATACAGTGGGAATATAGATAAACAAATACATGGAGTGATCATATACTGGTACATGGTCATCTACTGGGGCTTTTACCTTAGTAATAATTAATTTACAAAGAAGTTTAAAATGATATATTCTTAGGTATCAGAAGCGGTCAACCTAGAAAGTTTTATTCCTTACATAACTAACTACAACAATGAAATAATAATCGACCGAACATATTAATTAACACAACTGAAATCCGAAACTAATACATAGAACAACCACTAAACACAAATGAAACGTTTGTCACGTCCGAGAGCCAATCGCAGAATACCCCCAATCTGCTGTTCCACTCCCTTTTTATAACCTCTCGCTCGGTCCGGCTTGCTGGGTGGGGATTTTTTCTAAGAATATTGTAACAAGTTGACCCGACAAACTTTGTTTTGCCATGTATATTATTTCTAAGAAACATTGTTTTAGTTCAATTAAAATAATCTGCTATTATAAAAAATTGTTATTGATCGTAGAGGGGTAAAAATTAAGGATTGTATGTATTTTTGTATGTTGTATCATAAAAAAATAAAAACAAAAAAAATTGTCTAAAAATTAAAAAAAAAACTTCACTTATCACTTAAGGGTTTGAAAGATAGTAGATAGTAGCCGATTCTCAGACTTACTGAATATGCATTAAAAATTTCATAACAATCGGTCGAGCCGTTTCAGAGGAGTATGGGAACGAACATTGTCACACGAGAATTTTATATATTAGATATATTTATAATAAATACTTATTGTGAATTACTACAGTTATGTCAGTACCAACTATGGAACAATACTGGGATTACCATCCTTATTTTATAGGAGGAATATTTTACTAGAACTTAATCAAGATTTACATTTTACAAGCTAATTTATCGGATTTATGGTCTCATATTGGATCAGGAATGCCACAAAGTACTTTATTAATTTAAAGAAACTTTGAGTTCGGCTGTAAGGGTCGTACATTCTTTCAAATTAATCTTCTGTTAAGCTCGATGTTGTAATTTCTGTTAGGTACATTGACAGTAGTGAATGAGAGACAACAAATTTACATAATGATTTAATTTAACTGACGTTTTTGGTGGCCCTAAATATTACTAACTAATGCAAAGAAAAAGAACACGTGGTTTCTCTGGTCTCGTATGCCGAGGGTTGCCATGCCAGCCTCGTACGTATAATTTTAAATAGCAATGGCGCGCACACGGTGAATCCGTTGCTGGTACCTACTCAAAAAGTAGAAGGTACCGGAAAGGAAAAAGTAGGATAAAATGAAATGAGATATGTCTAAGAACATAACTCAATTCTTGTGCATATGGATTTACGATCGATCTCTCAAGTCTTTGGAAAAAAATAAAAATTATAGAGGAAAACATTTATTGCCGAAGGATCAAGTTTCTTCAAACCAAATATTTATTATTAACTAAGAGACTCCCGAAGCCGGAGGTCCGTCGAGCGACCGCAGCTCGTCGGGCAGCGCGTGCAGCCGCAGCTGCTTCTCGAGCAGCGCGTCCGCCAACACCTCGGCCTCCTCGCCGCAGCAGCGCGCCCCTCGCACGTGCAGCCACTGCGGAGACGTCGGTCCGTCAGCCTCGGCGGCGGGGTTCGCGGGGAGGGGGAGCGGAGTACTCACCTTATCGTGCGGAGTCAGCTGCAGCGCGGTCAGAAGGGCTCGCTTGGTCTTCGGGTCGGCGGCGCGCGCCTCCGCCTCGAGTCTAGCCGCCCACGCCGATCCGCCGCTCGCCACGCCGCCCGTTCCGCCGGTCGCCCGCCGGGCCGCTCGCACCGCACGCGCCGTCTCTGCCGCATCGAGACTACCGTGAATCGTAACAATCGAGACGAAGGAGACTAACTCTACGGTCGCATCTACGAGACATGTCCTCCGCTGCCGTCGGCGGGGCGGGGCGGGGCCGAGGGTCACCCACCGACTGGCGGCCAGTCCCGATACGACGCACGCAGGAAGGTCGGCAGCAGCGAGGCGAGGGCGGCCGTCGGCGACCGCGGAGGAGCCACCGCGCTCAGGCGCCACTGCACGCTCGGGGTCCGTCGGGCGGAGGCGCTCGCTGCCGGAGAGGAGAAGGCGTCAGCTCTCGGAAGAACGGTGCGCCGGCGTCGGACGGCGGCGGACTCACCGAGGTTGAGGTGCGCGTTGCCGGGGTAGAGCCGCGCCAGGCGGTGCTCGGCCCCCGCGGCGGCGCCCCGCCGGACGAGCTCGCTCGCGGTCTCCTCGTAGTATCGCAGGGCGTCTCCTTCGGTGTTGGCCACTTGCGCCTGCGCGTGCAGCAGCCGCGCGAGCAGTTCGCGGCGTCGAGAGGGCGACGCGAGCGCGACTCTCGCTCGCGCCCACTCGGTCGAGCTCGGGCGCAGAAACGTCGTCACGTCCGTCGTCTCCTCTTCCGTCGTCTCGCTCAGGCTCCGCTCCAGTTCGACGCACCGCTCCTCGCACTGTGCGAGTTATTTAAAGAGATAAATAAATGTACGTCGATACAAATAAAATTCACGGACTGAACTCACCACCCTCAGACCGACCGTAAGTCCTTATCGTTCCTTAGGACGGAGAGTAGAGATAGATGTCACACTCAACCTCTCGGGAACAAACCACACTGTTAGCTCATTTAGGACTTCGCCAAATCTCTCAATGGCTTTTAGTTAATCTCCTTTCTCTAAATACGTCTAAGACCAAATACATATGTTTTCACATATCGAAATCCAGCAAACCAAACCCTATCCCGCTTTTTAAATTACACTAATGTTTGAACCTTCACAGCAACTGCAACTGCCGTCTCCTGGAACCACTAAATCAACCAATTACCTGGGATTCATGATTGATTCGAGGCTTTGTTGGGGCTCTCAAATAAACTACCTATGCTCTCGAGTTCGCAAACTAATAAATGTTTTCAAACGCCTAAGAAAACCTTCTGATCCACATACAATCAAGATAGTGTATATTGTCGTGCATTATGCCAGTCGATATTGTCTTACTGCATATCGGTATGGGGTGGAGCGGCATTGTCTTCATTGCTATAAATTGAGCGCACTCTTAAGATATCCTATAGGAAATCTTTCCGCTACTCAACTTCAAAATTGTACAATGAAACAAAACTTTTAATTGTGAGACAATTATACTTAATAGCAAACCTATATATAAGCAACCCAAAACTCGCACTTTCTTCGCCCAACGCTTTTTCTCCTTCCGAGGCCCTTTCATCTTTAACCACTTCCTTAAAAACAAAATTATCACTTTACATACATTCACTAAATAACTCAAACAATATCTTGTTAACCTGTCATATGCTGATACTGAAAATATTCTGAAAAAATAATAGTAATAGTAGCCTTTCTTTTATTTCCAAAACGCAAAAATAGTGTAAATATAAACGTGTAGAAATCATTAATATAATTTATAAAATAGTGTGTGGGGGCCAGTGCGCTTTACTTCATCTAAACCTGTATATTGTGGATAATAAAGTTTTTTCTTTCTTTATGTCAAAAAGTCTGTCTGCTGCTGCAGCAGCTCCGCGATGAGACCGTATTTTGTTTCATGCGGAGTCCAAGCTAATACACAAGTCACAACTCATTCCAACCGATGCGTCGATCGGGCAGGAGATGGCCGATATCAGTAAACGTGGTTGACTTGAGGTTTAAACCGAACGACGAACGTTCCGGCTTCAAGAGATGTCGAAAGTGACGCAACTTTATTTTATTTTAAAAGGCACACTAACGAAACACATACAAACACTTACAGAGAACACATAACATAGAAAACAAGATACATGCATGTGCATCAATTACAAGTGTGCACAACATTTATAGGGAAACATTACAATGATGAAGAGAAAATAACTTCAACATTAAAAGTAAAAAACAAACTAGATTATTTACAAATACAGTCAAAACCGTTTATAACGACATCGTTTACAACGACCTATCGGTTATTACAACCAGATTGTATGGTCCCGTCCGAATCCCTAGTAAACTATTCAGTAAAGAAACCGCTTATAACAACATCGGATACAGCGACATATCGCTTACAACGACGAAAGTTTATCGATATTCATCGGATATAACGACCAACCGCTTCTTGTCTCAGTAAAACAAAACAATACAAACGATTTTAAATTTTATTTATAAGCATTGAATGAATATTTAGGCATATTATTACCTACGCACTTTCTCCCAACGAACAGTTTCAGCCAACAACGATTTCCGAGGCTCTTAACGCTGTAACGATTTTGCAAAAATTTGTTGCCTTTAACGAACAGTTTGATACTGGTGATACTCATACCTTGAGGAGTATGAAACGTAAAATGCAAAAAATATTTGAGACTGGGCTAAAAAAAACAGACTGACTGATTACTTTTGTACCTAATTATTTCGTAATAAATATTTTTGTTTCTTTTTTGACTCGTTTACATATTATAATATTAACATACCATATTATAACCCATACCTACCTATTCTAGATCGATAACTATGTACATACATATGTACTGTACTTGAGTACATATGACATTGCTTATAACGACTATCGGATATAACGTCGGCAACTATACGGTCCCTTCAATGTCGTTATAACCGGTTTTGACTGTACATATAAAAAAAAAAAAAAAAAACACTTGAACTACTCTCGTGGGTCTCACACTATACACAGCAAAACACAATATAAATTTTACATTGACATTATTCGTTTTGGATCCTGAATCACTTCGCATTGCCTCCGCTTAGGAGTGCCCATATGGCATATGTACTCCCCATAAGGGTCCCTGTAGCTTTGAAGTGAGTAGCCTTGGACACCATGGCCAAAAGAGTGCAGGTCGTTTTTTTCGCCACGACGCGCTATCACCTACGTCAACGTTTCAGCCGTTTCGGAGTCAACAGGCATCGCGAGAGACGCGAGACGAAACAAAAAAGCCGTAGACCTACGTATAAGCGAGGCTTTTAGTTCGAGTTACTCTAGGACAAGTGTAGGGCTTAGGTGTGAGCTACTACCGGGGTCCACAGGTAGCGGATAGTGGAACGACCGTAAGATATTGCGGTTAGCTGCTTCATGCAGTCCCCGACCACACACCGGCAGCGTTAGAGGGTGTAGTGGGGAGCCCTTAGGAAAGGCTCTTCCAGGAAATACTACAAAGATCCTGTGAAAACGTTGCGACATGGCGAGTCAATGCCACCAGTAAATAAGCATTATCCTTCAACTACGGGCAGCTGCGTAGGTGGTAGACTGAACGAGTGGGAGCTTAGTAAGCCTGTACAGTCGTCAGTCATATTGTTGGCAACACCAGCAAACAGCGATGTGGAAGGCAACGGAAAACCACCATATTATTTTTTCCCAGGATTTCATTATGGCTGAGACAAATATAACTATGGCCCTTAGTCCCCGGCAGACCTTAAGTGGTCAGAGGATGCGAAGAATCTCCGGGTCAGCCATGAAGATAGCAACTTGGAACGTCCGCAGTTTATACGAAGATGGAAAATTTGAAAATCTTTTACAGGAATTTTTAGGAGGATTTGGATATACTCGGCATAAGTGACCTAAGATGGTATGGAAATGGGACTTTAACATCTGGTGATGCTACAATATACTACTCTGGTAGCAGCGACATACAACATCATAGATATGGAGTTGCCGTGCTTATTAAGAAAAATATAGAAACTCTAGTTAAGAACTTTCTTCCTCTTTCAGACCGAGTAATGTTATTACAGCTAGAAGCCAAACCATTTAACATCAACATCGTTCAAGTATATGCACCGACAGCAGACAAAAGTGAGGAATTGAACGAGACTTTTTACAACGACTTAGATGCGGCTCTGAAATTAACAAAACCTAACGAACTATCAATTGTGACAGGTGATTTCAACTCCAAGATCGGTCAAGGTGCTGTCTCGGATATTATTGGAAGGTTTGGTCTCGGCGCTCGTAATGACAGGGGTGAAAGACTAGTACAATTCTGCCAGGAACACGATTTTGTTGTTGCGAATACTTTCTTCAAATTACCACCACGTAGACTCTATACTTGGCAATCGCCAGCACATAAGCCGGACAGGATTGTGCGAAACCAGATTGATTACATGTTGATAAACAAAAGGCATAGAAATAGCATTAAATCGGCTAAAACATACCCTGGTGCAGATATAGGTTCGGACCACAATCCAGTCGTGGCAATAGTCACAGTAAAATTGAAGAAAGTTTGCCGTCATCCTCAATCCAGAAAAATTGATTTTGACAAGTTGAGGAACGTCGAGTCTAGGAAACAACTACACTTAACAATTAATGAAGAAATGCGTAAGTTGAATCATAATAATAATCACGGTCCTGTTAATACAGAACAAATGTGGCAACTTCTTATATCTTCTATTATTAAGACCAGCAACGAAATATTGGTTACAGCTCCACGAGTGAAAAAGACCAAATGGATTACCAATGAAATCTTAGACTTGATGGAAAAAAGACGTGAAAACAAAAGAGATAAAGAAAAATACGATGCGCTAAAGATCCTCATACGAAAAAAGGTAAGACAGGCAAAGGAATCTTGGTATGGGGAGTTATGTTCAGAAATTGAAGAGTTAGATAGGAAGTATGACAGCTTTGGTATGCATAAGAAGATAAAAGAACTCATAACACCTAAACATTAAGGACGCAGCGAAATGACACTTCTTAAAAACGATGGCAAATATACAACCTGCACTGATGACATGCTTAACACTTGGGAAGGCTATATTAGTGAACTTTTCTGTGACTCACGACCAGAAAATATTAACCTCAAGTGTAGTGATATTGGTCCATCTATTACAAAGCGTGAAATCTACTATGCCATAACAAAAGCAAAAACTCGGAAAGCTGTCGGAGTTGATAATATACCAACAGAGATTATAAAGGAAATTGAGGAATGTAACTTAGATTATATCACAACCCTTTTTAATGGTATATACGACTCAGGAACCATTCCTTCTGACTGGCTTAAGTCAACATTTATCACTATTCCGAAAACAAAGAATCCGAAAAAATGCAACGACTATCGGACTATCTCACTTATGAGCCATGTTTTGAAACTCTTTCTGAAAGTGATACATAATAGGATATACTCTAAATGTGAATCAACACTATCCTGCACCCAATTTGGCTTTCGAAGCGGTTTAGGAACGAGAGACGCTCTCTTTGGCTATCAAGTGTTGATACAGAGATGCTTGGACATGAACAGGGATCTTTTCGTCTGTTTTGTCGATTATGAGAAGGCTTTTGATAATGTACGACATGGTAAAATGATGGAAATACTCCAGAGAATTGGCTTAGATTATAAAGATTGCTGTTTCATTAAAAACCTATATTGGAAGCAAAGTGCTAATATAAGGGTAAACAGCAAACATTCTTCATATATCGAGATTCAGAGAGGTGTGCGTCAAGGTTGCATTTTATCACCTTTGCTATTTAACTTGTATGCCGATGCAATATTTTCAGAAGCCCTAGATAGTTGTCAACATGGCATAGCAATTAATGGCAAACTGCTGAATAACTTGAGATACGCTGATGACACGATCTTAATCGCAGAGAGCCTCGATGGTCTACAGAATTTAGTCAATGCAGTTGCCGCCGTGAGTTCTGAGTTTGGTATTAGCATCAATGCGAAAAAGTCAAAATATATGACAATAAGCCGAACACCGGAGCTTTTCATGCAACATATATACCTCAACAATCAGACCTTGGAACGTGTCTCGAAAGTACGATATCTAGGCACAGTGATTGATGAAAAGGGTGACCATAGCATCGAAATCCGCTGCAGAATTGAACAAGCTCGGAACGCCTTTTCAAAACTAAAAAAAGTACTTTGTGACAAGCGCCTAAATTTACAGCTTAGAACTCGCATTGCGCGATGTTACGTCTTCTCTGTGCTGCTCTACGGCGTAGAATCTTGGACGCTGGCAGAGACTATGTCCAAAAAACTGGAAGCGTTTGAGATCTGGGTTTATCGACGTATGCTTAAAATATCTTGGACAGACCGCATACGAAATACAAACGTGCTGGACAGAATGCAGAAGAACAAAGAAGTGCTTATGACGGTTAAGAAAAGGAAACTTGAGTATTTCGGACACGTTTTACGTAACTCCAAAAAATATGAGCTCCTTCAACTAATCATACAAGGCAAAGTGGCAGGTAGAAGGAGACCTGGCCGCAGACGCACGTCCTGGTTGAGAAACTTGAGACAGTGGTTTGGTCAAAGCACCAAGTCATTGTTTAGAAGCGCGGCATCCAAAATTAAAATAGCCATGATGATCGCCAACCTTCGAAAGGAGATGGCACTATAAGAAGAAGAAGAAGTGTAGACGGTTGCAAAGCTTTCGTTTTTGAACTGTTTCGATGGTATTTATCTGGTGACCAGATTACGGTAGAACATCGACCGGGCAAGTGTTTTGTAAAGAACTAAAGAGCTATTGTACTGCAAATTGAGACTCACCGCGGCGAGGGCGGCGGCCTTCGAAGCGGCGTCGGGCGGCGAGAAGCCGAGCGTGGGCGGCGGCGGTCGGCGCAGCACCGCCAGCACCGTCGCGCACTCGCCGGCCTCCGCCCCGCTCACTTCGCCCGTCACCCTACGGACCAGGATGCGGGTCAGACGGCGTCCGGAGATGGCCGGCGGCCCGGGACTAGACGTACCTGGCGACGTAGATCGCGTCCTCGGGGGGCGCGTCGTCGTCGGCGAGTGCGGCGCGCAGCGCGTGCGCGGCCGCCGCCCTCGCCCTCTCGGCGCCGTCCTCGACGCCCTCGCCGCGCGCCGCGTCCGCCTCCAGCAGCGCGAACTCGGCGAACGCCATCGGCGAAGTCGGCGCCGACCGCTTCAGGACGCCGCGCGCCTGCGGGCAGACCCCTCGTCAGCGATCGGCCGCGGTCGACGGACCGACCGCGACGGCAGACGACCTCACCCGACGTCGCAGCGCGGCCCGCTCGGCGCGGCGGTCCGGCGGCGTGGCCAGGAGCAGCGCCCTCAGCCAGCGCAACCGCCAGCAGACGAGAGCCTCGCGCCGGGCGCCGCCGCACGCCGAGCAGCACGCCTCCCACAGCGCCGACACCCAGGTGCCGTACCCTGCACGGGACGTTTACGTTTTTACGTTCGGTCATCCGCTCGCCCGCTCCTTGTCCCTCCGCCGTCTCGTCCTACCGGTGTCGTCGGCGAAATAGTGCGGCGGATCGGCGAGCGCCTCCAGCGCGGCGGCCGCCGGAGGCTCGTCGGGCCGTGCGCCCCGCCCCGACGCGAGGGCGAGAAGGGCCTCCGCCGTGCCGTCCCGCTCGCCGAGCGCCCGCGCCGCCGCCTCCGTCGCCGGCAGCAGAGGCACCTTGGCGAGCAGCAGCAACCGCACCGCGAGGCCGGCGACGTCGGCGTCGCCGACGACGGGCAGCAGCAGGTCGGCCACGTCCGCCGGCAGGGGCGCGCGCTGAGGGTCGGCGTCGGAGGCGCGGGGGGCGGCGGGGCGCCAGTGGGCCGCGGCCCGCGCTCGCTCCACGCGCGTCCACACCACGCCGACGGGCAACCCGCTGCGGACGGCCTGGCGGAGGAGGCGGGTTAAGGGTTTTGTGTCAGATCTTTCGAATAGTGTTCGGTTTCGAGCGAACGACGTTTGGCGATAGACACCTCGTCCTCGAGGTCGAGCAGACGTCGCTCTGCCGCGTCGGACTCGGAGAACGCGGGCGGGAACTCGGGCGCGGGAAGGTTCATGGCCACGAGCAGCTCGACGGCCAGCACCAGCCTCTCCCACAGCCCCGCCGAGCGCAGGCCCAGGCCGAAGGCGTGCAGCAGTCGCAGCGCGGCGGCCGGGCGTCGACCGCAGTCGGCCAGGGCCGCTCGCGCCGTCTCCGTCGCCTCGCCCTCCGCCCCCGCGGCAGCGACGAGGCGGGCCCACGTCTCCGTGCGGACCGAGGGGCGCCGCTCTGAAACGTTTCCGACGCTCGTTCACGGAGACCTTCGGAGCCGGGCTTCGGCTCTCGTCGATCTATACCTTTCCGGAGCGATTCCCGCAGCTCTTCGACGTACCGCCGGCGAGGCAGCGCGGTCTGCATGAGGTCGAGGAGCCTCTCCCTGAGGCGGACGGAATCGGGCAACCGGCCGGCCGCCTCCCGCGCCGCTTCGAGGGCTCCCTCCACGCTCTCGCACACCTCCTGGAAAACGGAGCCGACGTGAGACCTGGCCGATGGCGCCGCGATGAGGAGACGATGCGAGTACCCTGAAGTCGATGTAAGCTTCCCAAAGCTGAAGATCGTCCGGCGTCTCGGTGAGAAGCTTGCGGTAGGCGATGAGCCGTTCCGTTAAACTATCGGATTCATCTGTTATTTCTTTAGAAAAATATCTTTTCCACCTTTTCTTTTCGTCTTTTTTACTTTGTTTCGATCCAATTGTCAGAGAGTTAGTGTAGTTGTATCTGAAAAATAGAGATGTTTTACTTTAATAATAATTCTTCATATTTTTTTTACCTTTTTAATCCTCTTCCGAGTGAAGTGAAGAGATTTTTTTATGCAACATTAAACGCTAAGGCCGGGTTCCCACTATTCCGGACCGGCAGATATCCCGGTCCGGTAAAATTGCCGGAAGGCCTAGTGGCTGTACAAATTGTATGAAGCTATTCACATTCGCCGAGCCCGGCATTTTTACCGAGCGTTTTGTCACTACAAAATGCCGGTAAAATCACCGCACCGGAGTAATGTGAACCAGTTCCGGCGCGTGTTCGCCGCCCCGCCCGTGCTCGGTGCTACCCGCACTTCATTCGGCTCGCATTTTCTGAGTACGGTAGACGTGTAGCATGATGAACGACATTCAAATAGAAACTTTAATTAAATAATTGAAGAACTTTGCTCCGTCACTTCTAAGTTCACCCATCAATGTTTCAAATGTCCCAAGTGAAAATCTTTCCCGTAAAATAGGATGTACCCAATACTTTCTTCTTTTATTTTGCCTTCTGTACTACCACCATCACAACACAACAATTTCATCGCCCATTGTGGGCACTGGTCCAAATTCAATTGAGTTGCTTGTCCGATTTTATAATATAGATTGTAATGTGAACACTCTGTCCAGTGTCAGGTTTCTGGCAGATCCGGCATAGTGGGAACCCGGCCTAACCATGATACCTTTGAAGATAATATGTAAATCATAAGTTATGATATCTCTAAATACACACACCACACTACTCCGCCATCTCACGGACCGGGCCGCCTGCAACCTAGCGCACAGCATGACATCTTGTTAAATTAATAAATCACCCAATCGATTAGCATCCTAACATACATATTGTAAAATCTTTTAAGCTATGCTAAAGGGGCTGCATAATTTCTAGACTACAGATTCAAGAAAAGAGTCACAGAAGAGAAAAAAAGTTACATTGTACAAGGCACATCAACTAAGGTTCAGTAATTGCAATGTTTAAGGCAGTTTTATATCAAAACGAATTTTATATAAATTTATGAAAACTTTATATAAAATGTCTAAGAACTCATGTGTTACTGACTCAAGGAAAAGAAAAAAAATTTAAATGCATTAATAAACAAAAGAAAAAAATTACAAAATTATCCAATTGATAACCTTTGGTTTTAAGAAGTAGAAGAAAATTAATTCACTTACTGTGGTCTACCTGGATAATAAAGTGTAGAAACATGCAAATTTCCATAGTCCACCTTGCAATCTAAATAAAAGTCATCTGAAGATAATGTTGACTGTAAAAGTGGTTTACAACTTCTATCATGTGCCACTGCATCATCTTCAACATCACTGGACAGCAACTGTACTTCCATCGCCTCAGTAATGTCATGAGACGACAGCCTTTTTTCTTCAAATAATAACAATAACGTAAAATTTTAAAAAAATATTAGGATATAAACAACTAAAACAAAATTTTCTAATAATACAAATTAGTATTTCTCCTGGACTTGAGCACACAGAAAACTTTAATAGAAAACACTATATATGTATGAAATATTTGAATATGTAATCGAATCGCTGTATTTGGGAATTACCTGTATTTGAAAGTTGGTCCTCTTTAAATCCTACAACTTCGACATAAGCCGGGAAAAGAGACATATTTGGATAGTCAAACTTGCGCTTTTTCAAACAAATTATATTCTGAACATTTTTGTATATTATTTCTAAAATACAAAACAAAGTGTTACCACTACGAGTGTCAGAACTCAGAATTGATTAATTAATTATTTAGGTAAATATAATAAATAATAATGTACCGTAACATTATTATATTTACCTACTGTTTACATTCACATTTCACAGACTACTCGAGTAGGTTTCACATAAATATTTGAAGATCACCGCAGACTGCAGAGTACAGTCAGCTGCGGCTTTCATGGATTTTCTCGAAAGGTAAGAAGTCGCTGTGTAAATCTCCCGTTTGTCAAACCCAATACGTTTGTGAAATATGGAACTAGCAACAGGCAACAGCTACACAAAGCCTCGTTTGATAATCGAGGATGACGGATGTACTCCAAATCACAAATGAAAAACCCTACGACGATGTTTTTTCCGCACAGACACTACAGTATTTTTCTTATGATAGCGAAAAAATGCCTTCTTAACAACTGACGTCTGACACATTTTCTCGAACAATCAAATATAAAAATCCTTCCTCCGGCTCCGCCAAGCCAACTTATATTCAAATATTAATTAATTGAGAACGTCGTTCGACTTAGCCCTTAGGTCGAAGACAAATTAATCAATTTATACTAATAAATTCATTAAAAATGCCAGTCAAAGCTGTTTGTGTCCTTAATGGCGACGTAAGCGGAACAGTGTTATTTGATCAAAAGGTAAAATAATATATTTATACCAATAAACTTTTTTATTTTCTTGATAATTGATTAATGACCTTGCAGTAACCTGCATATTTTGTATAACCCAATTTATCAACTATACTTACATAATTGTACTATCTACTTGCATGAAATATAAACTAATATAGCACTTATCTTAATAACTATTAATAAGGTAGATAGGTATTTAAGTGTTCAACATTTAATCTACCTGTATCTGTCTTGTAATGTTTAATAAAAGCTAATTATCCTATAGAATCTAAATTGGCATTTCTTAGAGAGTGAATTGCTTTGTCATTCTATCAAGCTAGCTTAATCAAAAAATTAATTAATTTTATCAGGATGACAAGGCACCAGTTGTTGTAACTGGAGAGGTCAAAGGTCTATCCAAGGTATGTATTGTTTTATCTTTTTGGTAGATACTGTCTACTCCCTTATTGGGTTGGGTGCGATAATAGTGCGTTGGAATCTGATGATACTGATTATGCAGGAGTCCTCGGGGACCTTGATTGGAACACCTCCAAGTAATTTTAGCTGCCGGAAATGCGTCAAAGTATTTTTTTAAAAATTTTATGTTTTGTGAAATGTATTGAAATTTGTAAACAATCCACCATTATCTACTTTTCTATTGGTTATAAGAGATGTGTCATTCTCGTTTTCTGTTGGTTATAAGTGATGTGACATTCTCGGTAAATTAATCGGATCGATTATTTTCTCATTTGTTAATTTTATAGTTGAACCTAATTTAATCATTACTTGTCAAATGTACTTACATTACATTAACTTCATGTTTCAATTAGTGTATGGTTCCGAAAATTTTTAAATTATTCAAAAAGTACCCAAAACCGAATCAGAGCACCCCACTATCCACGTGGTCTTGTCTGCCTTACCCCTAGAGTGTATATAAATAATCGGAGGCGCGGAGGAAAAGCAGCCCCCACCCGCTGTAACAAAGCACAGGCATTATGAAAGCTGTAGCGGCTGAGGCTGGTCGCCAAAGGCGACCAAAAAGCCGAGGTTGCGGAGGCTTGAATAAACTGCCTGTGCTTTGGTACGCAAGGGTGGAGGGGCTGCATTTCCCGTAGCGCCGGAGCTGTCCAAAAAAACAAATATTATTTAGATCGGTTAGGTTAGGTTAGTATATGAATATTTGGTCGCCGAAGGCGACCAAGAAGCCGAGTTGCCGAGGGCTGAATAAACAATTATTATTTAGATCGGAGCTGTCCAAAAAAACAAATATTATTTAGATCGGTTAGGTTAGGTTAGTATATGAATATTTGGTCGCCGAAGGCGACCAAGAAGCCGAGTTGGAATAGATAAATAGGTAAGATTTTTATAAAAAAATTTTTTGTTTCCGGCGCGCAAAATTTGAAGGGGATGATTACTACACCCCTCCCCCCCTTCCTCACCACCCCAGCAACCCCAAATTTGGGCGCATCGTTATCGAATCGTTACCAGAAATTTTTAAATTTATATTAATTTTAAGTATGTCCAACTAAAATATTTTGTAATATGAATAATCAGATTAATTCGATAACTACAGATATAACAAATTAATTGAAAAGGAATCAGTTGAAAAGATTATGGTCCTATAGCATGTTAGTTACCTAAATAAATTTTATATTCCTAGATTTTTTAGTTATGTTAGTTATCTTTTGGGAATGTTAACAGGGAAAACATGGTTTCCATGTACATGAGTTTGGTGATAATACTAACGGATGTACTTCAGCTGGTCCCCATTTCAACCCATTTAAGCAAGATCATGGATCTCCAGATGCGGCTGTGCGACATGTTGGAGATTTAGGCAACATTGAAGCACAAGATGGTGGAGTTACTAAGGTTAAAATTAAATTGTTGTGTTATATCACAATAAGTGTATTGTAAAATTGTCAAGTTACTCTCAATATGGCCTTACAGGTATGCATACAAGACTCCCAAATCTCACTCAGTGGTCCTCACAGTATTATTGGACGCACACTGGTTGTTCATGCAGATCCAGATGACTTAGGAATTGGTGGCCATGAGCTGAGCAAGACCACGGGTAATGCTGGTGCACGTATTGCCTGTGGTGTTATAGGATTGGCTAAAGCTGAATAAGTAATTTGTTTACTATAAAAAATTGCACTTAGACAAAATGATTTCATTTAAACATAAGATTCATTGTTGTTTAATCTCAGAAAATGTGTCTCCTTTATGTTGGTGCAGGGGTTTAAGATATTTCAGTACCTGTGTGTTCTCTTTTAATAAACCATTTATTTAAACACATAGTCTTATTTAAAGATGAAGGAAGGTACTTGAAAAATAAATAATACAAAAGAAATAAAATCTGGTTTTATTGATATGAAACAACAACTCATGAATACTTTAAGTGACCTACAGAATAAATAATAGCATCATTACTAGTGAAAAATATATTAGTTGATGAGTTGTGTGATTGAAATATTCTAGAAGTAGTTGGGTACCACTGATATAGGCTTTCTTCTACTGTTTGCAGACTAAGAGCTGACCAGTAATTAGCTAAATCTCTTGATGAGACATGTTGAAATAGATGTTGGGCAACTTTGCATAATAAGTTAGGGGTTAGAAAACCCTTGATAAGCATTACTGAAATCCTTGTTGTCTGCATTGGATGTAAACTCTCTGGTATGTAATAAGAACTTACAAAATTTTCTGGTGGCATTAAATTAGCATTATGAGCCACCATACCCATCCACTCTACAACTTCTACAATATCAGCATCGAGAGAAGGTATTTGCCCAATGTCAGGAGATAAATTTGTTCCCTTTAATGAATGCTGGGTTACTACATAATTTTTATCACAGAAATATTTAGCTATTGTCGATGGACATACATTTTCATTGTTAGGTTCCCAGTTTATATACAAGTTAAATTTATCTAGTTTGTTTAAATTATTACTTAACCTTCCAATAGATTTAATATCATAAAGATCAATTTTAATGTCATAAAAATCATGTGGACATTTAGTTCCTTCAATGCCTAATGTTTGGTAAACAGAACTTAATACATGCAGAGTTAGTAAACCATCTGAAGTTACTGCAAAGCCGTTATGATTCATACAGCTATTAAGAATTGATAAACAATATAACTTTCCTTTCTTTATGAAAGTTTCAATAAATGTAGGGTCTATGAACTCAGTGATGGGACAATTTAAAATTTTATAGTAATCACTGTCTTCAAGCACCGCCTCTTCAATTGAATTTGGTAATTTTATTTCGTCTGGACAAGTTATAATCACACTTCTATAAAAACAATTATTTCTAATCCTGTCTAAAGTTTTAGTAAAACTTAAATTTTTCTGTAGAGAACAAATTGTTTTTGGGGCAGAGAACTTGCATATATCAGGACATAACATTTTCACTGGTTTTTCAATCCAACTCTTGAATGTGGTTCTGAAATGTGTAAAATGTGGTTTTTGTATTACACAAAAATTTATAAAACTTTTTTTATAAGCAATGCATGTTTCCATACTCAGTGATATAATATAAGATAAAATAAATGACCAATACAATTACAGAACCTTTGATAACATATGTGTGTTTCATAAGTAGTCTAACAAGATCAGTCAGATCAATCAATCTGAGAACATTAAGTATTTTTAACTTAGGGGAAAATGGACTCCTGTCTATAATTAAAAGCTAAGTTTCACCGCCCAAGAACACTCATGATTCCCGAAGGCTCCTAAGCGCTGTCGGCCTGTAAAGAACTGGTAAGCTCTTTTCTGAGTTAGAACATATTGATTACCTGCTAGATTTAGCGGACGGCACATTATAGGAATGTATGCTCAAAGACTTCAGTTTCCGATATATTAAAAACGGTACCTAACCGTCTATGTACAACTACTGTGAAAAACCTCTTCAACCTTCTCGTAACTCGCTACCCACTCTGCAGGTTACACCGAGTGACTTGTGTCTACTTACTTATTAAAAGATTGTGTCGTTACAGTGCATTTATGATCAAGAAATCGCTATTACTAGGTATTTCGATTAAGTAGTCACAATTTACGTTATATTTTTGTCACGTTTTGGTATGGTTTATTCTCATTTCTCATAGGTACTGTTGAATGCTGATTACTGAATACTGAATCAGTGTTACCAACTCCAATTTTTTCGAGTAGGTAGATACAACAGTGCGTTTTCCAATTACAGCACTAGAGCGCATTTTGCGGCATAATGCTCAACGTTGAGTGTTCCAACTACAGCAACGCTTCGCACAATTGAGCACTCTCAAAACGAATGCTCTCGCAAACAATACCAACACAGTGACAGAAAACTGACCAGTATTTTTCTTTAAGTTGGCATTTATCGAAATTTTCGTAAGTTAATATTATTTATTGTTGAAAAATTTGTTAGGCTTTCGTTTCGTCGTAGATTTTGAAAATAATTAAAGTTATTTCAAACTGCTAAAAAAATAAATATTAGTATGGATGAAGGTATAAATAGTTACTTTTTTTATATTCCACATTTAAAATATTTTAATACAATTTTATTTTTAAATTCGGATCTGTAAACAAATTTACTTTACAGGATTATACTTTAGAAAAAATTGCAATGGTTTTGAAAAAGTATATATTTTTTTAGAAATCATTAAAAAATATTACTCAAAACGTAAATGATGTAAACTTCTTACATGAAACTAAATATTTTACTGTTAATTTAGCTTGTTAAAACCTTATATTCTTTAAAGGTTTTCTCTTATTTCAGTAAAAAAAATTTAATGAAATAATTTGATTATTAAATTAAGCGTAAAAAGTTTTCAACCAATTATTATTGTTTACCACATTATTTATACATTAATGAGGTTGCTAACTCTATTCAGACCATTTTTTTGTCAACACTGACTTAGCGCACTCTGCTGATGCATTTGAAAACTAATTCACGTTCCAATTAAGCTTCAGCATTATGCGGCATTGTGCGGCACTGAGTCGAAAAATGCTCTGTAATTGGAAAACGCACTGTACAATTTCAAAAGCTGGTAGTTTCCAACCATCTTCAATTCGAAAAGTAGGTAGATCTACCAACTATAATTTCGAGTTTTATATAAAATCTTACCCTAAGATGATACCTTTAATACATTTTTTATTCGTAAAAAAGTAATAAATCACATCACAATAGTATTATATTAAAAAATGAATATTTACTAAAAAATGGACAATATTCATAAAAAAAATCAAAGCATGTTATGGATTGAAGAGATCAATCTAACATAATTTACTTGATGGTAATTGATTTGAAGGCCGGAAACTGAAATGCTTAATCCAACCTGCATATTCTGGTTCTTTCATGTTCTTCTGATGAGAGTCTTGAAGCTTAGTCATCCCTACCGACGAAACTCAGCAAATAAAATAAAAAAATGTAAAGTCCGAGTGTTCTCTTCTTTTATTGGCTGATGCTATTATTGCCCGATATATTTCAACTGTCAAGAACCAAAGTAGCAGCGCTGTATAACTATTGTGTGCATAAAAGAAAAATTAAACAAAATAAAAATTAAATTTAAAAATGTTATAAACAAAAAGTTCATGGGGCATTCTACAAAGTAAAGTAGAATTGAGAAAACTCCGGTAAAAGTTGGTGGATCTACCTACAACTTGCTAGATTTACATAAATAGTTGGTAGATCTACCTAAAAGTTGGTAGAGTCTGGCTAACGAAAGTAGATACTGGATTTTTTTGCAAACTTTTTATATGACAACACTAAAGTTAGTACGGTCAAAATGTCTTGATATTTTTTATTTTAAATAAGTAGGTACATATTAGTTTTAGTTACTTTAGATAATGTTATTGGTCTTGTGAGAGGTGTCCCAGCTGATTGGTCGATGCAAGAATTTGTCGAAACTTTGGAAATTCCTGAAGGTATTGGTATAGTCCTCAAGGCCAGACGCCTTAACCGCAAGACAAACTCCGATGGTCAAATTAATTGGATTCCAACACAAACTGTTGTTTTAACCTTTCTCCTGTCATAGTTCCCTCCGCGTTGAAACGTACCAACTCCCAACAATTCAATGTCTCAACTGTTGTAGATTTGGTCCCGTAAAGTCACAATGCCGATCTAAGCCTAGGTGTTTTTGTTGTACTCTAGCCCATTCTGGTGATGATTGTAATATCCCTGAAATAGAGTAATTATGTTTATTTTGTACTGCCTCACACTATGCGACCAACAAAGCTTGTCCTGAACATAATCGACAAAAAAATATTAAGAACTGTATGTCTCAGGAAAGCATTTCTTATCTCAAAGCATCGGCTCGGTTTAGACCTATCATTGGCAAAATTTTTGCAGATTCTGTGAAAACAACCCCCTCCTCTTCATTCAGTTTATCCCAGCCCAATACTATACCTTCCCAAGTTTCCCGTCAGCAACATCATACAGGAAAACTGTATTTCTCCCTCCTCGCTCTAGGCCAACATCAGGAAAATCCTTTGATAAGGCGGCCCATGAGGCCATTACTTCCAATTTACCCTCCTCTTTACCCAATGGTTGTGCCGTAAGCTCCCTTAACAACAATGAAGTCTCCCCAAATGAAAATCTTCTTGACTGCTTATGGGCAGTCATTTGTAACATGCTAACTAAATATTATGATGACATCCCCATACCGTCCCACGTTGCCCAAAAACTTAATTTGCTCCACTCATTCGTCACCAAAAATGGCGAATCTGGTAATTCAGTGGAATTGTAACTGTATTCGCAGTAAAAAATCCGAATTAACCTTTCTTATCAATAAATTCGCTGCATCTATTCTAGCCATTTCGGAGACTTGGTTATTACCGGGTTCCCGCTTTAGGGTTTCTGGGTATCGGTGTCTCCGAGATGACAGGGATGATGGCTATGCTGGCTGTGCCTTTTTGGTCAGCCGATCCCTCACCTCCCACTCATTATCTCTTCTTCATTGTGATGGTATTAATGCTGTTGCTATGAGAGCTTTTAATATCTCGTTTATTTCTGTTTATATTACCCCCCACCCCCCATTTCAACCTCATTTCTGATATACGTTCTATTATCCTTTCGGTTCCTCCTCCTGTTGTCATGTTGGGTGATTTCAATGCCCACCATGTTTCTTGGGGTTGTCATTCCTCAGATTTTTTTTACGAGAAGGAGTCTTCCATATCAGAATCCCGCTAGCGCAGTGGATTTATCACTTTGTTCTCATGATCTTTTTCCTTTTCTATCCTGGCGTGTTTTTAAGAGCACTTGTGGGAGTGACCACTTCCCCATTTTAATTGATCTCCCAACCAATTTAAGGAGTGTTACTCGCCCTTCCCCTCTTTTAAAATTTAAACTGAATCAGGCCAATTGGTCCTTTTCATCTTCTATTGACTCTAAGATAGCTGCGCTCCCCGCAGTTTCTGCTGAAAACTGTCTATCTTCATACAATGATTTTGTCAACTCCCTTACCTCATCTGCCAGTTTACATATTCCACTCAAATCTTCTACACAAAGGAAAATTTCTCCTCCTTGGTGGGATTCCGAATGTACTGAGATGATTCGAAAAAGAAAAGCGGCAGAAACGTCATACAGTCTTAGTATGACCTTGGAAAATTTTTAAATCTACCAACAAGCTTCTGCAGCTGCTCGCAGACTTCTTAATAATAAGAAACGTCTTGGTTGGCATAAGTTCTGTGAGAGCATGTGCCCTGGTACCCCTTCGTCTGTTGTTTGGAGGCAGATCAGAAGATTCCGTTGTTCCTTCAATTCTTATGATGTCCCTTTTAATGATCCGTCTAGCTGGATTACCTCCTTTGCCGACAAATTGGCTCCTCCATCAGTCCCTTTTTATGATTGTCTTCCTTATAAGTATAATTCTTACCTCTTCAAACAGTCTAGATTGTCAATTCTCCTTGGAAGAACTTAACAAAGCATTTAATGGTCTCTCTGACTCTTCCCCTGGTGAAGATGGAATCCCCTACTCATTCCTCATAAATTCTTCATTAGGCACTAAGAGGTACTTTCTAGATTTAGTAAACTGTTTTTTCGATCTTGGAATTATTCCTGAATCGTGGAACAGACAAATCGTCATTCCGCTTCTAAAACCTGGCCATCCAAAGATCCATCAGATTTCTCTTCATACAGACCTATTGCTTTGTCTTCTACCCTTTTAAAAATTATGGAACATTTGATTAAAATTCGTTTAGAATGGTTTTGTGAACGTAACAATATCCTTGCAAAATCCCAGTTTGGTTTCAGGAAAGGCTTGAGTATGATGGATTATGGATAGCCTAAGTATAATAACGACCGACATTCGCATTGCTTTTAAAAAGAAACAGTTCCTGGTGGGTGTTTTCTTGGATATCGCATCTGCGTATGACCACGTGCTGGTTCCGGTGCTCAGGCAAAAAATGCTTCAGCTGAGTATTCCTGAGAAATTGGTACGTTTTGTTTGCAATGCAGTTTCGAATCCTTATATTATTATAAGATCCCAAAATACGGAGCTGTCTCCTAGATCTATTTGGAGGGGCTTACCTCAAGGTTCTGTTTTGAGTCCTCTTCTGTACAACATTTACACCTATGACTTGGAGCTTGTTGTAAATTCCTTCTGTCAGGTCCTTCAATACGCGGACGATGTAGCCTTATACTTTTCATCATATTCTATTGAAGAGATCATCACGCATAAATTCGGCTTTGGATTACTTGGGTGATTGGTTAAATGATCATGGTCTCTCCATTTCTGTGTCCAAATGTTCGGCGGTCACGTTTACTACAAAATACAAGGTTCCACGGTGTAACATTTCATTGTTGTATCTTGTTGTAAGCATGTAAAATTTTTAGGCCTTATTTTAGACTCAAAGTTAAACGGTGTTCCTCATTTTAACCAAGTGATTAAAAAAAGTGAGAAGGGTTTTAATGTTCTCCGTTCATTATCTGGTGTAAGGTGGGGAGCTCACCCCTACTCGCAAAAGCTTTTATACAATGACGTGGTTCGAAGTCATTTTGATTATGGCTCCTTCCTTTTAGATCCTGGCAACAAGCAAGCCCTTGATAAAATTTCCAAAATTCAATCGAAATCTTTACGCATCATCCTTGGTGCTATGAAATCCTCTCCCATCAATGCTCTCCAAATAGAATGTGTTGACCCCCCCCCCCCCCTGTATTTACGTAGACAATTTTTAAGTGACCGCTACTTCATCAAAGTCCTTCAATACTCTTCACATTCCATCTTGTCCAAATAACGTCGCTTATCTAATCTCACGATGCCATCTAGTACAGGTAATGTTCCATGCTTATTACACAGTTTTAATAAACTTTCTCGTCTTCCTAATCCTGTTGAAAGTTTCCCTAGTAATCCCTTGTTTTTAAATAGTTATGAATCCCTCATTTTTGATCCTAAAATAATTTTAAACTTTGGAATTGAAAAAAAATCCACCCAAGCTTCCATTTGTTTTCTGGAAAAAATTTCAAAAGACTGGCAGGGTGGGTTACCGATGTATACTGATGCTTCCAAGATTCCCAGTAATTAGTGCATCGGTGCGGCTGTATGGGTTCCTTCATACAAAACAGTATTGAGCTATAAACTTCCTCCATTGACCTCCGTTTTTTCAGGTGAAGCTTTTGCAATCCTAGAAGCGGTTTTGTATGCTGAGTCCCACAACCTGAATAAAGTTGCAATTTTTTCCGATTCTCGCAGCTGCTTACAGGCAATTCTTTCCAATCCATTCAGGTCTAAAAAAAAACATAATACGATTCTAAAAATAAGAGAAGCTTTGTTTAGGTGTAGTAAAAAAGATATTCATATTGTACTTTTGTGGATACCTAGTCATTGTGGTATAGCAGCAGGTAATGAAACTGCTGACTCTTGTGCAAAAGGTGCTATTTTCTGCGGATCTTGTCAGCAACCTAACATCTCGGCCCACGACCTATCAGCTCTTGCGTACTCCCACCTTTTAAAATCCTGGACTATTGATTGGCAATCTTCTAAAGAAAAAACTGGCAGGCACTATGCTAATATTCAGTATTCAATCCCTTCTTCGCCGTGGTTTTTTAAATATAAGTTTTTAAACAAAAAGGTCACGTCTATAATCTGCCGTCTTCGTATAGGGCACGCTTGTACTCCCGTTCATCTTGCCAAAATTAAAATTAAAGACAGTTCTCTCTGTGAGTGTGGTATGGACGAGGGCTCGACAGACCATATATTTTTTAACTGTTCTTTAATTAATGACTCGTTATTTGACCATCTTTCTCCAGATTTCCCTCGTCCATGTAACCTTAACTCCCTACTTTCCCTCCCATCCAGCCCGATCGTCACAATTTTAGGGAAATTTATTTCTGTTAATAAATTAAAGTTATAAATAAGATTCTCCCCTACATAAGTAGTAAAATGTTAACCTCTTGTATATATTATATATTAGATGTCTGTGTATGTTGTCTTTACCGTCTTGTTGACGTCATTTTTGTTTTGGGTAACTCTGCTTAGATTAAATTCAATCTATCAAAATTATCAAATCTATCCTCACCGTGTGAAGACTTAGAACGTGACATTGGCGGAATTGTGATTTACACAGATGTCGCCATTATAAATAAAGTGAAGTGAAGTGAACTTCTTGTTAGAAATTAGTAGTTACTAGTTAGCACCGTTGCCTACCATCATTATAACACTCTTAGATGAGTTATTAACTAAGGGTAATATTCAGAATCGAGACTGCAGTAATTTTCAGCACGAACCCTACTACATGACACATAAGAGACATAGTAAATTTATTGCAGGAGCGATTACTGGAAAATGAAATTTAATCGCACCCCATCAGGCATCTTGAATATAGGATGATAGGTGCCTTTTTGAATTAATTTACATTTTTATTAATGTCTTAAGTAGACATGTTTGATGCATGTTTTTTAAGTATCGAAGCTTATAGGGTCCTAAGTTGAATTGATAACCCTGAGAATTATGTAGGATGGTACCCGTTATTTCTAATTCTAATTCTAACATGTAAGTTAGCAAAAATTTATAGATAATAAGAATTTCACAGGTTTAGGTTTGCCTTAACGTACCGACCGGACAGACTGCAGTTTTAATCCGCATTACAGTATTTAGATCGGCATTCCTTTATTGGATGCAACCGTTACTCATATCTCGTTTCAAAGCCAATTAATGCGGGGTGTGGCGATTGTGATAGAATGTATAATTTACGTAATATTTATTTACAGTATTAAAATAAATATAATAGGTAGCTCAGGGCGTGTAAAGCTGATCGGCGGGCACGGCGGCGTAAAGGTTGTCCACGGCGGCTACGATCTCCTCGAGCACGGCGTGCACGATGGGCGGAGCAATTTCCTGCATCACATCCTTCCAGTTGCTGTTCGCGAACTCCTCCACCGGAGTCGCTGAATGAATTTAATATTATAAGTACTGTAGGTAATTGCTCACTGAACATAACAACGACGTCCTCACAGAGAATGTTTGAATAAATTCTTCTAATGTCCGATTATTATATTATCTTATACAACAAGTGTTCTGTTCGAGGGAAGGAATTATCTTACCCAAGGCTGTGTTCCCGTTAAAGAGGTTTTGGAAAGAGAAGTGCGCGCCGGTGAGGACGTTGTACGAGTGCTTCCACTTGCTAATGTGCCAGTGCTGCTGGCCGTCACTGCCCGTCACCGTGTTCAGATCGGTCGACACTTTGATCACGATGTCACCTGCGCATACAGTACCTAATTATACTAAGCTTCTCCCACTCGTCGCAGTAATTTATTGCCGAGCAAGCCCATATGTTGTCTGAATGGAGTTTGTGACAACGGCTCACTTTATTTGGTAGTATCAGTTGTCAAGATTACTAATTAAAATCTTGCCTGTGCTAACTACTTACGTATGTCAATGGTGTATGGACCGTCGCCCTGCACGGGCAGAATGAGCAGCTGCCCCGACAGCTTATAGTTGCCCTTCAGTGCCAGCTTGCTGCATTTCAGCAATACCGACTGCTTCATCTTTGCGATATCCATCCTGCAACATATTACAAATAATATGACTTCTATTAATGCAGGATAATATGAAAGTTAAAACTAATTTCGTTTCTTGAAAAAAGGATTATAAATTAAACAAGATGTTTCCTTGATCAGAGGTGTAATCGGAATATATCCTTTTAGAGGTGATAAGAACTTAAATTTATTATTAGGTTATAATTATTGTTTTAGATGCATTTATTTTGCACAAGATACTACTATTCCTTAAATATATACTAATTCTTTGCAACCCGCATAAAAAATCTTACATTAAATACTATGTACAAAACAAAAATAATAATAAGTTAACTATGCAATATTTATAACAGCTAATTACAAATACATCGAGGTATTTAACTGAAAGAGTGAAACGAAATGTTTCGATCTTGGTTGTCTTCTAATTTGAAATTCGAGAATTTGGATATTGTAAAAATTTAGTAGTTTGTACACAATTTTGATGGTATTTCAGCCGGCTTAACGTAAACGTACGACAAGATAAAAAAAACATTGTTCTCGCGGTTTTATTATTTATAGCTATTTATCTTTCTCTATTGTCGTCTTTTATGACCGTTAGCCAAAAAAATCTCTGACGTAGGATATTTATGAATTAAAAATAGCAACGATATATAAAGTAGTGAACGGTGAATAATGAAACAATTTACGATTTGTAGCCTAATGCGTATGCATGACCATATCATAAAGGTTCGTATAACGTTTAACGCTAATTATTTATGATCTAGTCTGGCCATATCGAGTAAATATTTAATATTACATCATAGTTTAACTTTGTATGTTTATCGCTAAAGCAATGTAATATTTTTAACAGTTACATTAACATAATTGTAATGAAACCTCCATTGTCCATTGGAAGGCATTTTTTTCAGAAGAAATTCTTTATTATGTATCAGCGATCGTCATAACACGCTTAGTGCGGTTTCAGAAGACTTGAGCCGCTATCGCGGGGTAAAAATATTGTGGCTTGGTTTTCGGCACCTACTATTAGGTATACGGTACTCACTTAACATTATCTATGGTGCAGGTTTTAAGGCCAGTGAGGTCGGTGTCCTTGAAGACCATCTTTAGACCCCCTTGGTCACTCTTGATCACGTTGAGGTGCATGGGGTCCAGCGACCTGTCACACTTTTTGTTAGATCATCCGTACTGATTAAAACTAATTTTAAGAGACTTCACTAGAATAGTGAAACATGGGTACATGAGGTACATACTTAATGCCGAGGTCCGGTATCCCGGGTAGCAAGAAGGGCGCGGCAGCCCGCGCTGAGGCCAAGATGCATGCGGAGTCGCCGGGCTTGCATGGCTTTATAAACGGTGCTGAAAAAAGGATGTTTTTAACTTATTTTGAATATTACGTTTAATCGTTTAATAAACTACCTTCACGAGAATAGTTTCACGTTATAATAAATGAATACAAAAACTAATCCGGCATTTTCTCAGTTTGTAATTATTATTAATTGAGCAATAACTCGACTATTTTATTTTTTATTGCTAACTCCGGCTTCGCATTTTTTGCCCATTTTTTCAAACCATTGAGACGAGATTGATCAGTAACGCTAGTTTAGATGAATCTTGAATATTAGACAATGGATAGTTCCGAGAACGAGCCTTGCACATATTATTATCAATAATATATAGAATAAATATACCTATATACACGCGGTGGTTGAAAATATCTCTTTTAAAAGACTGATTGTACCTACTATAATGTTTTTGTAACGACGAGTTAAATATATTCATAATGTTATATAGACAGCATAGAACCCAAGAAACCTCATAAATTGAAAAGAATAATCTTTGTACAATATATAAAGGAAAAGGAAAGTATATTGAATTCGTCTGTTCCTTTAAAATCTAGTTTCGCTGCATCTGCAACAAACGCTTGACATATGTCGCCCGTTCATCAAGTATCATGTACAAACAGAATTATAAACCGCAATTTACAATATAAAAACGTATTTATTACAATTATTAAGTTTAATAAAAATAACTAAGAAATATTGTAAGCCTTGTTATTAAGAAAACACCTACTCTTTGATATCCACTCATTTTTATTAAACATAAATTTGAAAAGTAGGAATTAATTCCAGTAACGTGTGCATTAATATTATGTTAAAAGCAATATGCACATAACGAAAACAGATAAATCGAGTATGCAACTTATTCGAACCAGAGATTTATTCATCAGACAAAACGGATTTATATCTCATGTTGTGCAATAAATACATTGTTTTGTTTAAATTTGTCAAAAAATCTTTCGTCACATTCTAAGCCGAATTGTAAATTCTAAGCGAGTATTTAGTTAGCACTCGTGCACATATTATGATGAAATTAACACTTCACGTTTGCATAAGGTGTGTTTGTTTTGTAAAAAGACTTACCCGAAGCACACTGAACACTTAGACCCAGTCCGAGTAAATAGAGGATGCGGAACATTTTGCAAATATTAGCAACTCGTGGCGTTGTGGTGTTGTGATGAGAGTCGCCTCAACTCCGTCGTTTTATGCTCACACTGACGTCACGACCCTGACATTGTGAGCGTGCTGCGGCCAATGCGAGATTTTTACTTTACCCGTCGACCCCATCTTCGTCGTTAATACATTTTCTTCAATACCTAGATGATTCAAGAATTCGATGATATTTTGACCCAATGAGGTAATAGATTATAGAATTAATAGTGTGTTTAAGATGAGAAATCGAGTAGCTTATTACGACAGCAGTACAAAATTAATTTAATAAGCACCGGCGGCAAATGAATATTTCCCAAAACGCCTGGAAATGATGTTGACAAGCAACTTAGTGAAGAACCGGCCCGACACATAACGCCATCATGGAGCTTTTTGTGAGCTCTAAAATAATTCGTCAGTCTCATAGAAAGATATTAGACTTTAATTAAAAACGATTCGCTGGAAACTAATTATAACTAAGGAATTTATTTTATTCATTACGATAGCCGTTCTGATCTCAGTCGCCCTTCACAAAAAACATTAGGTAGCTATGGATCGCAAAGTATTTAATTTAAATCTCATTAATTAATTGTAACTCATGTATTTTTTTATTCTTTTGCATTGCATTTTGATTTGTAATTCATGAGCCTCAAGATTAGCTTTTAGTCTATTTTTTTAATTTTAGATTAAGTTTGGTGGTATATTGTATAATTGGGCATTGGTTTGGTTATGCACTTCTTGCATTTTACCCTTAGTTTTTTTCCTTACTAAAAGGTTGCCTGAAAAACATGGCTTGTTAGCGATAAGGCCGCACGTTGCATCCCCAGTTATTGATGTTACTTTTTTTTATTTGTAATGTAACGAAGTGTTAGTAAATGAATAATATCAATTGCTTGTACATGTCTCAGACGGCAAATAGATTAAGGAGAAAATGATTTTATTTTACATGATTCCTTCTTTTCAGAGTGCGTGAACGCGTTTCGCATCAGGGTAACTTGTTTTTAGCTGTAAACTATTATAGTTACATGAGATTATCCCATTTCCGTAGTTGTACTTGAGTCCATATGTTTTATTGTATTTGTGTCCTCTACCGATATGTATATAGCCTAACAACAAAAATACTTTATTAACATTTTTATACTGTTTTATTATTTAGCTGCGAGTCTCACATTTTTTCCTCGTGACAAGGTCTCGAGGTTATTCGATATGACAGTGCGATTGAGTTATTAGTTTTTATTACGTATTCTTTGTTTATTTAGCTTAATAGGCATTAGTCAAATGTAATTTAAAAAGAGGAATAATAATAATCAAAAAATTTCCATATTTTTGATTTACCTTGCCAAGGGAAAACCCCATTCGATGTGTATTTGCATACTTGAAGCGAAGCGGAGAAACCATTACTCGAGTTACACTTTATGTAATTAAAATATTAGTACATTTATTTATGAATAAGTTTTCCTAATTTAATTAAGTTAAAGTACCTACATACTGTTAGTAAGGCGTTATTAAAACAAAACATAATAAATATTTTTTTAATCGATTAATTCATACAGAATAAATAGAATAACAGTTTTCGTTCCCCTGTTTGTATGTTCGTATGTTCATTTAGTTGGTTTACTTAAGTGACTTAACCAATGATGAAAACACGTGCGCTAATTTCATCCATTGACTCATACGTACAAAAAAGTTTATAAGAAATGAAATTATAAAATAATATTAAGAATTATGTATGTTTTTATAATAAATATTATAAATGATTACGACCTTATTTCTTAAAGTGATAACATATTCCTGAAATAAATATTTAAATTCCTGTGATTGTAATATATTTTGATAAATCAATGTCCAAATACAGTCAGTCCAACGAAAGTTGTGTAAGAGGCACTTTTTCGAAGAGATGAGCAGTTTGGTGCACGATGCGATCGACGATAGCGGAGACAATGGGCGGTGACACTTCCGTGAATATTGCCCGCCAGTTCTTGTTCGCGAATTGGGTTACTGGACGGGCTGTAACCAATCGAAAAGCGGAATACATCTAAAAACCTGTGCTACACAGACTAATGCGATTGCTTTATTAGTAATTGATTGTTGACACTTTTGCTCAAATCGATACAGCTTTACCGACATACACAGACACAGTTCGAGCAGGCCTGCAGGTAACTTTATAAGTTTAGTGCTAATGACGACGGTCGGGCAAAGAGTCTTGAATAGGAAAGAAGACCCGAAGAGCCAGGGAAGTCGATTCCGCTAGTTGAACACCATGGAGTTTAAACCCTAGGCACAATGACGCCAAATGGTATGCGAAATGCATTTCCCCACGTTAAAAAACCCATACAAGTTAAAGGCTCGGTAAGTGATGCAAATTTAATACCGAGCAAATCATGTTAATAGAACCAAGTATTTCCATAAATTAGTAGTTTTAAACATCTTAAAAAATCTTCTGAAAAAAAAACAAAAAATAAATAAACAGACAAAATAGAAAACTATTTACCTAGTGCTTCATCGCCGTTAAATAGATTCTGGAAATGATAGACGACGCTCGTGAGGACATGGGCCGTGTGCCTCCAACGCACCACCGACCAGTACCGCTCCCTGCCTTTCTTACGCTCCACCGTCTCCAAGCTAACCTTCACAACTATGTCACCTGTTGACAGTAAACGGTTTACAATTATAAAAATGACAAATAGTTGTAATCAAAAATCGAAAGCAGGAAAAAAAAATTCTTAATCGAAATATAAAAATGTGTCGCCAACTCACGTATCGTGATCTTGTAGCGGCCACTGCCCTGTATGCGGAAGATGAGCAACTTGCCACTGAGCACATAATCCCCCGTCAGCACCACACTGCACTGGAGCTCCACTGACATCCGAGGACCTTCGCGTCTGCAATTAATCGATGTTGCATAACCTATATTACGTTATAAACAATAAAGATAACTAAATAAAACTGTAGTCGAGTTCGATAGAGACCAAATTTTAAGCTTTAAAATATAAATAACATATCTATATTCTTTATGATTGTTTCTTGTAAAAAAACATTATTTAAGGTAGAATTAGCTTTATCAGATTTTTTTGAACAGCCAAAGGGCTGAAAGAGAGCCTAGGAATAATGTTCCTGATAGAAAAGTTTTAACGATTGATGAGCGTTTAGAAGAATTTTCAAATTATTGTACCTCAGTCTGTCACGCAAAATTCGAAGCGTGTTGAGAAAGCCATTGCGGAGGCAGATTGTGTAAATATGGTAGCAATGGTTCACGTAAATAAGGTGCAATTAAATGAGGTACCTACAGAACGCCTTACAACCGTCGTATATCTTTCGACACTGTAGGGCGGTACTCGCCGAACCCACCCTCCTTATATTCAATCTCAGCCTTAAAGCATCAACATTTCCAGACCGTTGGAAAATAAAGTTGAGGTGAAAGATTAAATAATGATTCACAAGTGCCAATTTTGTCAACACCAGCGAAGGTACCACCACAAAAGACCATTCTCGACTAGGTTAGCTCTCAACACTCTGTTACCACGAACCATTTCTTGAGGTTTTTGATTAACCAGTTGTGCTAAAAAATTCGACAGCAGTTTAGTTCTGCAAAAATGTTGTGTTGTTTGTTTTATCAGAGCACGGGCACGTGTCTCTATAGATAATTATTACATGAAAAACAGCCAATTCCAAGATAAGCAGAAGTCAAAGACGTAGGGGTTCATTTAAATGTAGAATGAAATTTTCAGGATAGCATAAAATTATATATAAAAAAGTTCTAGGAATTTAGGGTTTATTTTACGTATGGCCAAAGGATCCTGAAGTATTAAGTAAAGCGATAGTGGCATTGTATAACGCACATGTTAGGAGTCATTTGCAATGTAACATCATGATTTGGGCCCCAGAAGAACAGAAATACTCTCGAATAGTGGAGCGAATTCAAAATATATTTACTAAGTGAATATTATTTACATGAGTTTTTATATTACTTATGTATCCAACTGTGTTTGTCTTGGGTATGGATACCACCAGTTAGATAGTGGTAAAGAAGGACCTTGCTATCGCTCTATTTTTTAAGGTCCTAGAGTATATAATGTGGAAATTATAGAGAGACTGGGGCTGTAAGTGCCAAATAATCACACTCCGAGTGGAAAGCGGTCGCGAGCAATGTTACAAGTGAACTGATCTATGTCATTCCACACTGTCTGAATTCACATGTCGATCATCCCTATTACGTCCTTCTACACAATACACAACTGATACAAGTCACGCATCATGAATTTCCATTTGCTCCGACGTCGTAACCAGCAATTTGTTTAACAATATTAGCGGATACGTCCAAACAGGCCTTCGACTTAAACACACGTTACTTTGTATGAGACAATCGACAAAAAACTCAAAAAAATTCTCATAAAAACCGATTGCCATTGTCACATGAAATAAGCTAATGACAATTAATAGCTACGCTAATAGATCGCATCGTTAGAGTCGGTGAGTGGTGGAATTGATTGTTAAGGAGATTTACAGAGTACTAACTGTGATGCTTCGCTGGGTCCTTCACAGATAATTTAATTTAATTAATTATAATATCCTCAATTCATTTTTTCCCAATGCACTGTTGAGACTTCGTGGTCATTATTTCCGCTAGATCACTCTTCCAGCTGACAGACACCGTCAACTACGTACGACGCAAAATACTTACTAGGACTGATTCCTCAGACGAAAGAAGACTTTAGTGCGCACAACGTACTTTACTAAAAGGTTGTGACTGTAAAACATTTAAGGTAACTTTTGCAAGTCAACTTTTTATCTCTCTTGTTATTCATTTTTATTCAAAAGTCAAAAATCATTTAATCATATAGGTAACACAATGTACACTTATGAACGTCAAACAAAGAAATGTATATGAAATGCTTCTAACTTTACATTAAGTGCCAGTTCTCAAATCAAGGGCGTAGAACGGAAGAGAAGAAATGGCAATAAACTCTCCGCCACTCTTTTCAATCGCCATTTTTTTTTACACAATGTTTGTAAGGAGCTGCAACCATTACACCATGTTCCACATGACATCTTAAGTAATTAATAATAATAACATAAATTAAAAACAAAGACTTGTCCTCTATCAGCAGGAGGCATGGTGAAATAGGAGCACGCACTTACATTCTAGTGGGTACTTCGAGAGTATCAAAATATATACGGCTTTTTCTGACATACCACCAATATATAAATGTTTTTGTACGTAAAACGTACTTACTGTAAATCGAGCACGCGACAGTGTCTCAATCCTCGTACTTGGGTATTATTGAACTCCATAATCAGCCCGGCTTGGTTGGCCGACACGTGCTCGAGATGCATCGGGTCCATTCGCTCTACTCCCAATGCCGGGAGACCCGCTGCCACCACCGCAACGGCTGCTTGAGCAGACGACTTCAAACATGCCCTATCTTCTGCGTAGCATGGTCTAATGAAGGGCGCTGCATAAAAGAATCTTGTACAAGTGAATGTTCGCCATTCACTAAAGTTAAGTTATCATATACTGCTGTACTAGATCATTAGGTGGTAATCGATTGATATTTGGTGTATTTATATGTAAAGACGTGTTCTGTGCCGCAAAGCCAAACAAATACCGACACAGCGAACCTAGATACATCTAACGTTTGTCTCAATGAATATCGGTTAAAGCTGAACAAACGTGTCAAGGATATAACAGATGATTATCCTCAACTCGACGCTTTTATCCTCACTACACTCACGCACCACTTTATTGTTATTATGGTCTTATATTAAATAATTGCTATGTTTTATAGTTTCCACGAGTTTTCACGTTAAGCGATTACGATGAAATCGCTCCTTACTTGGAATAACAAAGTAAATGTGTTAAAAATGAAACCAGTTTCTTAACAAATTATTCGTTCTCGGTAGTTATTTAGTAGCTATTTTTACGTTACACCTACACTTAAAATTCCGTGTTCGATTACTTTTCAATTGCGAAACTCTCTCGAAAAAGATAACAGAAGAAGACACTTACCCAAGCTACAGTGAACAGTCCCTACGAGCACAAGGACAAAGGTTAAAAATAACAGAAGTGCCTTCATTTTGATGTATCCTTCAGCACACAAGGGCAACGATCTTTATCAGCAACCATTTTATATTATCTTAACCACTAATTAGTCACACATTAATAGTTAAACGTTTCTTGTGAAATTATTCCATTACTTTTGAGCATCATTAGTGAAAAATGCTCAAATATAACGAACGGGCAGACGTAATGTCGTATTTCTTACAAAGACTACTAGTGTACATTTATTTTGACTAATTTAGTCTATTCCATCATTATATTATTCTTATATTTGAAATCATTCGGATGATATTTTTGAGCATATTGTATCTAATATTATAGATACAAAAGAAAGTTTATCATTTTAGACTGAACAATAGATAATTTTGTATATACATAATTATTAAAACACATATCTATTAGTACGAAGAGAATAGGGACTTCTCTTCAGTTGCGCTCTTTATTTCCGAAGGTGTTAGCACTATTACCTCCTCTCCACTCCGTCTTTGGCATGCCTCAGCGCCTGCCTGGTGGTAAGAACTGTAAGGGCAAGTCCCTTCGTTCGGGGTCAGCGAGAAGACGATCGGATTCGAGGTCTGGTGCCCTTCACTCTGCATTCAATGAGTTCAAGTGAAATTAATGTAAAATGTATTTATTTTCTCTCGACCTTAAATCGCTCCAGAACCCGGGTCTTTATGATAGCACCTGAACGCTATGTCAGGAAGGAGTAGGCAAGGCAGACTTAGAAATAAGTAAATTTAATATTTTTGTAAAGAAAGTACAGTAGTAAAGAAGCAGTCGGTGAAATTACACGTTCATTTCTGGATCTCACGGAGATGGAACTTTGGAAATGAAGTAACTTTTCTTTTTCAACTTAGTTAACATAATAGTATAATAAACATTATAAACATTACATTATCAATATGTACCAATGTATAGCAGTATCTAATATTTATTGCTACGTAAAATGTAAAATTCTCGGAAAATTGTTCACGAACGTCATTTATAACTAGTTGTAAGGTTAAATCGTACTCGACCTATGTATGAGTAAGAAGAGCTCCGTCGGTGAGGTGCGCTGGAACACACGTGCACACAAAACGATACACTCAATGAATCATTTAAGAGTTAAACCAAACTCACAGAGGTCTATGTCATTGATCTTTACTCTTCCGCGCTCAGATTGACAATCTTCAGTTGTCAACATCGTTGCAATTAACTTAGTAAACAATTAGTTGCCACGTTTTTTTGGAGTACATATTGTTATCGAACTGATGTATTCGGAACCAAGACGTAAGTGCATTTTGCACTCTTGCTTAGGTAAATCTAATTTTATGCACTTCGTACGTGAGGGCCCGCTTGACCCTGGCCGTGATAGTGTGCGTGCTGACGTCTGGTCAGTAACTCGGTGACCTTGCCTTCCGCTGGACTAATAAGAAGATAGAATAATTTTCTGCAAGAAGTAGCCTGCGAGCTGTACCAGTTAAATAATGGCTACAAAAATATAGTATCTAATGAAACTTAAACCCAATGAACTTGTATTTTTTCAACTTTAGGATATGTTTATTGAGAAGGGTTAATTGTGTATATAAACAGAAATCTACTATTTGAGGGTCGGGGTTAACACTGAGGTGAGGTGCAAAACTTAATCCTGATTAGGATAAAATACAGCCGTTAATTAGTACACAGTTTTACTTGTCGTCTGATCTTCGATTCTCCAACTCCTAATAATTTGGACATTCACCGATACATAAAATAAGACTTATGCTGAAATTAAACAAGGATATTTTTTAAATTTCCATCTTTAAACTTATCTTTTCTCTAAGTAATAAGTGTAACATTGAACATGACGGGATACGGTATCCTTATACGTAGATGGAATTAAAAAGCATAAGCCAGTTAAAATTTAAAGGTAGCGGAGGTGGTTTAAGTCCGTATTAAAAGGGCAATACTTTGTAGATAAGGTAAGAAGAAGAAAAGAAAGATTGGATATTTAACATAAGAATTTCCGTAAGCTTTATTACAATATATATGTTTTACAAACAGAGGAAAAACCCCATCAGGCAACAGCATCAACAGGCATTTAAGCAATAAGTTTTTAAAAAAATACTTCGATATTCAATTCGAAAAGTTTATTTACATAATTAATCAAATATTTACCGAGAGCTTGCAAGGGCTTCGATACATAGTTTGACCATCAAGAATCTCATTTGGTTACCAAATTACATTAAGTAACTTGTTATTATCGTAAGGTCTATTGTATATAATATGTATAGGTGATATCGATCACGTAGGGAGTGTAATCTTTTCGTTCGATACCTACAGCTGAGAAGGAAATATATAATAAAGTTCCTTAGATCACGATATAATGCTAGGTACGATTATGAATAAAATAGATAAATGGACATAAATAAAACCAATTGAAATCATGGAAACTATGCGGAAAACCATTAGAAAAACCTCACTATCTAGTGCCTAGGCATTTTTTTGAGCAATGAACGTTGCCGAACCATTGACTGTGTATTGGTGGGATTTGTATTTGTCTCAATGCGTCTTGTATGCATATTGCATTAAACCAATCATAAGGTGTAACGATTACTATGTATATGAGACAATTTAATATTCAGTTGCAAATACAACATAATATGCAAAATAAAACATAACATCATGACAACAATTACCATGCACCGTTTTCATTAAATGGCCCATGCTGTGTGCTGCATAAAATGCCAAAACTTATAAATTTTGCATTCAGTTGCTTTAATAAAACAATACATCAGACGCACTTGGTATTTTTTTATAAAATCACAGATACAATTTCACTGCATGTGTCAATAAAGATAGGAATTGATTGAATTAAACGTAAAGGTTGAGCGTGTATGCAATTACGAAAGATATATAACGCTGGGTTCAAGTCGGTCAGTCCGCTACATACGTTCACACGACATGTCTCGCCTTCTGTGCCTCGCGGTGGCGCTCAGCTGCACCCTGGACGCGCGCGCCGGCACATTGCGTGAGTGCAATATCATTTTAATCAATCATCAAATCTATTTTATCCAATTAACCTGATTTTTTAAATAATTAAATTGATGGAATCGGACTTTAAAAACAGATAACAATTACAATTAATTTTACAATTGTACAACTAACCTTCCAGAAATTTAACCAAGAATTTGACGATGATGAAATTCAGCTGGGGGGGTATTAATCCGAACAACTCCTCTGAACACTCTCTGTCAAAGTGTGTGCGTGTAAAAGAGTTAAACGCGCTTACCGTAGCGGCGCGCTTTTCGACCTTCAAATAAGGGCGAATCCAGGCCCCAGGTTTCGGTTAATCAAATTTTTATATATACCATAAAAATAAAAAAGCATACCTACCTAAATATGGGGTTTTCGTACATAAATAAATAGGGACAGACAATAAATATTTTTAATGTGACTGGAATTTAACAAAAAAGTGACAGCATATAAAATAAATATTTAAATTCTATGATTTTGCAATGACACTCCAAATTATTTATGTTTTTACTGTAAACTAAAATATTGAAGGTCGTTACTTTCATGTGAGTGGTTTTGTAAGAGATAAATTCCGACCCGATGAAGAAATGCTTATTGCGTGACAACTCAATGTCGTCCCCATCCTGTGACATATATAACATGCATAATATTGATATAGATTTAAAGAAATGAAAAGGTAGGGGACTTTCAATAATAAGAATTAAGTAATAGGTCTGATTATTTGATTAATTATCAGCCATTGTTTGTGACAACTTTTGTGTAGTAATCGTTGCCTTAATTGTTATCGATTGTATTGCAAAATCCCCGGAGTGTATATCCAGTACAAAGATATGAGCAAAAAAGTGTATGAATTTCAAATTGCGTAAACCTTTGATTAGGCATTTCAAGAGATGTTTACCTTGACTTAAGACTACTTTTTTTTAAATAATTTTATTTGCTTAATAATTTAGCGTCCTTTCTGAGAGCTTGTTCGGCGTCAGACCCAAATCTCAGTCAGTGCGTGGAGAAGGTGATAGCGGTCGGGGGAGGGAAATTCGCAAAGGGCATCCCGGAGCTGGGAATCGCGTCCCTTGATCCGGTACACCTGGGTAGGGTGGTTGTCGACAACCCCGCTCTGAAGCTCACCTTCGACGACACCGTCGTTACCGGTCTCGGTGGCTTTGTCGTAAACTCTTATAAGTAAGTAACATAATGTAGATTCACTTAAAGATCTTTGGATCCTATTTACATTATATTTGATCAATAAGGATTGACACGGAGAAAGGAAAAGCTACACTTGACTTCACGGCTAACGTAACACTGAAGGCACATTATGACATGGATGGGCAGGTGCTCATCTTGCCAATTAGAGGAAACGGAGAAGCCAAAATAAAAATCAGTAAGTTATACGCTATCACTATGACACAGATTAATGCAGACCTAATTAATGAAATTAATAATTCCTCAGCCAACCTTAACATCGTCATCAAGTATGACTACAAGACTGTCGACGGTTACTGGACGGTGACGGGTTACAAAGATAGCTACAATATGGACCGCGCGCAGTTCAAATTCACTAATCTTTTCAACGGCAACAAAGAGCTGGGTAAGTAAAGTATCGATTCACAACTTAGTTTAACCTATAAACAATGGTAAAGCAGAAACAAAAGATCTGGGCTCCACTTTAGCTTCATATATGTATAAAATAGCAACTAAATTAATAAAATATCTTCGAAATGAAGTCGTGGTGACAAAATCTTACACGAATACGTTTAAATGTAGTTTACGTGTAGGTACCAACGATAAAACTAATGGAGATAGAGCTACCTAATTCGGTCAGACTGAAACATGATGGAATTAATCTATTATTCGTAGAGTGTTGAAACAGTATCATTTTTTTTTAAATACAATTTCAGCTGATACGACCGTAAAATTTGCAAACCAAAACTGGAAGCTTATAATGCAAGATATTGCACCGCCAGCTATCGAGCATATCATACATAAATGTGTAGACGAAGTTAAGAAGCTTTTTAAGTCTGTGTCGGCGACTGATCTCCTTGCAGCCTAATTAATGGTTTGAATGAGTCTGAAATTGCATCGTTTCTTGATTTCATTTATAACAATTTACTGTCTCGCTCATTCCTCAAGTCGTTTACTTCCTTTGGTTCTTTCAATAATTATATTTTCTTTAATTCATGACCCTACATGATTATTTTGATTGAGACGAATCGATTTAAATTTATGTGCTATACAAACTTACCTTAAAAACAATTAACTGAAAATAACAAACTTATACGTCATCTCTCTTACCTAATCTTATCTTCTTGTATGTGGATAATTTAAAGATTTTCTTTCCTGAATGAGGAGCAGCTTATGAAAAAAACTTGTCCCTGTTTCCTCGCCCTGTTTAAATAACTCCTTATAGTCGTAACGCCGAGTTCCGAGCACAGTCCGTCATCAGTAAAAGCACAAACTTATGAGTTACAGCTTCGGGGTGAAGGATTTAATTTTACTCACATCCCAAAAAATATTATGACGCTTTTTTATAATATGTATAACAAAAAAATTGTGCCCTTTACGAATACAAAGTATGTCAAAAACTCATTTCACAAGATCCCTCTGAAGAGCAAGGTAATTTAAATTGAAAGTTCAATGATGTCTCGCCAGGCGAACTTTTGCGTAACTCCAATTAAATAATGTTTCATATAATTAAAAGCTTACACTGTTTATTCTCATCTTAGCATCTACAATAAATAGAGTGATCAATGACAACTGGGAGCCTGTAATCCGTGACATCGCTCCTGTGGCCTTTGAGACCATTATCAGCGCGTGCGTCAACGAGGCCAAGAAACTGTTCGCTGCCGTTCCTGCTGACCGATTACTGCTGCCTTGATGTAGCGGTACAAACAAATGTCAGGATAATCTACAGAAAATCGGTTTTCCGTCACTCGTGAAGACATGATTTCTAATTGCATTAGTATAATAATGAATCCCGCCCAGTTTGCCTTTTATAGTCTTTAAGATGTTTTATTTTATTCGGATGTAGTTTTAACTTCGTCTGAAATAGTAGCAGTTTAGTAATTGAACCTTTTAGTGATTAAGAAAATACATATGTGTAAATAAAAAGAAAGCGTTGTAAATATAAAAAATGTTGTTTTCGGATCAAATTTTTTTATAATGTAAAACAGCACTTATGTAATTTGATTTAGACTGTTCTCATTTTTAAATGAATTACGTTATTAATAGTGGCAGTTTGTTATTCATGTTTTACAACTAACCGGTAGACGCTCCAGGCTCGTTGCCTTAAGGTCGCCGGTTGCACATTTCCGTGTCAATATTGTAACTTCCTCTCGATGCGCACACTCCTCTTATCGGGGCCAGCCATCAACAAGCACGTGTGTATTTGCAACTCTATATCCTTCCCGTAGCTGTAGTATTTATACCTACTTAATAATAATTGATCTTTTAATTATTAATACCGCGTTAATTTATCTACGCCGAGGTAAGAACAGCTGAGTTCCATTATCGGACGTCAAGGCAAAATACAAAATACCATCCGTATCACCTCGACGTCCGTCGTTCCACAACTGAGCGTTTTCTAAGGCAGTTTTTGCCGCGCACCACCACTATGTCGAACCAGCTGCCCACTGAAATATTTCCGAACCAATTCGACTTAGGGTCCTTCAAGAAAAGAGCGTACCAATTCTTGAAAGGCCGGCAACGCACTTGCGAGCCTTCTGGCAGTGTGAGTGGCCATGGGCGGCGGTATCACTTAACATCAGGTGAGCCTCATGCCCGTTTGCCTCCTATTACATTTAAAAAAAAAATAATTATTATACGATTTTAATAAATTGGTACTTAGTTTATCACAATAATGTCCATTAACAAAGTTGTCAACTCATACATGTCTTAATAGTCTTTACTATTTGTAAGAGTATCATCTTTATGTTATTGATTTGTCAACATATATTGTTTAACACTATCTCTATGCTTGCCCTCAACAAAATCTAAAAATAGTCCTGGTATGTTTCATATAAAATTTTATGTTACTATATTTACACTTATGAGATAAAATAGTAATCATTGTTATAGTTATAAAACAAAAATACAAGTTATTATAAAAAATAGAGGTTGATTTTAGTGTCAATGTGTGAATTTGAGATAACATGTTTTTGTGTAAATACTGACACCCACACTGTTTCTTATTGATAAGTAAACAGAAACAATGTTTGATAACTCAGATAAATGTTCTTGAACTATGAGATATTTTTGTTTGTATTCTTTACAACTTATCATTAACTGTGTTATAATTACATGAGATGACATTTCTTTATCATCTGTTTTCTACAAATAAAACTCTATTTAGCATGTTGTTTTTAAAAGAAATAAAAAACCAAAGAAACATACATATAACAGTTTTATTTATTCTTAAAATTTTAAAACAATTGTAATAGATAAATGTTTTCAAAGTATAAAAAAGACTACTAGAAAAATTGCTTAAAATTATTTGATTACTAAAATCATATGGCATTCAGGCACATTCATCGAGGACACATAGCATGGCGACCACCATCAACTGGCAAACTAACACCAGTAATGTTACTTGCCAAATCACTTGCTAAAAAGGCTATTGTTGCTGCAACTTCATCTGGTTTTCCAGGACGACCTAACGCATGTGTCTCTTTACTTCTCTCTAAGAAGGCAGCATACTGGTCATCATTTAACCCACCGCGACGCTGCAGCTCTGTTAGAATAACTCCAGGGTTCACACAATTAACTCTGACACCTTTAGGGGCTAATTCCAAAGCAACACATCTAGTAAACTGATCAACTGATGCCTTAGATACATTGTAAGCAAGAACTCCAGGGAATGAACGAATTCCGTTTACACTTGATACATTCACAATATTACCTTTACTTTTTAATAAGTGAGGAACGGCTAACATAGTCAAATAATAAATCGAACGAACGTTTGTATTCATCAAACGATCATATTGTGCCAAAGACGTGTTTTCGATTGAGCCGGTTTCGATAATACCTGCGTTGTTTATGAGAACGTCTAATTTTCCGTAATGATCGATGGTAGTCTTAACGATTTTTTCGATATCTCCCTCTTTAGTTAAGTCCGCTGGTATAGTTATGGTAGAAGTTGACTTTGCACAGTCGTCATTGACCTTTTGCAAATTATTCACGTTTCTTCCAATCAGTGACAGTTGAGCACCAAGCTTTGAAAGGAAAACAGCAGTAGCAGCTCCAATTCCTGAGCTTGCGCCGGTAACAACTACTACTTTTCCGGAAAAATTCATTGTAAAAGACTTATCACTAAAGTCTTACTTGCACTTTATAACGCCTTTGAATACTGTCGTCAAGTGAAGGAACAAAACTTATCTACTAAATTAAATAATGTATAACCTTATAAAGATAATGATATGTACATAATAATATAATTATTATAATACTCAAAACAAATACATGTATTCACAGATATCTAATATACTAGTGGAATGTCAATTGTCAATGTCCAAGTCACATAATAAAGCATTTTACTAAAATAGCTAACGATTGATGATTTTAATTCTTATATGTATGTAAAAACGAGATAAACCCTGACCTCTGTTCTCTGCAAGACTATGGAACGTTTATTGAATAGTCACCTTCTTGCATATTTGTAAGAATATGACCTGTTGAGCGGTCGCCAATATGATTTTCGTCGTAATCGATGTATACTGTACAGGTGTCCTTCTAATACGTGCATCTCCTTTATGGGCGAAGCACTTGCCATTTCTAAGGTGTATACCTTGAAATTTCTAAGGTCTTCGATAATGTTTCGCCCGTAAGCCTCATCTTGCTCTATGAAATGCTAAATGAATAGCAGATTTCTTGAAGGAGCGCTTACTTAAAGTGGTCGACGATGGTTGCTTTTCTGATCTAGTAGCTCGTCTATTCTATCTGAGACTCTTCCTAATACATATCAACGACATGCTAACATCAAATATCTTCGGCTATGCCGATGACGGAACTATCGTTGAAAGATATCTGTCCAACGCTAGAGCGTTTCATTTATTCTTCACACCGGAAAATCTTATTCATCTTTATCAAGCTCAAGTCCGCCGTATGTGGAGTCACCTCTAGGCCGATGCTACTGTCATCCAGATGCTTTGGATGCTATTGAGAAGTGAGTTAAGTGAATTATGGACGATTATTCTCTCGCTTAATCTCAACTATAAAGTTTGGACCATCGCCATTCAGTTGCCTACCTTTCAGTCTTCTATAGATTGCACTCCGGAGAATGCTCCATGGAACTACACGACCCGATTCGTCATACTTTCTCAAACAACGCTCATCTTTGCTGTTGACATTCCCAGGTTCCGCACTGCACGATTTGGATCGTTCGTTTCTAGTATAAACAGCAAAGGAGTGGAATTCCTTTCCCGCTTGCCTAGACAGTTACTGGTATTGGGGAGCCAAGGAACTGGTATTGGGGAGCTCCTGCCTAGCTATGAGAACAGTACACCATGTGGGACTGAATTTGCGCTTTATAGAGTTGCAAGCAGTGTCCCGAAGTAGAGTACCGTCTCGCCTTGCTGAGCACACCAAGCTTCTTAGAGGCAAATTTCGCCTTCCCTTCCAAATGACCGCGAAACTGAACGTCATTCGATATGTCAACGCTCAGTATGCCGATGCTAGCTGAGGCTTTAAGGAGAGTGTCTTCAAGAAAGCGTACAAGCAAGAAATTGGGATCCGTCGTTTAGATTGGCCAGCTTGAAGTTCTGACCTCAATTCAATTGAGTATGTCTGCTGCACAAAACGTCAAATACAATTTATTTAATTATCTGAAATTGACCTTAGAACAAAAATTTCTTTAGGTGCCTGTTTTTTTTTCAAAAGACTAGATATTTATTACCAAGATTGATTGCGAAATCGCTAAGTATAAGGTATTAAACACAAGACTAGAAATAATAGTAAGGCCGATGAAAAAAATATTTATTTTGGAAGAAGGATTACTTCACCGTAATCACTATCCTTTACCTACTTTATTATTATACTTACTCTTTGTCTCGTCCCAACCTTTTCCATTTGCATATTTTTTTATATCTATGTGGCTTTAGGTTTGTCAATGTTTGAAGGATACATATTGTATTAAATTACTAAGAGATCTTTTGTTTACAAATAATGTAGGGTAAATTTTAGTAGCTTTCGCAAAAACTTAAATACAAATTCTCAGTTATGTTACCTTAAAATGACAATAGTAAGTAAATAAAACGCCATAAAAAGTCAGCCATAAGTTTTTTCGATCATACCGTTGTTTTAAAAATATCTACATTCTGCCCTCTAGAAAGAAGTTATACACATTCATATAGGACAATCTGGAGTACAAGTAGCAAACGCCTGTTGGGAACTGTATTGCTTGGAACATGGCATCAGACCCGATGGCATCATGTTATTTGGAGAAAACGAACATAGCTGCGCTTCCTTTTTTAGTAGCACGGCTGGGGGAAAAGTGGTGCCGCGTGTAGTAATGATTGATTTAGAGCCAACTCCAATTGGTGGGTACAATTAAAACCTTAATGAATTGTCTGATATACTTTATATTTATACTACTACAGTAATTATTATTAATAAGTTCATATTATTGTAATGTAATTGTCATTTACAAAATAATAACTTTATAAACATCAGTTATATTTGCAGACGAAATAAGAAATGGAACCTACAGACATCTATTTAATCCTAAGTCTCTGCTAACGGGCAAAGAAGACGCGGCTAGTAATTTCGCTCGCGGGTACTTCGGTGTGGGACGCGAGATGATTAACGTTGCTCTCGATCGAATACGACTAGCTGCTGAAGATTGCAGTCATCTTCAAGGATTTATACTGTTCCGCTCTTTTGGAGGAGGTACTGGATCTGGATTCACAGCACTACTTTTGGAAAACATTGCTAGAGAATACGGCAAGTTATCTAAAATAGAATTTGCTGTTTATCCTGCCCCAAGAATGTCACCAGTAATTGTAGAACCGTACAACGCAGTATTGACGTCTCATGCTTGTATGAACACAGAGGATGTCTGCTTTATCTTCGACAACGAAGCCTTATACGACATTCTAGCTAGATCTTTAGAAGTACCTCGACCGACTTATACAAATTTAAATAGATTAATCGCTCAGGTATAAACGACTTCACTACTAACAATATTATTGTAAAAAAACCGTTAAAGAATGTTGTTATTGTTTCATAGGTGATATCATGTATGACAGCGTCTTTAAGGTTCGAAGGCTCACTAAACGTGGAACTGGTGGAATTTCGAACAAACCTGATTCCTTATCCAAGAATACATTTTCCTTTGGTGACCTTCGCTCCATTTGTACCACCGACGAGAGGACAACATGAAACTATGAGTACGCAACAGTTGATGATGTCATGTTTTGAGCCGGCCAACCAAATGGTAAAGTGCGACCCCACGAAGGGCAGCTACATGTCATGTTGTCTGTTATTCCGGGGAGATGTTAATCCGAATGATATTAATTTTGCAATTAACCAAATTAAAAGCACGAGATCCATCAAATTTGTGTCTTGGTCACCGACAGGATTTAAGGTAACTGAGTTCTGGACAGATGTAGTTTGTTGTACGAAAACGATAACTAGTTTATGATATTGTTACGAAGACCGGTCGACCGGTCAACTGCAATGTTTCTTGATTTTTCCACTACTTAGAGAACTTTTCAGCAGGCTGAAATGTGATTTCTGACCGTTTCAGGAGAGAGTCGATCACATATTAGAAAGTCGTAATTTACATAATGTTACCCTAGCTTTCAGGAGGCCGGCCTTTTTTCAGGCCGTTTCAGAACACGTGCAGTCGAGTGGTACTCTTTTCAGGAAACCCGTTTTCAGGCGTTTTCAGGCCTGGTTATACCCCTTTGATGAAGGAATAGTCTAGAACGAATTTTCTAGGTGTGGGACAAGGACGGAATGATGCGAGAGAGAGACGGAAGATCGGAACCTTCTCGAAGCCAGACCGAGCACTCTAGAACACCGTACGACAAGGACGGAGCAATGTGCGAGTGAGATAGCTAGTACGCACATTCTAGAATTGTGCGATCGCTATTCAGTAGCACGCCCCGCCTAGAGAGTTCTCGAACATCGTTCAAGACTATTCCCAGGGATATATAAGCGAGCCGAAACGCGACCGATTAGTTCAGTTTTGAATGCGATATCAAGAAATAAACACCGGAGTGAATAAGTGCGAATATAGTGAAGACAAGTGAATACAAGTACTGTGTGAAGTGCGTGTAATTAGAGTAATTAGTGACAGTATTTTGTGTGTGTATTTAGTGAAATTATTGTGCGTAATTTCCGGTTTTTAGTGTTAACAAATTCCTCGTTAATTTATTTAGAAATAAACCCTTGAAGAAATCTACGACGTTTTCTATCCGATCCCCTAGCTCGTAACATTTTGGTGTCAGAAGTGGGATAGAAAAATGCCAATTACTCCAAGGGAGAATCAAGAGGAGTTTGGTAGCAGAGTCTACAGCTGCTGAGGGAGTGCAGACAAAGGCGCAATCAGCACGCGACGCTGCCCGACGACAAAGTTTCGATGCGAACCGCGGGATGGGTGAAAGCAACGATGCCAACATGCTTCTTGCGCTGCGCCAAATGATGGAAGAACAGGCACAGGCACGCCGATTGATGGAAGAGCAGGCACGCCGTCAGGAGAAACAGGCCCGTCATCAGGAAGAACAGGTTCGGCGATTGATGGAAGAACAGGCACGACGTCAAGAGGATCAGGCACGAAAAATAATGGAAGAACAGGCACAGGCACGCCGATTGATGGAGGAGGAGTCACGCCGTCAGGAGTAACAGGCCCGTCATCAGGAGGAACAAGTTCGGCGATTGATGGAGGAACAGGCTCGCTGTCAAGAGGAACAGGCACGCCAAATGGTGGAAGAACAGGCTCAGACACGTCGTATGATGGAGGAACAGGCTCGCCGTATAGGAAAAAAATTAGGAGATCTGAAACAAGAAGTAGATTAAAAAATCGAAAATTTGGAATCTGACGTGGATTGCAAACTATCGAAACAGGACAAACGTATTCTCGGATTAGAACAAGAGATGCAGTGCCTGAAGACCACAGGTGTAACGACTGTAGCACCATCTGGAAATCTGAAAGTACCTCCCTTTGACGGTACATCTTCCTGAGGCGCGTACAAAATACAGTTTGAGACTGTGGCAGAGTCAAACGGGTGGAATGACGATCAAGCTGTCACCGCCCTTATTATGGGACTGCGAGATGAAGCCCTCACCATATTAGATACCAAGACAGGTAAAGTGACGTTGAAGCAACTGCTGGATGCCCTGGAATCACGGTACGGAGACGCACATTTAGAGCACGTCTATAGGGCTCAATTAAAGGATAGAATACAGCAGACAAATGAAAGTTTGCAAAAATGGGGACTTGAAACAGAGAAGCTGGTTAGGAAAGCCTACGCATCCTCACCAGACGTTGCAGACAAGATGTTGGTTCAAGCCTTCGTCGACGGTATTCGAGACCGTGAAATTCGAATGGCTGTCAACCTAGGTCACCATAAGGACCTCAAGAATGCTCTTGCTCATGCGTTGAAAGTGGAAGCATTTTGCAAGGATTGTCGACCTAACTGCATTAGGGCTGTCACGGAAAAACGTAGTTCCCAACGTGGACCCACCTGTTACCTCTGCGGGAAAATTAATTCAGGAAGAGCAACAACAAGATTCTGACATTAAACCAATTCTGGACTGGATAAAATCTTCAGCTATCAAACCGCGATGGAATGATGTTGCATCTACTAGCACCACGACCAAGAGTTACTGGGCTCAATGGGATAGCTTAGTTCTCCATAATGGAGTGTTATTTCGCAAATGGGAAAACGCTCGTGGGGACGAATCCCATCTACAGTTAGTTGTGCCAAGATCCAAGGTTCGCAACATCTTGGAAATGTTTCATGATGGCTCATCGGGCGGACACTTAGGAGTAAAAAGGACTCTTCTGAAAATTAAAGAGAGATTTTATTGGATACTTTGCCGTGAAGATGTGGAAGACTGGATTCGGAAATGTAAAGCTTGTGCAGCAGTCAAAGGCCCACAGACGAGAACTAGAGCTGGTATGAAGCAATACAATCACGGTGATCCATGGGAGAGGATAGCCGTTGACATAGCTGGACGATTCCCGTTAACAGAAAAAGGAAATAAGTACATCATGGTTGTTGTGGATTACTTTACAATGTGGCCCGAAGTGTTCGCTATTCCCAATCAAGAGGCAGTTACAGTAGCTGAGATACTTGTAAATGACGTATTCTCTAGATTCGGAGTACCCTTGGATATTCACAGTGATCAGGGAAGAAATTTTGAGTCTTTATTGTTTCAAGAAGTATGCAAACTAATGGGAATTCATAAGACGCGGACTAATCCATATCACCCACAGTCAGATGGAATGGTGGAACGCTTTAATCAAACCTTGGAAAGGCACTTGGCAAAACTGGTGGACAGTCATCAAAAAGACTGGGACAAGTATATTCCATTATTTTTAATGTCATACCGGTCTGCGGTTCATGAAACCACGAATGTTACACCTGCTTTAGCCATGTTTGGGAGACAACTTAGATTACCAGCGGATATTGTAACTGGACGACCACCTGACACTCCGGAGATTGTTACAGAATATGCCGCGGATCTGAGTAATAGACTGTATGAAATCCATGAACACGTACGAGCATCACAAAGAAAAATAAGTGAGACTACGAAGATTAGGTATGACAGGAAGACGAATCACATAGAATTTAAAGAAGGCTCGCAAGTATGGCTCCATAACCCAACAAAACGCAAAGGCAAATCACCAAAGCTTCAAGCTGACTGGGACGGTCCATACACGATAGTCACGAAGATTAATGACGTTACATACCGGATAAAGAAAATGAGTGGTTTAAGGAACAAGCCGAAAGTCGTTCACATAAATCGATTGGCTTCCTATAAAGGAAGTAATGATGCTCGGGACGAGCATGTCTAAGGAGGGGGTAGTGTTACGAAGACGGGTCGACTGCAATGTTTCTTGATTTTTCCACTACTTAGAGAACTTTTCAGCAGGCTAAAATGTGATTTCTGACCGTTTCAGGAGTGGGTCAATCACATATTAGAAAATCGTAATTTACATAATATTACCCTAGCTTTCAGGAGGCCGGCCTTTTATCAGGCCGTTTCAGAACACGTGCAGTCGAGTGGTACTCTTTTCAGGAAACCCGTTTTCAGGCGTTTTCAGGCCTGGTTATACCCCTTTGATGAAGGAATAGTCTAGAACGAATTTTCTAGGTGTGGGACAAGGACGGAATGATGCGAGAGAGAGACGGAAGATCGGAACCTTCTCGAAGCTAGACCGAGCACTCTAGAACACCGTACGACAAGGACGGAGCAATGTGCGAGTGAGATAGCTAGTACGCACGTTCTAGAATTGTGCGATCGCTATTCAGTAGCGCGCCCCGCCTAGAGAGTTCTCGAACATCGTTCAAGACTATTCCCAGGGATATATAAGCGAGCCGAAACGCGACCGATTAGTTAAGTTTTGAATGCGATATCAAGAGATAAACACCGGAGTGAAAAAGTGCGAATATAGTGAAGACAACTGAATACAAGTACTGTGTGAAGTGCGTGTAATTAGAGTAATTAGTGACAGTATTTTGTGAATTATTGTGCGTAATTTCCGGTTTTTAGTGTTAATAATTTCCTCGTTAATTTATTTAGAATTAAACCCTTGGAGAAATCTACGGCGTTTTCTATCTGATCCCCTAGCTCGTAACAATATAACTATACAAATTAGACCCTTATATATATTTAACTGTACTATTTATTTGTTTAAAATTCATACGATCAGTTTATATTGGTTTCAATATCCTATGTTGTTTAGATTTTATGTTAAGATTATTAAGAAATGTCCTACATTATTTTTTATTATGACGTATTTATTTTATTAATAATATTAACAGATTGGTGTAAACAGTCGACCACCATTAACCGTCCCCGGCGGCGATTTAACGGTATTACAAAGAGCTGTCACTATGGTTTCAAACACATCCGCCATCCGAATAGCTTGGGAACATTTATGCAGAAAATTCTCTTTGATGTACGCCAAACGAGCATTTGTACATCATTACGTTGGAGAAGGATTAGAAGAAGGAGAATTTTCAAATGCTCTTTATAATATCAAAGCTTTGTCTAATGATTACAGGGAAATGGAAACATGAAAGTTATAAACAAAGAAAAATATACACTCATTTAGTATTTTATCTATTATTTTAGTCATTTTTACCATTAATTACCTACTTGTTTCTACAGTTATTCTGCAATGAGGTACTTTTGACTATATTTTTGTAATACATATTGTAGTGCGTAATGGGTTTGAAAATAAATGTAACTTTTTCAATTAAAGGTTAATAATAATAGACTTCGTGTTATCTTAAATCATTTGAGACATCTCAAGTAATTTCTTGTATGTAAAGGCTTTTGGTTATTATTATACTCGAGTTATTAACTAGTATATTAGGTATCTGTGGTGGACAACCTACTTAAAACTTTAGTCAATAGTCAATACTCAGTAATCAGCTGTTATCTTGACAGTTAACAACACAAAGTTATATATATTATAGAGTTAGAGACATCTGTGATTTACACAGATGTCGCCATTATAAATAAAGTGAAGTGAAGTGAAGTGACATCCAAGTCTTGACTCTTGGATAGCAATTAATAAAAAACCAAATATTATAACTTTACGAATATTCTAAGTATAATATATTGAATTGAGACAAGAGAAAGTAAGAAAAGTAAATAATTAACGAAACAATTGCTCTAATTATAATTTTTAAATGTAAGTTAGTAGCATAATAATTAAAAAAACATGCAATCATATATTCAATGTTGCAACTTCAAGCTGTAAATAAATAACAAAATATTGTTTTAAATTGAGCTTTAGTATGTAGTATCGTATGCTATATTAACAACCAAGATTTTCACCTATTACAGAAGAATGTTTAAATTGGCGCAATCATGTCGGTGTTCACAGTATCTAAGAGTACCAAGTACTTTGTTGTCTACCACCAAAAAACATGGAATACTCACCTCGAGACAATTAATGACACAGACACGATACAATGTCAATAAAGGTTTTATGGTACGTAAACATTACATAACCTTTATTTAAAAAATCATGAAATTGTGAAAATAATGATCACCATTCTTTTCTCTACCGAGACCTATACCAACGCATTTTTCTATATAAGTCTCAAATTGTGGAATTTGAGACCCTAAATCGACAGCGTGTTTCAGGCACAGAAGATCTTGTGTTCACGTCTTGAGTCTTTGGAGTCACAGTTAGTCACTAGTAGTAACTTTCTTAAAAGCCACCCCTGAACATCCCATATCCTTTTAAAATAAATATACAGAAATTTGAGGCTAAGATCAAGATCCCCTTCCCAAGACCCTTGATTTGAGAACTGGCACTAAATGTAAAATTAGAAGCATTAATATGTATTTCTTTACTGACAAGTCATAAGTGTACAATGTGTTGCCTATATGATTAAATGATTTTTGAATTTGAATTTTGATCAACTTATAGCACCTTTACTTTGCATAATTTATTATATTATGTAGTCCCGGTTTGTAAATGTCTGAACTTTAAATTTTCATATCAAATCTTTCAGTTGGTTTATAAATGTATATAGGGCTATATAGGATCCTAATATGAAACAAATAGTGTTTAAATTCTATTAGATTACAGTTATAATACATAAGAAATTAATGACCCAATTATTAATAATGTAGATGTGTACATATGTCTTTCGCAACCATATTATCATTAATTTCTTTATGAAGTTTGTAAATGTTTCAATTAATTTACAGATTAGTGATATAGTTAAGCACAATGTTTTGGCTAGATTTTGCAACTCATCACCAAAGCAGAACACCCCTAAAGCAGTGGGCTATTGGTTACTGGGGTGCAGTGGGATGGTGTTTACAGCGGTAGTGTTAGGTATGGCCAGTGGATATTTAGTTCTCCTCTATTGTGTATATTATGTTGTAAATGTCATTGTAACTACTTCTAATGGTACTAAGTGAAACAATTGTAGATGAAAACTATTATTCAGGGTACAATGTGGTAGATTAAAATAAAATAGTTTTTGTTTGAGATTTCATGCAATATATATAATAATATGCAATGCAATATATAATAATATAATTATATATTATGCAATGCAATATATAATAATATGCAATGCAATATATAATAATATGCAATGCAATATATAATAATATGCAATGCAATATATAATAATATGCAATGCAATATATAATAATATGCAATGCAATATATAATAATATGCATATTGCATGATGTAGTACATATCAGTTTTTGCTAATTGGGAATGAGAACAAATAAAGATGTCTAAAAATTTGGTTTTGGTTTTATTTCTACTTTTAGGTGGGGTTACTAGATTGACAGAGTCGGGTCTATCGATGGTGACTTGGAAGCTCTTAGGGGAGAAGTTGCCTAGAACTGAAGAAGAATGGCAGCGTGAGTTTGAAACCTATCAACAATTTCCTGAATACAAATAGTTAGTGTAATTATTAGTAACATTACATGTCATGTTAGAAAAATAACTTGACATACAATCATAGACAAAATTACAACACTCATTCCAGTAAGAACATGAACATGAGCCTGTCGGAGTTCAAATGGATCTGGTGGATGGAGTTCGCGCACCGCACTTGGGGCCGCGCCATCGGAGCCGCCGTGTTCCTTCCGGCCGCCTTCTTCTGGCTGCGGGGCCATCTCGACAAGCCCATGAAGATCAGGGTGGCGGCTTACTGCGCGCTCGTCGGGGCTCAGGTCGGAGATTAATTTCGTAAAACGTCTATCACCCTTCGGACCTCTTTATCCTCAACCTCGGAATTTGTTTATTTCGAACCGCAGGGTCTGATGGGTTGGTACATGGTGAAATCCGGCCTGGAGGACCGGTTCCAGGGCCCCTCGGACGTGCCGCGCGTTTCGCAGTATCGGTTGGCGTCGCATTTGGGGCTGGCCTTCTTACTGTACGTGGGGCTGCTGGGCGGCGCCTTGCGGGTGCTGCGCCCCGCGCCCGCGCTCGCCGTCGCCCGCCGAGCGGCCGAGCTCGCGCGGGTGACCGCCGCCGCGCACTTCGTCAAAGCGATGGCCTTCGTGACGGCCCTCTCGGGCGCCTTCGTGGCGGGGCTGGACGCGGGGCTCGTGTACAACTCGTTCCCGAAGATGGGCGACCGCTGGGTGCCCGACGACGCGTGGGAGTTGACGCCGCGCTTGCGCAACTTCACCGAGAACCCCACCACGGTGCAGCTGGACCACCGCGTTCTGGGCACGAGCACGCTGCTGGCGGCCACGGCGCTGGGCCTGCTGGCGCGTCGGGCGCCGCTATCTCCGGCGGCGTCGAGGCTGGCCGGCGCGGTCGCGGCCGCCGCCTGGCTGCAGGCCACGCTGGGCGTGCTGACGCTTCTGCACTACGTGCCGACGCCCTTGGCCGCCTCGCACCAGTCGGGCTCGCTGCTGCTGCTGTCGCTGGCCGTGTGGCTCACGCACGAGATCAAGCTGCTCAAGTACATACCCAAGTAGATCTCCGCCGAGGACTCTCGCGAGACGAGCCTTCGGACGTTTAACTGACTAAATAAAGTCACCAGTCTGGAGTACGACGGTTTTCTAATTAAATTGTTACCAAAACAGAGCACTACTTTTATTTATCTCATTCTTTGTGAGAAATAATACGAATGTTCAGATCATTAAATTTTAATAATATATGTTAATTTGTTACAAACTAGATTTCTACAATGATACATTTGATAATGCGATGTAACCCAAAAGCGAATAATAAAATAGAAAAAGTACAGAACTCGAATGTGCGCTTCGACCAGCCCAGCCAAGGATACCGCCCGTGGACACGAAACAGATTGGAACAGAAGAAATTAGGCCGTCGATCTGAATTCGCAAGTAATTATGGCACTCGTTATGAAATTCGTGGAAGTATTAAATGAAAAACCATCCAATCCACACGGGACACATTTTTTATGTAAAGGAGTATAATTTTCACAATTCAGAAAACAATAAAACAAGAATCACCTGAGCTTTCGATACCCGTACGTTATAAATGACAAAGAACAACGACGGCTCATCGTACATAATATATCGTGGCCGAAACGAACATTTCGTCTCTTCTTTGCGTGGATTCTATAGAAAAAAATTAGTTCAGCATTGGTTCGCTTTGCGCGATACGTGAAGGATAAATAATATTTATGTTCATTGAGAATTTAGATAACATTCAGAGTTAAAAAAACCGTTGATCATACATAAATTGCAATCGATTCAAAATAGGCGCAGTTTTAAAATTGTTTCGTACCCACCTAAAAATTACTATCTCCATTTTATTATATATTGGTCTCTCTATCGCCTCATCGTACACGTTCTTATTCAAATTGATTTATGAATACGTGAGCAACTATTCAAAAAAACCTACTGAACTTATTCGTCACGGCCGTCGTTTCAAAGTATTTTATAAACGAATCGTTTAACTTTCGTCAATTCCACCGTGTGAGAGAAATGTCGTAGTAACGTTTTATGAAATTTAAGAGAAAGCTAAAAAAATCATTGATAATTGTGCATATTTACTATATAGCACCGTCCCACAAATCTCGAAGAGACGAGAATTTTATGAAAAATATATGTATCTGATATTGAGATCTAGAAACGACCACCTCGCTCACTGATAAATGCAGCTAAATCATTCCAAAAATTAATAAAGCGTACTCGCACAAATACAGAATAGTTAGCATTTGGCTATTTGCGATGTCTAAGTACTTTTTATACATTGCAGCCTTGGCGCTTAGTTTAGCATCGTATCGAATACTAAACTATGCTTTAAATTAGCATACATAATATACGATGTTTCATAAGAAGCGTCTCCTATCGAATAAATGACAATATTTATCTATATGTACAGGTCGTGCGGGTGTTCCGAATTATAACCGACTTAAAAACAAGAAAATTATGGTTCGTGCTATCCGTGCCCTCGAACATGTCACGCCCGCCCGGTTCGCTTAAAAAAGTATAAACATATAGTATAGCAGAGATTTTTACCAAATCCTTTTTCGCCTTCTGTAATTTATATAACATTTATTTATATGTACAAACGATTCTAATCATTAGATGAATAATACAAAAATAATAATTTATCGAGACGTCTCTTCTCGCGATCCGATGCACATCATCTAATGATCGGAATGACAAATTTACTAGATTAATATACTCATTATGATACAGATATATGCGTAGGTATAGGTATTCTTTGAGAAGGTTTGCGGTACTTGTGTAATCTTGATGTCCGGTATGTTTCTGAAAATTAAGTTATCCATATTAAAAAGGTGAGTTTTCACTACACATTACATACATACTGCGTATTTGTAAAGAACGTATATTGACAATGAGTCCCATGAAATGGCGAAACAGTTATTGAAATGACTGAGTCTACGTTCGGGTCGCGATATAAGATATTTTATAATATCACAAAGTAGATACTTTAGCATTTCTGTTTTCTGTGTTCACTCGAGTCCCAACACTGATAGTGAATGAAAAACCAGCACCAATGTCTGATATTAATGATATAACAGTAAAGGGTTTGATTCATCGTGTATACATTTTAAAGAGGTTAGCCACAAGTTGTACAGTGCCTCCTTCTACGTCTCAAGAATTTGCAGCACATTAGCACTAAAACCTCATTGGCACAACCCATCCTTCTGCCATTACAAGACTACACTGATTCTTTTTGTTCACATCAAAAAGAAGAGTTGTATCCCTTTCATATTTGCCCTAAATAAGTACAACAACATGTCTGCAATCCCTACTCATCTTAGCCGATTACCTATTAATAGGGTCACCACAGTAAGGTTATGGAACTTACTTCCTGTCTCCGTTCCCTTACCTCCCATTCTCCTATCTATGTTTATCCAACAAAGTGACCAATAGATCAATGTTTGCCAACTTGTTGTACTGTATCATCTTACTGACACCTATAAAAGGACTAGGTTAATCTGATAATAGTAATAAATAATGCTGACGAAAAATAGCAATATGTACCTGTAGCCAACTAGCTAGGCGGATGTGGGTCAGTGCTGACGATAACCTGTATGACATAACCAGCTGTGATTTTTGCTTCCTCCACCAGCAGACGGTCACCAAGCAGCTTGCCACCATAGAACCAACGCTGACGCCATGCCTCGACTGCTTCTTGCGCCTGTAAATGACAAATATATTTGAGTTATTAATTTTGTAATGACATGTGGTAAATAAGTTTATTTTGAGAATTAAAAAGGTTCATACATGTAATTTAGCCTTGCAGTGCGCGATGGTGTGCTTGGAGCCAACAGACAAGACCAAGTCTTTACAGGTAGTCGATAGCCGTAACCTAAGAGCCATCTCAGATCCTGCTTCCACAGGTTCAGAACAATCAGCAGGGGAATCTCGACCGCTTGCTTCTTTGACCATATTAATTGGGGCTGACAGACAGTATATTGGTACCTGAAAGTTTTGATAATAAGTTTAAATCTTATTTCTGACTTGTGTCAGTGAGACATATTCATCCAAATCTAGAAAAAAATTGATAAGGACATGACAAGTTTAGGAAATCTAAATATGTAGGGCTGCATGAATACTTCAATGTATTAAACAAAAATTATATTATTTACTATACATACTAATACAAAAGATAGAAATTATACCATGTAAAGTAAACAAATGAACTAATTAATTAGCACCAATAAATTTTAAGACTGGCAAAAATGTTGGTGTGGGCTATGGAAATACAATAATTATAATGATAAATTCTTAAAACATACCTGATATCTAGTTCCCCACTCGTCATAGCACTCTGTAAGATATCCATTTGGGACTGAAACACTGGCACCATCTAAGATTGCCTGTGCTAGTTGAAAGTCCATGGCTTCTGCAGCGACGGCAGCTGCACGTAATGCATCCCATATCTCTTTCCGACCTTCAAAGGCCGGGGCAGTGTCCCAGAATTCATCGCGTTTGCTCCTTAGTTGACCTTCTGTCAATGGCACATCCGATTTCCACCTGATTGTTTCATGGCACAACGATTGATTCTTTCTTAAACCACCTAAAATAATTATTTTATTAGATGAGATTCGAAATTAAACAACAACATCGATTCCACGGCGACAACTTTTATCACGGACCAGAGTTAGGTCGAGATACCGTTCCTGAAGATTCTTCTATCGGACCACTTCTGGTTCTTGTTATTCCAATACATCCACCCATTGTTATCACATTCTCTTTTAAACAGTTTCAATAACATTTATAAACACATTTTAGCATATTAAAACATTTTATCGGCCCGAATTCCAATCATCATATTCAATTCAATGTTGAATATTCCTTTCAAGTTTCAAGATATGTCAAAAGCAATGAGCATAGAGTATAACTTATATTGGTCAAATGTCTTTTAACTCCCAAACAGTGAAAAATTTACGAGTATATAATTTTAGTTTCGTTCACAGATCAACATCAAATATAAAAATATTTTTTTTTTTTTTTTTCTTTATTTATATTTAACATGATAGTTGATACTCATATCATACTTGATAGCTTGTTTTGAGACTTGATAGCTTTTATATCATAATCTCGTTACAACTTCGGGACTAAAAAAACATAAACATAAAATAGTGAATAAAGAAATATTTAATATACCCAATCTATGGCTGTGTATACTTATTACTTTCATTAATTGTTATTTGTTAGTTAATTCTTTCCACACTGTTTTGTAACTAAAAACAATTCTAACAAGTTACCTGTTTTATATATTATTCATTATTATACCTTTAGGATTATTTATAGTGCGGTATATACTATCGACAATCGACAAAAATACCTCCAAAATTGCGATGCACGACGATAATTTTTTGTTAAGCAACCGAATACGAGGGGTACGGAAATTTAATAACTTACTATATATTTATTTAAAGTTTTAAATGACTCATAGATTTTTTGATTTTAGGTTGATGGAACTGCATACTATGTATCAGATTTCATAACGGAGGCAGAAGAGAAAAATATTTTAAGTCACGTGTATGGTGTTCCAAAGCCGAAATGGACACAACTGTCAAATAGAAGACTACAAAATTGGGGTGGAATCCCCCATAACAAAGGCATGATAGCTGAAAGTATTCCAATTTGGCTTAACAATTACTTATTAAAGATTGACAAATTAAATTTAATGAATGGGAATAAGCCAAATCATATATTGGTAAATGAATATACTCCAGGACAAGGCATCTTACCCCACCTTGATGGATTTTTATTTTACCCTACAATCACTACAATTTCTCTAGCCTCACATGCTATTTTGAATTTTTATGAACCAATTTCTAAACATACAAATAGTTTGAAACCAAGATTTTCATTTCTCTTAGAGCCTAGAAGTTTATTGATTCTACAAGATAAATTATTTAGCCATTATTTGCATGGCATAGAAGATATTTATGAAGATATAATTACTGACTCAATATTAAATTTAGATATGTGTTCAAGTAAATATAGCATAGAAAAAAAAATTATGCGTGAAACTAGGATATCGTTAACAATAAGACATGTTCCAAAAACAACTATGTTTAAGATTAATATTGGGAAGCAATAGTTTTGTCTTAGATATTAAAGTAATAAATTTATAATTATACTAAAGTGGTTGAATTTTTTTGTAAACCTAATACTTCTACAAATTAATAAAAAATGAAATAGTAAAAAAAATATATTGGAATTTAAACCTTTTGTGTTATTTCTACTTTTAAATTTTTACCCACAATCTAGTTGGCTTGTTATATATTTAGAATTGTTGTTTTATAATGGCATTTACCAAATTATTTTTTAGTGTAAGATTATTATGTATTGAGGCAAATTTTGCTAGAACGGTTTTGAGGAGTTATAGTGGAACATTAGAAGCACCAGCTTGTAATAAAAATGAAGATAAACCGAAAACAGATAAGACCTCTGCTTCTGGACCACCATCAAGAGTAGGTTATTTGTTTTGAAATATGTATTTTGGTTTATTGAAAAGATATTTCTTAAAGAAGATCACTAAATTCTAGATTAAGAGGATAAATTTATTTTTCTGGTAACATATTCCAGAAGGGTGTGGTGCTTGGGGTGTATGAAGAAGGTGAAAAATTCTCTTTAACACCTGCTGCTGAGGAAATCAATCAGAAGAGTGGGGGAAAGCTGTGCAAACACTTAAATGAGTTAGAATTATTTGTTGGAATCTTTTGTCTCTAAATGTCATATCTATTGGGTTACGGTTCAGAGTCTGAACTTCAGACTAAAATTAAATGAATAACAATATTTTACTATCAAAATCTTCCATGACCTTCACAAACGTGTTGAGTGCGTAGCACCATTTTCGAGTAGCGTAGAATGTAATTGTAGTTGTAGTCATGTTTGAGGTTATCGTGCGAGCTGAGGCTAGGCAAATCATTTGTGGTGACGGACGTGGTGACGGACGGTGGTTCCGTGGCACTCGCCTCTCTTGGACCGCGCGATCCTCCTCACGACCCACAGGAAGGCCTGGACGAGGCCAAGGTAACCCTATGATTTCAATTTCGAACCCAACAAGGGTGTATTCAAAGTCGGAATCGGATGAGTAAAAGGCGGTGTGCACACGCAGGAAAACGTACGTGTGGGCGTGGGTGCGGGAGTCTCGTGTCTGCGTTCGCGTGGAGTGATCGACATTGCCGTCGATGTGGCCGGACACCCGCGCGCCGCCGCGGAGGCCGCTCATCTCGCCGCTTGGACGTTAGTAGCCACGGACCGCAGCCAATGACGTCAGCCGACTCTAGCGACGACTTTACCTTCAACTTTCAGTTTCCAAGAGTTCAAGTCCACCGTGGGCCGGAAGAGCGAGGTCCGCCTGTCTGCATTGGGAGGCGATCGGGAAGAGTGGTCGTCGGGCGTGGTGCTGGGCGAGTCACAGAATTGGGCGCGGTACCTCTGCGACATGCCCGCCAACGTCATGACGCCCGCCGGCCTGGCGCAGGTATCGATTCGTTTCGCAGTCGGGCGCGGGAACCGTTCCCTTGTGGAAAACGGGAATATATTTGTGCGTAGGAGGCGCTGGACGTGCTGTGTCCACTGGGCGTGCAGGTTTTGGTGCGCGAGCGCAAGTGGGCGGAGGCTCAGCGCATGGAAACGTTCCTGAGCGTGGCTCGGGGCTCCTGCGAACCGCCTTTGCTGCTGGAGTGCCATTACCGGCCCGAGGCCGACGCTCACGGCCCGCCCGTGCTGCTCGCCGCCACCGGCGTCACTTTTGACAGGTACCGCCCCGATTCGATTCGATCGTTTCCCGTTATTTTTCACGAACACCAACCGAATTAAACCATTCGCAGCGGCGGCTTGTGCCTGAAGTCTCGGACGCAGATGTCCGAGGGTCGCGGGTGCATGTCGGGAGCCGCCGTGGTGCTGGCCGCTCTGCGGGCGTTAGCTCTAGCTAAGGTATCGTTTTTATTTAGAATCTAAATATTATGCAGTGAGATGTTTTGTTTTCTGTATCAATTTAGTTAAAAGCATTCATTATTAAAGTCCAGTACAGTATTAGTAAAGCTCATTCAACATTCATATGAACTTGTTTTCACGGTTGGTATGCCCATCGTGCCATCGTATGCTCGTGGGTGCAGGCGGCGATAAACGTGAGCGCAATAATTCCTTTGTGCGAGAACATGGTGAGCGGGCAATGCCTAAAAGTGGGCGACGTGGTCACGGTCCTCAACGGGACTCGCGTGCAGGTGGGCCTCGTAACTTAATTATACGAATGACACATTTAGTAATCGCGCGCTAATTCTGAAACGGCCTTGGTTTCAGATCGAGGATACGGACATGGAGGGTCGCCTTTTGCTAGCAGACGCGTTGGTGTACGGTCAGACCCTGCTCAAGCCTGCCCTGGTCTTGGACGTGGCCGCTCTCACACGTCAGTGCTACCAACTCGGCGAAGTCACGTTATCAATACCTGAACTATCCGGTAACGACTATAGTTACTTTCAGAGGGCGTAGCCCTGGCGACGGGTGGCGGCGCCTTCGGGTGCTTCAGCAACAGCGACTCGGCGTGGAGCGGACTCAGAGGCGCCGGCGCAGAGACAGGAGATCGCCCTTGGAGGCTGCCGCTCTGGGCCTACTACGGGCGCGACATCCAAGGTATACGTAAACCGTAGTTAGGTTATTGCTGCCGTTAGCAATGCCCACTAAAATTTTGTCTTTCAGTGGCTTGACGCGAACAATACGTGAAAACTAAGTATTTTCGAAATAAAGCACACACACATATACAGGCTGTCCCAAAAGTTGACGTCAAGTCGAAATTTTCTCATAGGTAATACCACACCAGTTATCAGAAAAATTAAAAAAAAAAAAAATAAGTCATGTATTTTTGAAGTTATGGAAATTTTCCTTTTATTCCAGAAAATGTACACCATGTGACAGTTTTTTCATTCCTGTTGTTACAAATATTTACTTTTTGCCAATTTTTTATTTTCTCTTACGTCATCCCGAATAGTGTTTTATGTAACCTATGATCCTAAACTCTGTGCTGGTCACTCCAACTTTTAGGAAAATGTCATTTTATACCGTACCAAGTTTTCAAAATTAATTTTCGCACTACTTCAACTGATCGTCCTGAAAAAAAAATGTATTACTCCAGTTTGGCAAGTAGCTTTAAAAGTTAGCGCATTTAATAAGGATTCTACAGTGGTATAACACTGAGTCCATTATTTCTTAGATCGGCCATAAGAATTTTTTTTTGTTAAACAAAGTCTGTTTTTAACAATCTCTTTGAAATTACAACAAATGATTCTAGCGCACCCAAAACGTTCCTAATGACCACAGCGTGGTTTAAATAAGATGGAGAGAGACATTCCATAAAATGTGAGCGAGACAGATAGTGACGCTTATGACATACGGACGCAAATAAGTAAAATAGACAGTTTCTTTTTTATGATTAGATTTATTACTTTTTTTATAAAAGATGTTCAAATTGCCGTCCTTCAGCTGCAATACAGGCTCGACATCTCCTTAAAAAAGATCGTGAAATGAAGCGGGCAAATCGTCCATTATTCACAAATTCTAATGCTTCCGCTATTCTCTGTCTAAGCTCTTCTACATTTTGAATCGACTTGGAATTGACTTTTTCCTTTACTGCTCCCCAGTAAAAAAATCAAGAGGATTTAAATCGGGTGAGCGGGCGGGCCACGAAATTGTACCACCCCGCCCTATCCATCTGTCTGGATACTCCTCGTTAAGGTGGTTTCGAACTAAGCGGCTGTAATGCGCTGGACAACCATCTTGCTGGAACCACATATCTCGTAAAATAGTAAGCGGCACGTCCTCCAGCAAATTGGCCAAATGATTTTGTAAGAAATCTAAATAAATTTCAGCATTTAAAACTTCTGGTAACTCAAAAGGCCCTATGACTTTTCCGTTCAAAATTCCAGTCCACATGTTAACTTTGAAACGGTACTGTGATCTGTCTGGTCTCATCAATCGTGGATTTTCGACGTGCCACTCGTGCAGATTGTGTAGGTCCATGTAGCCGTCTTTTTTAAAAGTTGATTCATCCGACCATAAAAATGTTTCTAAGAATTGTGGGTCTTCTCGGTGTTTTTGAATTATTGTTTGGCAAAAAGCAACCCGAGGTTCATAATCTCGAGGTAATAAGGATTGTACTCGCTGTACATGAAATGGATGGAACTCATTTTTTTGTAGTATTCGGTTAGCTGTACTTTTGGGCACACCTGTGCTGGCCTCAATTCCACGTACCGAACAACTTGGGTCCTCATCAACTGCTTGAAGGACAACTGCATCGTAGGGTAGTGAAATTCTACCTTCACCGTGCACTTGGTTTGGCAGTCGGCCCTCAGAGAACAGTAGACTGTGCACATTGGTAAAAACTCTGTGATCCGGATAGCGATCTGCATTAGGGTATCTCTCGCGATACCGTCTAGCGGCTTCACTGGCATTACATAAATATTCCCCATAAATGAGGTGCATGTTAGCATATTCCTGTGTAGTGTACGTAGCCATGGTATGGTACAAATACACAATAACACGTAAGTCCAGGAAAAAGTAAAGGTCGTCGTAGACACGTCACAAGTGATTATAAACATTTATTCAATCTCGGCTTTACTGCGAATTTCTTATCCCAAGTAAATTATAATTTCTCGAAGTGTACGGAAAGTATCTGGTTACTCATTTATGGATAGTCAGACTACAATCATGTACGAATTAGATAACATACAAATAGCCCAATCTAATGTCCATACTATAAATGACTTTTCAAGACAGACAACCATACAAAAATCTGATTTCACGATAATATCACAAAATATAAGAAGCATTTACAATAATTTTGATGATCTTTTAATAACTTTATCTGAGTTCAAATTTCAAGCTGATGTAATAACACTGACCGAGGGATGGATCGACCCACACAAGCCTATACCCCAAATGGATAACTACACTCACTTCGTTACAAGCCGCCATCTAAATCGTAGTGATGGCGTAGTTGTCTACATAAAATGCAACCATAAAACTATCGTTCAAGAAATAAATTTAAAACATGCATCTTGCTTACAAGTCAAAGTAGGTAACTATACCATGTTGTGTATTTATCGCTCCCCGTCTAACCTTAACGCTGAAAATTTTATAGATTCATTAAATAGTCACTTAGTAACTTTACAAACTCAGAATAACATTATAATAACAGGAGACATCAACATAAATCTAATACAAAAATCCAGTGAAACATCTCAGGAGCGCTCGAACCGATTACATTACCTCAATATGCTAGCCATGCATGGCCTGCTCCCGGGTCATACACTGCCTACTCGAGATAGCAATTGCATAGATCATTTCATACTAAAACTTGATAGGTGCATAGGTACGTGTGCGTCTATTACCGTTATTGATTCTACAGTTACTGATCACAAAATGTTATTCTTAAAACTATCCTACCTCGCTAAGTCGAATTACAATACCTCGAAAATTAAATCTTCAATCAACATGGAAGGCGCTTTAAGTTATTTAAAAAACAGCAACATAAATGATCTAATTTACTATAATAACCCTATAATCTTAACTAATAAATTAATATCTATTTTAAAGCAGTGTATTCAATCCAATACTATCACTAGAGCTATCCCGAATAGGGAACGCCTTATTAAACCATGGATTACCTTAGGAATTGTTAGATGTATTCGTAATAGAAATGCTATGCAAGCAAAACTCCGAGCTGATCCTCATAATGAAATTCTTAAAATTACATACAGGAGATATAGGAATTTCTGCAATAGTTTAATAAAGAAAGTCAAACGTAAATATGAAAAAGAAGACCTTGCCAAGAGTATAAAAAACCCGAAAACTTTGTGGAAGAAAATAAATACCCTCACTTATCGTAACCAACCTAAAACGCAAAATCTAGAATTACTAAATTTAAATGTTTCTCCTCAAAAATCGGTTAATTTGGTAAACGATTATTTTTCAAACATTGGTAAAAACTTAGCTAAAGAGATAATTCCAGTTACGACGTTACATAATAGAACAGATGTGATTAGACCCAACTGTTCCCAGGTCTCGTCTTTTGTGCTTCTAGAAACTGACCCTCATGAAGTATACCTGACTATTGTGAGTCTCAAAACTGACAGTGCTCCTGGCTGGGATGGTATAAGCACCAAGTTTCTTAAATATACTAGGGAGCTAGTTGTGCCCATAATTACTCATTTGGTTAATCTCTGCTTCCGACAGGGAGTGTTTCCACCTGCGCTAAAACAAGCAATTATTACACCTGTGTACAAGAATGGTAACAGAGAAGATGTTTCAAATTATCGCCCAATCTCCGTTCTCACTGCCATATCAAAAGTACTTGAAAAATTAATTAATAAAAGACTAATTACCTACCTCCAGAAGTATAGTCTACTTTCAGACTCACAATTCGGTTTTAGACAGGGTCTGTCAACCGAAGATGCAGTTACCTCACTATCTTGTCATATTGTTAATGAAGTTGATAAAGGTAATAAATGTATCACAGTTTTTATCGACTTAAAAAAGGCATTTGATACGGTTTCTGTCCCTATTCTGGTGCAGAGACTAGAGAACATTAGTATTAGGGGTATTCCACTCACATTGTTCGCTGATTACCTCAGTGAACGAAAGCAAGCAGTTAAAATAGGTCAATACATCAGCGAACAATCTGACGTCACATATGGGGTCCCACAAGGTAGTGTTCTGGGGCCGACCTTATTCTTAATCTACATAAACAGCTTATGCGATTTAAGAATTGATAGTGGGAAAGTCTACTCCTACGCGGATGACACTGCTGTTGTCTTCACTGGGAAAACTATTGACTCGGTGCGTCGACATACAGAAATAGGGCTTTCCAAAATAGATAAATGGTTAAGAGAAAACTTATTATCATTAAACGTAAGTAAAACTAACTACATTTTCTTCACTAAATACAATAGCGCCCAACCTCAAACAGATCTAGAAATAAAAATACATAACTGTAGCACCAGAGTAAACTGTACATGTAAAACTATAAATAAAGTTCATCACACTAAATATCTAGGAGTGGTAGTTGATCAAAGAATGTCATGGCATGAGCACCTAGAACAAGTTATAAGTAGGATTCGAAAGCTTATTTGGACATTTAAAACTCTAAGGCACATCGCTGACAAACATCTACTAATACAGATATACACATCGCTGGATCAGTCAATTTTAGTGTACTGTATCCCAGTTTGGGGGTGCTACAAAGATGAAGTTCCTGGATCTGGAGAGGGCACAAAGAATTTTACTAAAAGTAATGATGTTTAAGCCTTATAGATTTTCCACCTCTGATCTTTATGCCTCTTGTGGTGTCTTATCGGTCAGGCAACTGTACATTTTTTGCACTACCTTAAGATTGCACAAGTCTCTTAAATATGATGGTCGCAAACTGAGCAAAAGACGCAAATATACTGTTGCTCCTGTTGAGAGATCTAAATCAGTTTTTGCTATGAGACAATTTCAATGCCAAGCTGCTAAACTTTATAATAAATTAAATAAAATATTAAATATATACACATTGAATAAACATGAATGTAAAACGTCGCTACTTAACATCCTAGAAACATTTAGCTATGAAGACACTGAAGCCTTTGTAGGTAATCATGAATCATAATACACTAGTAATTAGTCAACTTCTACAATCAGTCATGAAAATTCATTCTCATAAACACACAAACACACACACACACATACACACATATATCATTATTCACATTTTAACCTTAGATTATGTTTAGTAAATTGTAAAATTGTAATACTTAGTTTAGCTATACGTGTTAAATTAAATTATAATTAGTTGGTACACCTATGTAATGGAAGAGCGGGTTCTCCTAACACAAGTGCTTATGCGCTTAAAAGGAGGTCCCAATCACTTATCAGCTATTGTAAAATCTTTGAGATAACGAATAAAAAAAAAAAAAAAAAAAGATCACAAATGTAAAATCCAAATCACAAGCAAACAAGTCCGTAAACGAAGCCAAAGTAGTTAGAACACAAAATAACACCAGCGAATACGAAAAGATGCGTAGTAAACGAAGGAGCGTTGCGTACTGACCTGTAGTGCGTGTGTCAATAGCAATAAGTAGCGTCACTATCTGTCTCGCTCACACTTTACGCCATCTTATTTAAACCACGCTGTGGTTATTAGGATCGCTTTGGGTACACTAGAATCGTTTTTTGTAATTCCAGAGAAATTTTTAAAAAACAGTATTTGTTTAACAAAAAATTTTTTTATGGCCGATCTAAGAAATAATGAAGTATTATACCACGTTAGAATCCTTATTAAATGCGCGAACTTTTAAAGCTGCTTGCCAAACTGGAGTAGTACATTTTTTTTTCAGGACGATCAGTTGAACTAGTGCGAAAAATTAATTTTGAAAACTTGGTTCGGTATAAAATGACATTTTCCTACAAGTTGGAGTGATCGGCACAGGGTTTAGGATCATAGGTTACATAAAGCACTATTCGGGATGACGTAAGAGAAAAAAAATTGGCAAAAAGTAAATATTTGTAACAACAGGAATGAAAAAACTGTCACATGGTGTACATTTTCTGGAATAAAAGGAAAATTTCCATAACTTCAAAAATACATGACTTAATTTTTTTTTTATTTTTCTGATAACTGGTGTGGCATTACCTATGAAAAAATTTCGACTTGACGTCGACTTTTGGGACACCCTGTATAAATAAAAGAAATATACAAGCACAATTCCTTTAGTCAAAAAATGGTCCAAGTCAGGTTTAGGTTGCTGTCACCAGCAACACTGATTTTCAGTGGACCCATCAAACATACTATCTTGGAGTGACAGATATGTACACTCAACAAAACAAAAATTCTAACAATTATAATAAAACTATTTAAAAACAGAGTTAAATCTCCGGATCCTGGTGGTGGCAGTTTGTTCCAGCATTTAGTTGCATTGTATCGAAAACTCACAAAAAACATTTTTTCCCTTCGCGCATATATAAAATAGAGTCCTTACATATGAAATTTCGGTCGAGGAACAAAAGTCGAATATTTTTAAATATAATATGTTTTTTTTTTTTAACAAAAAAAAACCCCTTTTTTTCCTCCCCCCTTCCCCCCCCCCTAGGGGGTTCCCTCCCCCCCCCCTTTCCAAACCACCCGGGGGGGAAAAAAAAAAATCTGGGGGGGTGGGCTCCCCCCCCCCCAAAAAAAAATTTTTCCCCCTTAAAAAAAAAAAAAAAAAAAAAAATAGTAATCTGTTGGAGCAAGGTCCGGAGAGTACGGAGGATGTCTTAGACATTCCAATTGAAGCTCTTCTAATTTGGTAGCCGTCTGTTGTGCAGTGTGTGGTCTAGCGTTGTCGTGAAGTAGCAGTGGCGTGGAGCGATTGACCAGCCTAGGTTATTTAGCCTAGCTTTTCCATCATGGTTTGCAATTGCTGACAATAGACATCAGCCGTAATAGTCTGGCCAGATTTGAGAAAACTGCAATGAACAATACCGGCACTAGTCCACCAAACGCTTACAAGTAACTTTTTTGGGGTTAATTTTCGCTTGGGGCAGAATTTGGCTGGCTGGCCAGGATCCAACCGTTGCGCTAAGCGCTTCCGATTATCGTAAAGAATCCATTTTTCATCACAGGTAATGATTCGGTTCAAAATACCTTCATTATTGTGCCGGTTCAGTAATGTAAGCGCAGCAGTCGACGCGCGTTTGCCGGTTTGCTTCAGTCAATTCGTGAGGTACCCATCTTTCAAGCTTTTTAATCTTCCCAATTTGCCTCAAGTGAATTAAAACAGTTTTATCACTAACACCGCAGCTTGCAGCTAACTCGGACATGGTTTGCGATGGATCCGCTTCCACAATAGCCTTCAATACTTCATTATCAACTTGGGTCTCAGGCCGTCCACGGGGAGTATGGAGCTCCGTAACCGTAACCGAAACAATCGGATATCCGAAATAAATATATATCCGTAACCGTATCCGTTTCAGAACTTTCGGATAGTTTCGTATAAGGGCGGAGTCTAAAATCTAAATAAAACGACATGTTTCGACAGGTTTTTGTTAATGGTTTCATTACTCACATAAATATTTAAAAAGAATCTAAGATTTAATATGTTATACATAGGATATAAGTTAATATGTGCAATGTATAAAGCTAAATGTTTTTTTACAGCTCTTAAATTTATTGCATTTTTATTTATAGATAAAACTGAGGAGGATAAAACCTATATATAAAACTAAATTATTACATACTATTTGTGTTTGTATTTAACTTCACTCTAATAACCGTAACCGAAACTATCCGAAACTAACGGATAATCCGAAATAATTACATATCCGTAACCGTATCCGAAACCGATATAATTTTATTCCTATATCCATATCCGTAATATCATATCCATAACATCTCTAGTAAGGACCTAATAAATAAATAATAGCAATTAAATTTATTTAATTAAATCAAAACTAAATTTGATCAAACACCACTCCTTTTCAGTTCAGAAACGAGATAACAAAAATTTCAAAAACTAATTTAATTAACTAACTAACACTCCAAACTCAATCGAAAATAAGATACTTTATAGCGCCACTCTGAATTGTCAATCAGTCTGTTCAGTAATAGAGAACACACGAAAAACTTACCGACCTAAAGTTAGCTCTCTCAAAAATAAATAGGGACTGTATACCTACTAGGATTAAGCGAAATAAGAAGAATCCTCGTAGGCGAAAGCATTGCAGATCATAAAGGATAAAGAGTATATCTTCTCATATTATAAAGCTAAAGGATCTGTGGAGTAGGCTTTATGGTAAATACTTACAACCAAATATAGAAGAATTCAAGGGCATCAGATAGATTAGCATGCTTAATTTAAATCTTTCAAGGTTTACAACCAATTAACTACAATTTTACAAAATAGATACAAATACATCATAGTTATGGGTGATTTCAATGAAAGAATAGGATGTAGACGTCCTGGCGAAGAGAACCTCGGCTTTGGCCCGAGAAGTAAAAATTTACGACGAATGCTTAATCTGGCTCTTGAAAAAAATTTAGCATTTGAAGAAAAAAACCAGCTTATAACTTGGAAAACCAAACAAAACCTAAAATTGATATAAGTAAGTAACAAAATAAGTAACAATATTAAAAAAGAAAGGACCAATTGAAGAAAAGAAGCATTTAATTATCACATAAACAAGACTGGAGGAATTAAAAAACATGTGTGTGTACTTATGTACTCGCGTTAGAAGTTATAGCTTACTTCTTTGGCGTAGGTAACAAGATAAAAATCTTTTTAAAATTTTTATCTTTCGCCTTATTCTACGTTTGTAGAAAAAAGGTATTAAATACATTGAAAGTTTTATTATAACGCATTATCTAGTTAAATTAAGTTTTGTCTTTGATTAACATAACTTTTATTCATTTAATAAAACACTATTTTGACCGGATTGAAGTTATGTATTATTATAAATTTAACATAATTTTAAATTTATAATAATACATAACTTCAATCCGGTCAAAATAGTGTTTTATTAAATTAAGTTTATTTAATTATCACACAAAAATAATTTCTACATACTTAAAGAAATTTACATTTTTTATTTTAAAATGTTGACTATGCTAACTTCAGGGTGTCGGCTTTTTGTGACGGTGTGCGGGTGTCGGTTTTTTGTGACTTCGCCAAAAGAAGTATAACTTCAAAAATTAGTCTATGGCGTGTTTGTTGCTTATGTGAAAGACTTAAGTAATCATGCTCTCATCGGGTGCAACAAATGTGTGCGGATTCGAGTACCTAAAAGGATAACTTACAGACCCATTGAAGACATTGATTCTCAAATGTGTATTGAAATTTGAAATCGTTAAGAAAATAAACTTTAAATAACTAACTAGATGATGTAAAAATCATTGTTAATTATTCCATTATCACGATCAATTCCTCATGCTTTGTTCTCAGTGAACCGGGATTCAATAATTCTACCTTAATATTTTTGGTTTCCTAGTCATTATTATATAACTAAATATGTACTTGATAACAATGTCACAACTCACAAAGCAAGCGCATTCCACGAAAACAGTACAACATCAGTAAACAGAAACAAACAAAATTAATGTTTCTTTCATACGCTGCAATGATGATTAGGGACAATAACACTATTTTCGTAGAAATAAAATATACATTATTTAATAAGTAGTGTTAATTAATATACATACAATTTATGCGTGTACCTATATCATAACAATACTCATTGCGTAGTTCATGTAATAAACATACTGAGGGCCAAAGTATACAATTTTACCATTAAAATTATAAAATTGGTCACTGACACTCAAGCATTATGCACAATATAAGTGCATTGAAATAACAGTGTATTATTTTAAAACTAAACCTTTTTAATATATTAAAAATGTATCGGATGTTTTACAGGTACCTCCAAAAGATTCATAAAATGCATATTTGTGATGTACCTCAGGCTTTGTTAATTCCAGTGATATCGTTTAAAAAAATAAAACATTCCAACCGGACATCTTTATAATGTGTCTGCGTATGTCGTGCATATTTATTAATGATGTAAATATTTTGTCTTGTGAGTGTGCCTTATAAATACAATCATATCAATTATTATTCCAGCGGACCCCGCAGTGGACCTCAAAAACCGCGGCTCGTGTACGGCTTCGCCTTGCGTCGGCGCGGCTTTCCTCAAGGTACGCTCTTCTACTAGTTAGGGAGGCGAGGTTGCTAAATGGCGTAATTCAACGGCGCCGTCGAGACCTATCAAAATCGAAAGATAAAATAATTTCGAAAAGAAAAGCTCGTATGGTAAAAACCATTTTAGCGGTGGGTTTGGCGTGTACGGTTTTTAAAAAATGTTAACAAAAAAGGTTACTTGGGTGCATTCTCGAGCGCGTCAGATATTCATACTACGTATGCCTCAAGTGCCTCTGATAACAACGGTATACTAATCTGCCGGTTTGCGTGGTGGGAGTAGACATATAAAGTAGTCAAAAATACAAAAAAAAAAATTTACTCGAGCGCGTCCGATTTTCGGAAGGGGGGCTTCTTTCCCCACCATTAATGTTGCGAAATAAAGGAAACATAGGACAGCATATTTCCGCGAAGCGCTCAGTCTGTATTACATGTTTCTGGCAAATTCTTCTTTTTTGCTTCAATTCTTCAGGCTATTGAATAATATACATACATGAAACTGTACATGTTAATAATACTTTTGTATACAGATACGCGTAACTTTTTCCGAGTCCACCAAAATTGTCGAGAAGCTTTAGAAAAAAAAAATTGAGATATAAAAGTCACATAATTTAATCATCGTTATTTCATATCAATTTTTTTAACACCCTCAGTTTTCGAGATATACTTAAAAACCGGGAGTTTGAGTTTTTATGATGCTTCAAGTCAAAAACTTTGGACAAAAATTTAAACAGACTTTTTTGTGTAAAATAAAATTACCTTTTTTGTTTATTTAAACTTTTTTTTTTTGTAAAATGTATCGTTCGCGACTATATGCCGCAACGCGTTTTTCGGAAGACGAAATGGCTCCTCCACACTTCCGGTCATGCGGAAACCGGCAGATTTTGTATTTTTAGTAAGTTTTAGATTATATTCTTCAAAATAAAAAAATCACGCTCGAGAATGCCGGATTAACGTTTTTTTTTTACAAGTTCGCGACCCTATAACTCGGCGGCGTCAAGGACTTATCGTCAGATCACTAAAATCAACCCCCAATATCTTAATCTGACGCGCTCGAGTATTTCAGACTATCGATTTTTTTTACTAATCTGATCGTCTATCCTAGGCGCGCGTCACTACATATAGAGCTAAATACTTTACAAGGTTGTTCTATTAGGTCTAAGGTATCTCTCATATCTTAAACTGCCACGCTCGAGTATTACTGAAATCCCCTATTCGCCTTCCTAACTATACCGAACCGAAATGGCAGGTCGAGTTTTATCATTAGTTTAATAATAATAATTCTGTTTAGAATTTCATTTGTGCCGATTGGATGCACCTGGACATCACGGGCGTTAGCAAGTTGGCTCATGCGCGCGCGCCTCCTTACCTGGACCCGTTACGGATGACAGGTGACACATTTTATAAATGATTTGATAAAGATGACGGCAACGAGAGCGTATTGAAATCGTGTATTATCTGTTCAGGTCGGCCCACTCGCACTCTGGCCACGTTCCTGACGAACACGGCGGGCCTGGGAGCTCGGCCGGGCTCAAGTGGGAAATTGGGAAATGAAACATTTAAATGAATAAAGCTTAGACGGGAGTCGAATAAAACACGAATGCTTATTGACCTAAAAATGAAGAAACATTTATTTTCAGTGTCTTTTGTAAAATTGAATAACAGAATTAATCAAATGTAATTCAACAACGGAGTGGAATCGTCAAATTTCGATACAATTATTTAGTTCAACAATAGAAATATAATATTTATCAAGACATTTACAGCCCGAAGCGACCGGGCGGCGGCCGGGCCTTCGCCCCGACTTCTAGTTCCACTATTTATTTTAGATTAACGATTATTAAGCTTCGAGTAAACTTTTACCTCTTTATAAATACCGTAAATACGACGACTTTACACAGATGCGAGAGATGAATAGTGAAACTAGTCAATTTACAATTATAAGATAATTATTATTAATTACATTTATACGGGAAGCGCCGACGAGTCGACGCAGAATATATCTTTTAACGCTATTAATTTATAATGACTTACATAATTAATTTGGACTACAACACAGTTTATTAATAAATATAAAAGACCTCGACGCGAGACACGAGGATGAGGCGAAAGGGATCCGCCGGCGAGGACCGGCCGACGCCCGACTTGTTGGGTTTTCAAATTTATCTCACGTAATTATAAATATCTCGTACTAAAAAAAATACATTAAAAGTTGGGACGCTAGCGCCGCAACACGGAGGCACGCACACACCCACACTCTTGTCTCCTTAGCATAGTTAAATTAACGGAATACTTTAAGTCTAGTCCTCGCCGCTATACAATTATACCATTAAACTGAAACGATGACAATATTTAATTTATCGCAAACACTAGAGAAATGCAGGTCCAATACGATGTTAATATTGTGTGTCATGAAACAAAAGTGTATTTTTATTCTTTTACACACACACTAGCCGCCGGCTCACTTCGACGTCATCATGGTGACGAATTCTGAAAACGAGAGAACACACGTTAATAAGTTTCGGGGGACCGTGAAATACCACCCTCGGACGACGCGTAACGCCTAATGATGATCCGAGGGACGTTTGCTGCTCGTCGGGGCGGACGTGACGGGACCCAGGTGGTATTTCTTTGGGAGGGGGCACGGGTCGACATGCGGCGACACAACACTCATCCGCACGAAGGAAGGGACGGAAGGGGGCTACGGGGCACATCGAGAGGAGGCGGGGTCGTCGGGTGGAAAGCGGAAAGTTTACGTCGGTCGATAAAATTGAAACGTGTGAGATAGATACGATGCACTCTGAAGTCTGAACGAGAGAAATCGAAGAGACAAGAGGCGACACTAGAAGGAACATACGAGAACAGAACGAGCAGCAAACCATTGATCGGCGGTCGGTAAAAGAGAGATCACAGCGAGCCCTTTGCCGTTGGCAACGGACGCAAACGACAAGAGGCTCTAGCGGCCGCCGTCGCCTCGCGCGAATATCATTTGCGCGAGCGCACGGAAGTCTGCAAACAGACAAATCTGTGTCGGTCGTCGTTCAGCTTTAGACACGCGGTCTGAGAGAGTGGAGCCCGCACCTTCGTAATTGACCTGTCCGTCGCCGTCGATGTCGGCCTCGCGGATCATCTCGTCGACCTCCTCGTCGGTGAGCTTCTCGCCGAGGTTGGTCATGACGTGGCGCAGCTCGGCGGCCGAGATGAACCCGTTTCCGTCCTTGTCGAAGACGCGGAACGCTTCGCGGATCTCCTCCTCGCTGTCCGTGTCCTTCATCTTCCGCGCCATCATCGTCAGGAATTCGGGAAAGTCTATCGTTCCATTACCTGGAATGCGAGAGGGTCCGATTAGTTTTACATCTGTTGGAACTACTGAACCGCTTTTAACATTAATATATATTGTAGTTATATTATATGTGGCCGACACGCGTAGGTTTTAGGGTCTAAGACGTGCGTACGTACGAGTGTGAGTTGATTAATCACGTAAAAAATATTGCACAAACTCTAACAAGGCTGAATTCGATTGTCTCATAATGCTTTATTATAAATTTAAGTACTGGTTTTGTTGTTAAGTTTGTTTCGGTAGGTATTAAGAACTTTTTAATATGAAAAAAAAAGAGTTCAAGCATAATAATAATACGACTGAACTATAGGGACGGCGTGAATTCCTGAAATCATTATTATAATTAATTAACGAAAACATAATTCTTTGATTAGAAAATCTAACGATTAAAGATAAAAAGACATTTGACAAAGTCTGTCCCAGCTAGAAACGTCCAGGTAATTGAGATGACGTCAGTAACTCAAAATACACACACGAAAACAATATCTGTTTACATGTATGGCTAAGTCACGAGAATCGAATGGATTACACATGAAGAACAAACGCCACAGGTGCACGTCGTGTATTTTGAGGCGAACAAAACTGATGAAAGTAGCACCTCATTATTCTGGCCTGAACTATTAAGGGTATTCATAAAATCTTAATTCAATTATTCATATAGGTAACTAACATGAACCTATACTTATAAACGTCAATATTAAAAAAAAATACTTTTATGAAATGTATACGTTTAGTAGCAGTAATGTAATTTTGAATTGTAACTTTGTGACCGTGGCCTGTCCAAGATCAAAGTAATATTAAAGTTAGCAAGGTGATCTCGTAACGAAGCTGAAGGCCGAATTAAAGGGAACTTAGTTTTTGATAAAAACAAATAGATTATCAACGTGGAAATCATGGTTGCAGACAATTATACCGCTACTACAAGGGATTTTACTTTTAAATTTTATTAATTTATATGAACCTAACCGGAAAGTCTCTCTCGATGCACCTATTGACATTATATATTATATATATAAAGTCAAGTCAAGAACCCGAAATCGAGGACGGCAGCTAGTTATATTTTCGTTCTGAGATAATTACGATTATTTGTTTATTAACCAACGAAAAGATATCCTCAGACTTTTCAAAAACAAGTACGAGTTAAGTTTGGAGGTGATAATTGAGCGCTAACCTATACGGGGCGCGAGATACTATTTATAACAAGCACGTGACCAGAGCATTCGAGAATGCAGAAAGCATTCCTAACGATCTCTCAGTAAAAGCGACTGCCGTCGTGCCGTCGTTTCCGTAAACTACAACGACAAACTGTCATAAACAATCAATTCTAGAGCCTACGATCAAACTGATTTCGTGAGTGAAATAAATTGACTTTGTACATCTCTCTATTTATAGAGGCGACTAGAGTTTTATAGTATTTTTATGAGCCATTTTCCGACTGCGTATTGTTCACGGAACAAAAGGCAGCATTTCGTTGCCTTGAACTCGACCCACGACGAACAACATTTTTTAAGCATATTTCTTTGACTAAAATCTTATATTAAAGTGACTTCTTTGAGCGTCGCATATTTGTTTTTATACAGGTTCGATTGAGAAATCGAATACTTCCTGCATTGATTGGCCGACCCGTGATCGTATCATAATACTAATAATATCATATACGGGTACATTTGTTATTACAGCAATGATCGGCTCGTGTTTAGTATATGCTGCTCTGACTATTCAAGTAGAATTACGTAAGCGCAGCATCATGACTAACATCTAGTCCATACCATAAAGGACCTTGGTATTAAGCATTTGTACTAAAGTAAGTAAACATTAATTAAGTTTCGTATTTTGTACTTAAGCGGGTACTATCTATGAATAAGAAACACTTTCCGGATATTATATTGACGAAGAGGATTTCATAAAAGTAATTATAAGTAATCAGTTCGAGAGGCCTTGGTGAGCAATCAGTGAATGTTCGATAACAACACGGCAAATCGAAGAAGCCTGACAAGGACGCGTGAGTCAAAATGGCGTCAGAGGCGGAGGCTTTGCGATAAATACGCATTCTTTACAGAGTGCGTAATAACCGAGCAAACGCCATAATATGCCAGCTAATGGTCTGGCCGCGTTCGATATCGCATTACGCTAAGATGAAGCACCTAAGATCATATGACACCACAAAAAAGGCAGGGGAGTAACTATGCATATACCCTAACATCTGTGTTTGCGCCAAGTTCAGTAAACAATGCAAAAAATGTAAATAGCTGTAATGGGCGCCAGCGCGTACTCATCGGCCGCTTAGTGGATATTTGCAGTCATGTAGCTGTTGGGGCGTTGCTCCTAGCGGACGGCCTGTCGTGACCGCCGCTGGCCCACCGCCAATACGATATGCAAATTCATTTGCAAATTTCACCAGTTTCAATTTAGTTTTATCACGATACAATTAGATAAGAGCGTCCGACAAAACATTTGGCCCAGATTGTAGGGCAATCTGGGCACCAACAAAAAATACGTCCCATAAAGAAAAGAAAGGGCACTCGACGAGCGAGCAATTAGGACAACAATGGGTCAGCTATTTAGACGCTGCGCTCCTGGCGATGAGCCAACAAAAGATCTATTACTTCTTCTATCGATTTATACCGTTACCTAGATGACAAACACAAATCATTTTACCCCGTGGACCCACGATGGTGCGGTACGATATGGAAAATTTAAGTTCATTACTATTTTATAGTAGACAACGAAACTATGCTACGCAACGACTGCGATCGATGGAGAGTAGAGACCGCCTGGATCAATACCGGGCGGCTTCTTTGACCCGCTAATCCGATTTACACCTTATTGTAATGTTGAGCGGTTCGAACTTGGTTACTACTACAATTAATGTAGACTAGAACAGGGCATCGTTAATTATACTTAGCATAATTAAGTTCCGGACATGTGATAGTTTTGCTTTGAAAATATGAGGCAATATTCGGCTTGTGATTTCCCTCAACTCTCACTATGGATACAATACCTACGGGTCACTAAGGAGATCAATAAAGCTATTGTGGCGAGGGTGAATGGGTCGAGCGAGACGCGAGATACAAATCGATCTTAACGTAATTATTAATTGACGGCTCTCCGCTCATCTTCTCCGTTTGGATCTAATTGGTATTTACTTGAAAGTTTCTTCACTTTAAAATTTCTTTAAATATATGAGTGCGTATTTCACAGTTGGTGTATTCAGGCGAGAAGTCATAACTCCAATTTTTGGGTGAATTCACAAAAGACAAGCTATAAAGTAATACTGCAAATTTAACGTGAATTTCATGTGCGTGGTGTCGGACATTGAAGCTAATTTTCCGGTATTGTTCCACAAATAGAATCGGAGGAGTGCAAAGCGCTCGACTGTCTCACTCGGACATGTGAACGACTCCTTATCGTAGTGACATCACCATTATAATTACCCATTATTTTTAAGAAGAGAGGCACCTAACTGTAAAATAATAGTACTCGCCATTGGTAACCAAGCGGCGGAATAATTAATGTAGATTGTAAAGTAATGTTTTGTTGGACTGACTGATCTAATACAGAGAGAATGCGCTAAAAGCTTGCTAAATGTAATACTTGATAAAAAGGCAATCGTAAAGGAATTTAGTGCGGTTAACTGGACCAATGCACTTCCTAGTATCGTACATCGACTTCAAATTTCGCAACCTCTCGAGCAAACGATTTATTGCGTGTTTTTTATTTATCTTCGAAACTGTACAATGAAAAAAAACAGATACTTTTAAAATTCTTATTTTTTTCTTATGGTGAAATTGAAAAGACATAATATCCTCCGTTGCCTACGTTAGGTCATTTGCATTTAAACTTGGAGATGTTATAAATATGCCATGTTCAATTACAAAATCATAGATTTGTTTCAGAGATTATGCAGGCGTAAGGGAGCGTTCAAGTATTACGTCACGCAATTTTTGGACATTATTGACTCCCTCCCCGTGTAACGCACCGTAACGTTTTTCTGTACTCAAGTATAGTAAAACCGAGTGAGTCTTTATACCTAAAAGTTACCATTATGTGGTGTTAAGTACTGGAAAAACGAAAATAATATTAACAATAACGCGTCATTCAATCCCCGCCACGCATCGTTTTACAAAAGGATCCCCCCCAATTCGTTACGTAATACTTGACGCTCCCTAATACAAATATGTCCGGACACCACGTTAGATAATAAGTTTTTGGTGTGTGGAATAACCGCATCGTTAATACTAAATTCTGGATTTACCAATGAACGGTTAAGTCAAAACAGGAAAATACGGGATAAGGTTTATCAGAAACGCCTTCCTGTTGACCGCCACACTAATCTGCTTGGCAGCAGATATAATTCTGAATACCATGAGTTTTAACATTGTACTTTACATTATTGTTATTATTGCCCACCAAATACAATTATTATGACTGACACGTATCAGCAGGACGAGAATTCCGTGTTTCATTGAAGATATTATGTTACATGAGCTTAATAAAACTGCAATTGTCATGTTAATTATTAGGAAACGGCTCTCACGGCAGCTCCGGTTTACAATAACAAATAAAAGGATCGCTATAGATACACACATCTGCCGGTTCTCACGTTTGTTCGCTCGATTTTCATAAGTGCAGCCCAAGGTTATTTCAACGGAAATATTTACATTAAAATGTGGGAATAAATCGGCTTAATCCATTGGTAGTCAGTTAAGTCGCAACAATGTATAATATTTACGAATGTTGAAACTTAAGACCCTCTACAGCACATATCGCAAACCTTAACCTCGTCGTACATAGGTTGTACTCGCCGGCATTTTCTTTGGCGAACCAGACAACCACATTAGCCAATATTAATTTATTAAGTGATGCGCCAAGATTTTCGACAGGTGAGTGTGTACAAAAGCTAATAATACTTAAATCGCATATTAATATTGTAAAGAGATGACGAGATCAGGGTCGTCTATACGCGACCAACGAGAACATTGTAACACTCGAATAACATTCGTAGTAGTAAGGATCGAAAGAGCAAAGGGTTATAATAATATACCTCTTTCTTAATTATTATTTATCTCGTAAAGAACGCGGAACATCTCGAGGTATTATACTACTGATATCTAAACATGTGATATCAAGTACTTAAGTAATATTTAAATATTTAACTGTAACAAATCTTCTGAGATTTGAAATGTTTCTTTTGTTACACAACTGCGTAAAAATTACATTTGCCAATTAATAATCAATTATTATAGGCAATCATTGGTTTCTAGTCATAGATAATGCGTAATTGTAAACGTCTTTGGAGGGTGGGTGAAGGGAACGCTGCCAGCTGTTCGATCCTGTCATATTTCTTCGCCATTCATCACGCTTTATGATCGTTCAACACATTCATAATCACACAATATACACAATACCATATCTTTTTGCCAACGCATTTATCAAGTACCTACTAAAATTAATTGAGAACAATAAATTTTTACTTGCACGTGAGAAAAATTCAGATGAGCTTACGCTTGCCACAAATTCTCTTTGTTGGCACACGCAGTTTTCCGCGAGCATTGACAGTTAGAACTAATTGCAAGCGCATTTCGAGCCACGGAGACGACGGGCCTAATCGAACGCCTTAGTTTCGGCTATTACATTATAACATTCAGCTCTTGCTTTATCCTTGATCAAATGGATTACAATTCTACGCGATTTTTTTTTAAAGTATTTGCGTCAATTAATATTTTATAAAGTAAGGGTAAAAAGATGTAATCGTAATCACTTACGTTTTTACGATTAGAATGATAAAGATAGGAAAAGCTAGCGTTAATACAGCATAGGTATGTACCGCAATGTAATAGATAAGTTAGCTGATAACAATTCGATTATAGATATCAGAACGGCTTCTTACTGAGCTGGACTTTATTAGACGCTAGAAGTCAAAATATAAATATGTATTATGAAAAAAGAAACATTTCAGAAAACTTTACATAAAAGAAATTTAATTAATCAGAATGAATCTCTGGTCATTGTCGCTATTCAAAATATTGGTAAATAGAAGGCAAGAAGAGACTCACCATCAGCATCAACTTCATTTATCATATCTTGTAGTTCTGCTTCTGTGGGGTTCTGTCCTAGTGATCGCATCACAGTGCCCAACTCTTTTGTGGTGATGGTGCCATCACCATCTTTATCAAATAGTGAAAACGCTTCTTTGAATTCAGCGATTTGTTCTTCTGTTAGTTGATCCGCCTGTAACATGCAGAGTCAAATATTATTTCTTAGTCCAATATTAGTTATAGTATTATGCTAAATAAAATTAAAATGTTATTTTGCTATTATAGGTACAAACCACTGTAACAACCATTGTGTATGTATTGTACCCTGCAAAACACTGAAAGCTAATGAGTTATTTAGTCTTTAAAAGATAAGATAATTTTCTATTTGATTAGGGCCACGTCACAATGCAGACATTGCCTTGTGATATCATTTGCTGCATTACAATAAATATTATCTTGGCTATACAACACTAGATAATTTACAAATTTCAAGTGCTCACATACCTATAGATTGGAACTGGTTTTACCTTTCACTGATTACAATTAGTCTTATAAATTAAATATATATTAATATTTATTATTACAATGGACACAATCAACTAATATTAACTTTATCAGGGCTATAATTTAGCATAAAACACTTACTGACACTTTATTTGATTATTAAAATAAATTATCAGATAAATTATAGCCTTTTAAGAAACCACATGACAACAAAATCTCAAAAATAAAATCCTTTTGAAATTATCCTTTATTCCTTATAATAAATTAATTCTATTTGAGATTGTGATGAATAATGCAGTATACAATATACCATCTTACCAAAATGATATGTTTACTGTCAATATACATGACATACTCAACATAAGAACATGCTAATAGCATATTTAAAAAAAAAATAATTACCTATTTAGGTCTAAATAAAAAAAGAAAGCATACATAATGTTTCTTGAGATAAAGCAATAGTTGCCCATTCATATTATAGAATATTCATAGGAATCCTGAATAGAAATGAAATCAGAGTTGAAACCACAAAATTGAACTGACAAAACTTATGTTTTACTAAAAAAAATCTAGTTATATTAGCCGCCATATGGCCCCTTTTTTGTACATGTATTACATTAATTACAAAAAAAATATGCTAAAAAAAATTATCAAAATTGTGCCTAACATTTTAGTTCATGATCCCATTATATAGTGTGATATAAAACTACTACTATGATAGGAAAAAAATATGTAAAATACTCAGTTCAATAATTATTGGACCTAATCATATTAGGATTTCTATGGTTTCTCCAATTTAAGTCTTCACTGAGTAGCAAGTTAAAACTTAAGAACTTCTTTGACTTAATTACTTATTAAAAATAAGATGAGCCACAAATATCCTCTCTGTATATTTGACAAAAAACTGATCTTGTGAAAAGAAAGAAATTTCAGAAAATACATGCCTAATAGTACCAAATTTTTAAGTACTAATTTACTTACTAATTTTTTAGTAGGTTTACTTTTGTAATATGTTATTGCCTATTTTTAAACATTAATATTTACCTAGTATAATATCACACAATAAATAAAAGAATCAGTTTATTTTCTTTAAAAAATCTACCGTCATTGGGTAAAATCAGACTTATCTAGCATGATTGGCATCCAAACTAACTTGATAAGGTTTCACCATAAGTACAAGACAAGAAAGGTAACGGAACTAGTTACAGAAATTGCGTATTCAATCTTGTGCGAGGGATGAGTCAACGGGCGATTGACAGGAGCACCCGGCGATCGATCATCAACGCTGGGGCGCGACACTCGTGCAAAACATGTAAAACACTTTTTTCTCAAGTATTTTCTACCTAAAAGCCGTGCTACTTTGTCTGAATTCAGTCCAATCCAGTTAAACGTCACGACGTCGGTTACACCTAACTATGGCGACGGAGCTATGGTAACGATTATCAATTTTCTCATTCCATTTTCACTTCCTAGTGGTAGATGATACCCAAACGCTTTTGTTGATAGCCTTTTCTTATCTCGAAGCTACGTAGACATTCCGCAATGCGGTATAAAAACGGCCATCACAATAATAATGGAGGCCGTCATCACTATAAACACCGATTCACCAAAGCTCCGAAATATACCCTAAAATTCGTAGTATATTTTTTATAAAAACACTTCCGGCATTTTTTTTGAAGAAAGGACACTCACCATAGTCGATTAACTTGGATTAACAGGAGCTACACTAAAAAAAATCACAGACTATGCCGCAAGGCGACCACACAGACCGACGGGTAAACGAATACTGCCGCCCTCTATCGCGCGAACGGCCGCGCCGGGAAACTCGCGACCGTGCGCCGTGCGAAATCGTTCGTAATCGTTCAATCGAATCCCCGCACTATCATGACCGGTTCAAACTCTTATTCGTTCAAGATAACTTTTCGTGTCGCTCTCTTTGAACATACAAGTCCATGTCTCGGAACGCACAGCAAGGGATTAGAGCCGATCCGCAAAGGATAGTCGGTTTTATATCGGGCGGCTACCGTGGCACAGAGTGTCTGAGTTGCGGCGCGCGCCGATTGGGTGTCCTATACCTGCAATGCGTCACTGCGGCGCGCGCGCGAATAGGCTGCCGGCTGCCGGCCGCGGCCGCTGCGCCAGGCCGCACCGCGAACCAGGCGCGCTGTCCCAGTTCGGGTTCGCCTCACCCGCTCCACCCGCAATGCCGCCCGACTAACGAGATAACAGCTGTCCGGACTGCGCAGGCTTCCCGCCGTCCGATGTTTCACCTTGTAAATTTTTGCATTCTTAGACACACTCTATTACAAATCGATGCATTTCTTGAGTAAAATCAATGAAGAATGAACCAATGATAAGATAGTTGATTAAGAATGCTGTTCATGCTCCCTTGAACCCTATAGAACTCTTGTTTACTATATGATACTCATAATATAAGAGGTGACACGGGTATTGTCATAGTAAGTAGAAAACTTTGAATTTATTTCTCCCCCATTTAACTAACAGAGGGTGGGTAGACTTTATCTATTTAGCTGCTGATTCACAAGTTTGTTTGAGTGAGTCGCCGCAGAAAAACAAAATATCGAACCTATTATAATAAATTTAGTATTAAGTTTAAATCACTAAATAAGTTAAACGTCATACTGGAACGAAAATACCTAAGAACAAGAACTAAAGCATAAATAGCAACCGAAGGAATATAGTTGATCCTTTATTTTCTTAAGACATCCTAATTCGTAAAAATAAGATAAAGTAATCACATGTTGTATTGTCTTTTATTGACATGACTTTTACACATTTAATAATCACATTTTACTTTTTACGTAGGTTGGCAGTAGTTTTCCTCTAATTAGTATTTTCCGTTTTCGACTTGTTCTATCGTTATAAATATAATATCGAGCAATAATCACATTTTTTTAAATTCAAGAACGTTTACAACACGTGTTCCAAAACCAGTATGGACTGTCAAACTTTTGAAGTGTTAAATTAAAATATAAGGAATCTAAGGATTTCCTGGATAGCTAAGGAAACAAACGTGCTTATTTATACTCAGACGGTTACAGGTACAAAAATCTGGTGACTGGTAGAATGGTGGGCATCAGACCTCGAGGCCCCTACTCGCTGGACCGATAAAGTAAAGTCCCTTAGGGGTTTAACATCACCCAGACGCAGAGGCTTGCCGAAGATAGGAGAGAATGTAGGTAGTTGTGTGGCGCCGCTAACACGACCTTCACAAGTGTGAGACTGAAGAAGAAGATATGTTAATCGGACTAATATGGATTAGTGAAATAAAACAAACATATGAAGATAATTTCTTTCATTGCATAACAAAACACACAGTCTAGAGTAGACGTTATTCCTATAATGTTTTGCTAATATTATTTAGGTATTTTCTTTTGTCTAAGTGTTTTGCAATGCTGTTACTTTTACAAGTCTTAGCTGGTGACTGTTTTACAGCAATAACATTTTTACTACATCCTGGTATAGTTTCCTGAAATCCACTTATCATTTGAATCTGTTTTCGAAATCTTCTTAGTAACTTAAGCTAAATACTTAAACAACTGCTAAATCAACCTTAGAGTTAAGCATCCGAATTTGACGAATGACTTTACGACCATTAATCAAAAAAGGACATATTGTGTGAATTAGGTGTGTCATTTACACATACACATGTCATATGACGTATAGAGCCAGCTTTAAGCTTTTTTTTATTTTTCAAACGCTTTCTATGCTTTAGTTTTTGTTCACAAGTGATAAGACAATATTCACTATTGTCGGTCACTTCATCACTGCACTTATAAATCAGAAATGAGTAAGGTAGTACGATCAACGAGTGTTTTCACAAAAACTTTAAAATTCTTTAGTCACATATAATAATTTATTCTACACACTACCAGCTTACTCACAGTTACATAAAATAGGGGAACTATGTTTTACATAGTATTATAATCAGAAAAAATCTACAAGTGGTTGACCACGCGGGCCTTATTGTGTATTCTGCCATAATTAATCGCCTAGATAATAATAATTACGTCACGTAAACGTACGTAAAATCTCAGTACCTTTACAAATTGCTTGCTGATTAACATAATTAGCAAAAGTAAACGAAAATATTTTTGCTCATATAATTTGTTCAGGCATATAAAATGTCCCAAGATTCATTGGTAGAAAAGCAAACCGTGTCGATATTATTCACCCATATGTGGCGGTTAAATTACATAGAAGATGAGCAAACTTTATCTTTATAATAATATTTTAAAAGGGGAATGATTATGTTATGATTATGACACTTAAACACATTTTTATTTCTATCTCATTCTTTTTAGTTTTCTCCTCCAAATCCCGCCATTTCTGTCTGCACTGTGCCACTCTCTGCCATGTACGACCTGCTGTTTTTATTGTCTAGCATATAACATATTGTCTTTCGAAATATTTAGAAGATTAAATGGTATCATACCATTAGATGGTATGATGATGCTCGCGTGTACCTACTAATCTCTACTATTAAGCCAGGGACACGCGAGCGGACCTTTGTTGCTGTTTGTAAATTAATATTGATTAATTAGAAATTGCTAACAAATGTTTTGTTACTAAACCTTTCGTAAAAGGCACAGGAGGCTGATCACCTACTTGCCTATTAGAGTGACAAATGATCATGAAACAGATTCAGAAATCTGACGACCTTAAAATAGTTGTAGCGCCAATGATTTTTTTTAATAAACCTATGTAACAACGTTTTGTACCTTTACAAAACCATAAAGGTTTCGTTAATTCAAAGCTTTAAAATTACGTAGGTCCTTTGTTTTAAAATGATTACTAATATTATATATCCTCTAGAATATTAATATTTTTTAACTGTGAAATAACTCGTTGGGCTATAAGCATAGCTAATGAGATTAAAAAGGTGATTAAATACAAAAGCATAATAAATTTTAATCCTCACGAGCTTGCTACGTCGACGGGGCTTTAATAACGTTAACGGAGAAAGTTTAAAAATATTCGAAATATTCACCCTAGAACTAATGTACATTATATAAATAATGTGAGCGGTGGGTATTGCCATGACTCAGCTGAATACATCGTGTTTGAATTAACAAGCTGGTTACACTTCAAATTACTAGACGGTGAAATCTACTTATTCACGCTACATTCGACTATGATTGAAAGAAGACCAGCAGATAAACTACGACTTGATACAATATATACTATTTTCTAGTTAAAAGCTCGTCTTTTGACGGTATAATCTGAAACACTAGGCCTTTACACAGGAAAAGACAAAAACCGTTTTGGTCGTCGAGCGAGTAATGCTTCTACATTTTGAGGTATTTCGTGAGGTAGTACGTATTTACTAATATTATATCAACTTAATGGTACGATTTTTATGTTGTATTTAAAATGTTGATAATATTAAAGGTACTTTGTAGACTTTAGCAGCAGGATAAGCAGAGTTAATGAGTCGTGCCATCTTTCGACGTCGTTAACTTCCCCTACTTAATGCACATTTCATTATCATAAACGTACTTACTATTATAAATCTGTAATAGTACTTTCAACCGAGTGTTGCCCTAGTGGCTTCAGCCTGCGACTCTCATCCCTGAGGTCCTAGGTTCGATCCTTGGTTGTGTCACTCGAAAGGTGAAGGGAAACATCGTGAGGAAACTGGCTTGACTTAGACCCAAAATGTCGACGGATTGTGTCAGGCACAGGAGGCTGTTCACCTACTTGCCTATTAGATTGACAAATGATCATGAAACAGATATAGAAATCTGAGACCCAGACCTAAAAAAGTTGTATTTATTTTATTTAATAGAACTTTCATTAAATTCTTAGTTCAGTCAGTATTGACTTTACAATTTTAATTTTTAAAACTACTGGACTGATATCATAAACTCTTTCTCCGTTGGAATCTTCCCTGAGTCAGCTATATTTATTATTAAAATACTTAAAATAAAATATGTCCTTAATATGAAGTTGGTACTATTACACTCTTGGTTTAGTCTATAGTTCTTCTGTTATATTTTAACTGAGTCATTATTGATTGTGTCACTTACATTAAAGCACTTAAGTTTAATTAAATTATTATAATGAAAGGCAAAATAATGAATTAGGTCAACATTTAAGTGGAAAACAAATGACGAAAATATTAGATAACTGGGTCAGAGCACAAATGAAATTGTTAATGGTTTATTATTAACTATATCCACGTGTATATATATATATTATAAACAATATTTTATGTTTATAGGCTTGTTATGTGTAGCCCTAGCAATATCAGTGGTTCCACGGTGTGGAATTGTGCATACTCGACGTAATGAAGACCATGGGACACTTTAGCATAAATTACTTAAAATTCAGATATATCGCAGACATGTGAGAAAGCAAACGTGCGCAGCATCGACCTGCCACAATTTGTAATTAAATTAAATTTTTTATTTTAATTGAAATAGTCTATAGCACTTGGATAGTTTTGACCTCCGGCGGCAACCAATATAATTCGCTTGTACATTTAAATGGTCGTTACTCTTATCGCAATAAAATACTGCTTTCAGGACACAATGGTATTTATTTTATTGGTACACAAAAACAGAAACTATAATTATAACCGAAAATATAATTGCTAAAGATAGTAGAAACGATATCAGTGCTGCTATAATCATAAACCCGTACTTTAATTTGCAATATGCAACCATAAATGTACTTCGTTCTCGAACAACACATTTGCATTGTACAAATTCCTACGTAATCCTGCAAGAGTTATAGCTTCTAGCTAATATAGCTCTTGAAAATTTAGAATTTTTAGACTATAATAAGACAGTAGACCACTGGATAAAAGTAATGAAATCGTCTTCTGGTCACATGCGTAAATAATCTAAACGCTCACAAATTATCTACATCAAATTAATGCAGTCACTAGTTATGTATGTGAATACATATATCTTTTTTAACTGTCCGGATGGAAGAGGTCATCGGCATCTGTTAAACAATCATAAATTTTCATCATAGAACCTTAAAAAGTATAGGAGAAAACAATAAAATTGATCGTAATAGATATCCTTAGTTATAAAATCGTGCCGTGCAAGACTACAAGTAAGCAACAAGCAGCTACAAGCTACCTGTGGGGAAAGTTTCCCACCGATCGATACTGTGCAGGCTTCGCGTGCTCTTTACTATATTATACTTTTATTAAACGCAGCAGGGTTAATTTACATAAAGTTTCAATTAGATCGATACTTTACAAGATATTTTTTGTGTTAAGTTTGTTCTATTCTTAGATTTATAGATAAGTTTAAGTGCAACAAGAATTCAGTTCACAACGTACAAAAAAATCGCT